AAGAAACAAACGACCTCGTAATTTTACCAACCGTTAAATTTGCAGTCACTATATGCAAGATAAAATTGGTTCGGGTGCGAATGGGTTAATATACTTATGTTATCTAACCTATTTGGCACTTGCAACAAGGGGTTTTAGTACTTTAGTGCTTTGTGTCCATTTTAAACTTTTCCGGTCCGGTTAAGGATTAACATAATTTCGCATAAATAAATCATACAGTTTAATTTAAAAATTAGTCGTTTTTTCAATTTCATAAGAGCTATTTTAAATGCGAAGACTGTATCTTTAATTTTATTTCTTTTATGAGTAGACTATGGAAAATACAAATTTTATGCCCTGTTCATTAAACAACAAATATCACAAAACAACATTTCTATAAATTCAATCAAAGCTTTATAAAGCTATTAAGCAAAACTTTATTTAAAAGTTTTCCATTCCCACAATTAGGAAAAATGGCAGGTAATAGCAACCGGAGTCATTTACGTCGTGTTTACATTAGAAGTGATTAAAATCTAACTTTTTAGTGCTTCGTAAATCTACTTGTTAATTTCATTTCCAAAAACCAACCAAAGTAAGCGCTATTTTAATAATAAAAAAAGTCAATATTAAGTTAATGGATTTTTCAAGATCGCAAATATTAAAGAAACATAAGCTACTCAACTACTTAATCATGGGCTAATTTAAAAACCTTTGCTGAATAAATTTTGTCTTTTCTATGGTTTGGTTCTTGTACTTTTGTAGCGACTGATTTTTATATGTATGTTATTTGTTATATGTATGTTAGAAATTTATGGTAATTAATGAAAGTACCTACTTACTTAAAATCATTTTATTCTAGTGGTATTATCTTCAATATTTTCATTTATTGAACTATATTTATTGGAACATATTTGATTAATCAGAAAAGCTTGTCACTTACGACCAACTTTTGCCAGATCCTACAACTATAAATAAATAGGAGGTGACAAATTATTTCATCATTTTCAAAATTTTGTTAAATTACTAATAGAGAATACAAAATATTAACGCAGTTACGGAGTATTGGCTAATTAATTGCTTGTTTAAAATAGGGAGATAAACAAAATAAATAATTAATGAATTAATCAGATTTCAAAATTTTAGTGTTTTTGAAAGAAAAGTATAAATTTAATTTTTAAATCAGGCATTTTTTAATACCCCAAATTTTTTTTGGGATTCTCTGTCGCGAAATAAAAACATTGCGAAACAAAAAATTTTTTTACATACAACAATGGGGTGGTAATTTTAATTTAGAAATTAGAATGAGGAACTATGTAAATGGCCAATATGTTGAATAATTTTCCCTAAATACAACTAATGGCACGTACCATTCATCATATAAAAATAAATAATTGCTATGGTAACCATGTAAGGTGAGAGAAAATGATTCCCGAAACATGACATACTTTGCCCGCGCCGCGCCGGAGTATTTGCCAGAGTCCCGATCTACATAGCGTAGATTGATTATCTTTCCGTTTATCCATTTTTGTTAATTGTATTATGTGAAGCATGATTTCTTGTCATTAAAGTTCTTAGTCAGAACTTCGGGTTTAATTTCACTGCCGTTTAAACTCCTCCGACAAGAGATAATTCAACCCACATCCGATGCCTCTGAGCGTTCTTTAGAAATCTAGTCTAGATAATACCAAGCACAATTACACAAAACAAGAAAATAAGTACGAAGCACGTCTTCGATTTGTTTACTTATAAATGTAAGGAACTATTTCTTATTTTATGGGAAATATTTAGAGAAATACTAGCAAGGCATTTTAATAAATGAAATAAGTATGCAACAAGAGTGATAATACTATATTATGCAACAAGTGTGCAAAAAGTATGCAACGTGTTGCATATTTTCTCTACGACCATTTTTGTGTACATTTTTGTTAAAGAACACGAATATATTCACTGACAAACGTCAAAATTCAAGACATGCGGTAAAATCTCCGAAAACATTGCTCCCAAACTCGTGCGGTAATATCCGGGAAATGTCCGTAGTGGCTCGGATCCGTGGGACAAGAAACTCACTTGGTTAAGTAACGCTTCCTTCACGCTCAATCGGTATATTATTAGGTATTTTACAGAAGGGCATACTATACTTTTTCTACGACTGTTACTTTTTGGGTACCTTTTTATACCGAATTGAAAAAGTCAAAATTCAAGTCGTGCCATAATATCTCCGAAAACATCCGATTGCTCCCAAACCCATGCGGTAATATCCTGGAAATGTCCGACTCGGATCCGCAGGAAACGAATCTCAACTGGTAAAGTAATGTTTTCCGCATTCTTGATTCATGCATAATTGGCTATTTTACAGAAGCTATTAAAAAAATCTTATTTTTTGTATAGAGTATTGGCATCAAGTTAAGGTAAAACAGGGCTACTTCCCTCATTATACAGTGTATCCAATATAAGGATGGGATAGCATAGAAAAGAAAATAGTTTCTGAGAAATTGTAGAAAATATTAGAAGATGTATTTTCCATTTTTGTCTGCTATTAAGAAAAAATAGTATTACCAGATATTTTTAAATTTTCTTATGGGCATTATATCGAATATTTTCATTATTAGATGGAGCATTAATGACATCGGTGCTTGGCATATTTGAAATTTGTATTTAAAATGAGCGGCAGATTTTCTAGATTTTAGTAACTGGTTTTTGAAATGAGCCAAACTCCAATAAATTGGCAAGCAGTCTTCGAAATATCTTCCTATTTCATTGTAATTTTTCAGTGTAGCCATTTCAATACATCTACCCAGCTTCTCGTATTACTAGGACACGATGTGTAACACTTTAACATATAAATAAATAAATAAATAAATAAATATAATAAAATAATTAAATTAAACTGTAACTGAAGTTGAACTGTTATTTTAAATATAAATGAAGGAGTAAATTTAGCTATAAAACAATGTCAGAATATTTATTTTTATTTATATTTTATTTATTTCTACCGTCACTGCACTCTTCCCCCACATTAATAATTAATTCTGGCGCTAGCCGACTTCAGTAAATATTTTCTTCTTCGATGACGCGTTCTACATATTTTTCCAACTAGAAGCAGATATTTTTTCTACTTCACTTCTCATCAATTCTATTGCCCCAGAACTAAATTTCGGTGAGGTGTTATTTCTTCTTAAACTATGTTTCAGCTGTCTCCATATTAGTTCTAGCGGATTAAAATTGCAGTGATATGGTGGAAGCAATTTTTCAGAGAACCATTTTGCAGAGATATCTGTTGTCATATTTTCGTTGTAGTCAACCTTTGTTCCTTTGACATATGTTGCAGAAAGCAACAAAACGTTATCTATCCAACCAGCTTCATAGACCGCATGTAGTATGATAGTTTGTTTGCCCCGCTAAACTCCCACATCTAACGAACGTTACCATCAGTCGATTCTTTCTTGGCAGTATCGTCGCTATCAATAAAAACAAAAAAAATAAAAACCAATTATTCGTATGAAAGCACGCAAAATCTTTTGGCAAGAGTCAATGTTCAAAACACTACGCAACTCTTCATGTAAAGTTTTAATTGTTATAACAATATTCTTCTTATAGGCCTCATATCAACCTTCTCACTATTCCGGCATGGTGCCTTTCAAGTAGACTTTTTGGGACCCCACAATCTTTCCGCGTTTTTTTTTCTTGGACACCATTGACAGCTGTGTTACGTACTACCATACGGTGTTTTAGTCATCTCGGACGTTAATTTCATGCCTCCATTTTCCCCAGATGTCGATTTCAGAAATAGAAACATATTTAAAATTGTAATTACGTCATCGACCACAATCTCAACTTCTTCGTCGTTTTACATCGCAAGTGAGTAACAAAATTGAATAATGTTAGTATTTGGTAAGAAATATATTGCAATAAAATGTATATGGTACCTCAATATAATTGTCACACTGAGACTTGAAAAACAAATGAATAACAGTAAGGTGGTAATTACTAATTACAAACACAAGACGGAATAGAGATAATTCCAAAGCTTGGACGGATAAGAAAATATTGTTTCATAAAAATGACAGCGATTTCAGGCAAATGAACCAATAGCAAACTGGAAAAACATCAATTATAAATCAGTTATCTACATAAGATTTTTTATTACTTTTCTAGGAAGATATTTTAGAGCCATTATGTTAAACCCTTAAATTGGAAATCAGTTTAAACTTTCTAATTTGATTTAATGTAGGAGATCAAGTTATCTAATGGGCAAATTCAACTTGAATTCGAGGTGTCTCTAGTAGGCACTGTTTTAGAAAGATTTATAAAAAACACACTAATATGAATTAATATAACAGTTTAAACAAAGAAAATTTCCCTACTCTGAAATACAACAGTCCGCACGGCACAGTTCTTGTCCGCTAACATCTTAAATGCGTTCGTGGCTTGTGCTACACGCCGCTTTACAACAGGCGGGTCTTAAAGTCATTCCGAAGTCAAAACCATAACAGGTTGTAAAAACGGTAAATAGTTTGGAGAACTCTAATAAAAGTATTTGGCAATAAGGCCATTTATTTTTCCAAAGCAATAATTTGGCTGTCAAATGTTGTGATTTTTTTAAGGTCTTCTGAGAGCGATCATGGTCTACTATTAAAAGTAATATAATTTTGCTTTTGTGACCCTAAGAATGATGAGAAATACACAATCAAATCAAATAAATCAAATGAAAAAAAATCACTTTTCCTTTATATCAAAATAGAAAACTCTACTTAATTTGGTTAAAATTATTTAAAACTTTCCTTACTAACGTGCCCTGTATTTTCAATGGTTTTTGATTTCCGTCATGCTATTTGGGTCTGGTTGAACAGATATTAATAAAAGTCATAAAAAAAATTGAATTTTGCTCCCATAACTTAGCAAATTCTTAGACTGTGCGACGCAGTCTGCTTTTGTTTCCGATGGTGGGGGGTGTGGGGGGCGGGGAAAATGATTAGTCAAACGCGCTCGTTCCTTATCGTTATCGTGGCGTCCGATTACAGACGTCATCGACGGCGAGTGGCGGTGTGAAGGACGTCCGTGTCGAAGAGCAGGCGGTGTCCCGAAATGTGTAGCAGCGGCGCGGCCGCGTCCACGCCGAAGCCGACCTCATCGAAAACGGTAACGGTGACCAGTAGTGACCGCAACAGACGACGGTGGGTACGCGGACGCCGCCACCGACGCCGGAGACGCCGCCGGAACGGCGCTACGGCTTTAATGTATGCCGCTCAACAGGGTGACGTCGACTGTGTCCGACACATCGTCCGGTTTCAGGTCAGTAGGTCGTAGTGCGCTTGTAATCGACAACGAAACAGTCGTGGAACTCTTGGGGGACCGCAGGGGAGGAGGGAGTTTGCACGGAAAGCTTTCACGCTACCGGGATTAAATTTATTTGGCCTACGGCCTGTTATTTAAAAAAAAATCGAACAATGATACACTGTCATCATAATCAAAAACGCCGACCTTTTGCCATTAGAATTGTACTGCCAAAATAAAAACCTGTTCTTGAATCCTACACAATGATATTGCATTTATTTTATCAAAAGTATGAATAAAATAAATTCGTCATCTTTAAAGCGAGTGGAGCAGATTATGGATTTTTGGGAATTATACTACTTTAAAGGTGCACATTTAAAGCTCACATGGAGGAAATCATTAGTGAATCAAATAGAATGACCGGCTTCATTAAAAGAAACTCAAAAGATTTAAAAAACCCTCTTATTGCGTTATAGTAAGTTTTCTTTTGCTTCCATTCTTTGGAACATAAGTTATAAAGCTTGGATAAAGGAAAAAATATATATTAAGGTATCTTGGATTCACAATAAATACAAACATAAAAAAATCATAATTACAGTCTTATTCAATCAAAATTCAAAATTTTAACTCTTCAGAATAAGAGGTCATTGGCAGATTTGTTAAAGCTTCCAGACTGTGGCGTTGACTTCTCTTATCTTTATGAAAAATTAACCACTATTGACTATTAACTACCACCGAACTACCCGAGGGTAGACTCTAATTGCTATACTACAAAATGTGTTTAATTTCAATAGTCATTTAAATGTCGTGTAAAAAAATATCTTTTACAAACAACAACAAAGCCTTTTTTGTTACATAGGGCATGTTTTTTATTACCTTTTACTGTATGCAAGAAAAATTATAAGTAAATAAATAGTCCAAGAGTTTCTAATTTTAAGAAAAATACCTCAAAATTTAGGCCATGTTTTGTAACGCAATAAAAAGCAAGATTTTGGTAAATGGATAATACATTATTATGTCATTTTGTTTTTGAATATTTTCAAGGAAAAAATGCACACTTACTCCTAGTTACTACAATTTCACTTAACTTGTCATCATTGAGTTGAATTGTATAGAATTAAATCACTAAAAGTGGGTTATATATTAAAATATTTTAAAGATTTAAAAATAAAGAACTTGTGAAAACTGAATAAAAAGAAACGTATTTGCTCTCCATCAGCTACTCTACTAATCGGTATGTGACAATAAATAAAACTGATCAAGGTAAATTTAAAAAAAAGTAATGAAATTAATCCCTATAGTTCTTATAACAAGGTTTGAAAATAAATAGTTCCCTTTTATACTTAATTTTAAATTTAAATTTTATTTATGTTCAATTATTTTTTTTGATATTGAATTGTAAAAATTTAATCGATAACAAATCGAAGAGGGTGTAGCGGCGTTATTTATAATTCTCATCAAAAACGAACAATAATATAGTATCATAGAATAGAAACCCCTTTGTTTTTAACTGGGTGAAGAGCAGAATAGCTGTTTGCTTAACCAAGCATTCATAAGTTACCAAACTTAAAAAAATATATAAATTAAATAAATTACAAATATTCCATTAATAAAAATGCGACGTCATCAGAATCAGTAATTACCAACAATATTTAGCAGCAAGATACAAAATATAAAATACGCTAAATCTATATACAAATAACATTATTTATATAACTAATGGTGTCAACTGTAAATTTGTTGAATAAATTAATAAAGATAATTAATCAATCAGTAATCAAGAAAGCCCAAAGAAAACGTTCGTTTATATAATGCTTTAAATTCACATCTGGTTCAAATACTAGCGTCATAATTTTCTACAAAAGTCCATTTAACTTCGACAACTGAGCCATAATTTCTGCTTATCCAAATCATATTCATATTACATTATATATATTCATACTTTCTCAAGCTTTTCGGACATTTCCGGGATAATACCGTACGCAATCGGATATTTTCGAAAATTTTACCGTACGGCTTGAATTTTGACGGGAATGTATTCGTGGTGTTTTGCAAAAATGTACCGAAAAAACTAACGGTCGTAGAAAAAGTATAGTATGTAACACGTTTGGTGATAGCATATTATGCAACAAGTGTGGTAAACGGCATTTGACTCACGAGTTTATTTGACACGAGTGGAGCAAGTGTTTAATGAACGAACATAATTTCAATATTTGATTTGAATTGGTAAATATTGTTGTTTTATTGCTTTTTGTACCTTTTCATCTTTTAATTATTTATAAAAAAAAACAAAAAATACCATGCATTTTTTAAATGCATATAAGCCAAAACCGACAGAGTTAGACGGCCTAAACAAGAGTACCTTTTCTATGACAAATTAAACATTGAACCATACTCACAGATAAAAAATTCGATTTATGTAAATAATGCCGTGAATTTTGCGCTCTCCAGGAGCATGTCCAAATTAGTTTCAAATTTGTAATTGTAATTCATAATTGTTAGGTCAAAAAACTAAAACTGCCAGTTGTTATTATTTATGTTATTTATTATAGTTGGTAAGGATTTAAAGCCGGTAAAATTGCGACCATATTTAATTTCGAGTGGGTGCTAGGTTGGAAATAAATGTCAACTTACTATTGCCTCTGTAAAAAAAAATTGTATGCTAAAAACTGCCAGTTTATAGTATTTTAAAATTTTAAAACTTTATTTCACGCGGTTTATCTCAAAATTTCGTACTAGCTACAGATATGCATGGTCACATAGTCATGGTCATCAGTACTGATGCAGCAAAAATTGTTCACCGAACTTTCATAGGAAACCTTAAAATCCACAACTGATGGGACTAACTAAAATTAACTAAATGAATAGAGAAATGAATTCCGATTTCCGAGATTTGTTCAATTCTTTGTGGCTCAATAAGTGGGTTACAGTCAATAATCAAAAAACTATGAGTAGGGGATTCATTTTTAGAGCACCGTTCCCAACTCCACCCCCCTCCCCCAACCGAAAAATCAACGTTTTACCGATTAGTTTGTGTATTCCGACGTAAGGGTGAACGCTCTTTATTTCCGACCTTCGACTAATAATTGGGGATTGTCATAGCAACTTACAAGTTCAATTTGCCAAGTTCGTTAACTTAAATGTTTAGGTTTAGTTTCGCTGCAGACAGGGGCGGTTACGTGGCTCGTTGATTGAAAAGTCTGATCGGTTGTTTGTTTGTTTCTTTATCGGTGAAAACGTAATACATCAGCGGTCTCTTTTCAAAATGAGATTATAAGGTTGTTTTATCAGTATTTTTACAAAAAACAGTTTTAGCTGTTTTTATAATCATCTTTATTAAACATTAGAAATAATAATAGTTTAAAGTATTTGTGTCGTCAGGGCCTTAACAATTATACATTGGAACAAGCACTGTGAGAATGAAATGTCATTTGACCGAAATTCTTTTATTATTCTTTTAAATATGAAATTAACACCATTCTTTATGATGTATGGAATTATTTTTACGGTTGATTACAATTTAATTAATTTTTTGCTAATCGAAAAATGATGTGAACTAAATATTGGAACAAGTGTTTTTTGCCCCACAGCCAGGGAAACCCTAGCTGTTTTATTAATTAGATTTTTTTGTAATGCCAATAAATTTTACTTAATATTAATAAAAACACAACAATAAAAAGAAAAAAATATTGCGAAGATCAAACTTTAATACAATATAATTACTATACAGTGTGTTCACAAAAAAACTCTATATTTACAAACAGTTTTTAATTAAATCATGAAAACGGTTTAATAATACTACACAAAATGTAGAAATATTTAGAAATAATTATATTTAAGTAAATAAAAAGAAATTAATACAGGATGTCCCAAAAGTAACAATTTAACAAAAAAAGTTATTTATTTAATATAGATTAGAACAAAATATTGTTACCGGATTTTTAAAAATATTTAAGCTTGTTTGCTTGAATGAAACTAGATAAAACAATATCAGAGTTTCTATACATCTAAAGTATCATTCAGTTACTTAAATGTGCAAAATTCGTTTTTAAAAACATTTGTTACACAGAAAGCGAAATAAAAATTTATTTGGACTAGCCGATACAAAGGCTGGAATAATTAAAACCAATTTTACAATATGACAATCGAATAAATAGGGCTTTCGATGCGGTGTCAGCGATACGTTATCTTCGCTTAGTTTTGGGCTTCGTCTGCAGTTTGGGGCATATAATTTCTCCCTTCTTAACTTTCGAAAATAACGCAGCGTTTTTTCGAAAAAGATTCCAAAATTTTCTTCTTGGCAGATTTCGTCCCTTTTCCAAGAAGAGCTTATTGGTATTGGTATTGGTATTAAAGGAGGGCGCCCTCGCGAGCGCCCAAGCACTTAGGACACCAGATGGGCCCATTGTACCCCAGACCGCTCTAGAGGGCGTCCAGAATTCGCCCCTCATATAGAAGGTCAGCAATTCCTTTAGCCCAATACCATACAGTCCGGATCGATCAGGGCCGTTCCATAGACTCCCATCTTGTCCATGTCAAAGCAGGGCACTCGGTGAGCAGATGATATGGGGTCTCCTCCCCTTCCATGCACCACCTGCACTCCGGGTCGTCTCCAATGCCTAGCAAGCAATCCTGCAACGTCCTGTGTAGGTCCTTGTTAGTGCTCTACACTCACTTCTCGTCAGTCTAAGCAGCTTCCTGGTTCGAGGGAGGGAGGGCCCATCCATCATAAGCCTCACCTGCCTCATTCCCGGAGCAACTTTCCAGTCCACCGCGGCCCGATCTCTCGCCCAGGCTTCGAGAGCTCCCCGCCTCACACACGGGGCGATCTCCAAGCGGGGCTCTGATCCCATATGCCTAAGCGAGGAGCCCTCCCTGGTTAAGGCGTCCTCTGCCTCATTGCCCCGGATACCAAGAAGAGCTTCTTAATGATGAAAACTAAAATTAGGACCATGATTAGTCCAAAAACAGTAACAATTATTTGGAATATATTTGTTTCTTCTTTCGCTGGTTCCATGGGAGTTATTTTTTTTGTTAAGTGTCTTAGCTGGTATATTTCGTCAATATTTATTTTTGAACGATTGGGAGTATCCAGGACTTTCTTTGCGTTCATTTCCATTAACTGGATTTTTGGTAAAAATACCGGTTTTCCGAACTGATTTTTATATCGTTGAAGAATTTTCCTTCATTAATTTCTATTGACAGTTTACTGGTATTTTAATCAGTACCGGTATTTTAATTTGCATTGTTTTGTTGGAAGTTGGGTATTTGGAATTGTTTTGAAACGCTTTGTTGAAAATTGGACATTTGGAATTGTTTTGTTGTGTTGCTTAGATTCTCGTAGAGGTCTTCGAAATTTTCAAATTCAGAAACATAAGCAATGGCTTACTCTAAAGAATCTGGTTGTTTTAAATGCATGTTGTTTTTGAGCGTCCCGGTGCATCCAGCTATAAATGTATTGAGAGCGATTTTGTTATAATAAGTTACATGGATTAATCTTCTGAATTACTAATCCGCTTTATTAGACTACTCTTTAAAAGTTGTAGCCTACTACCGAAATCAACTAAATGTTCGTTTTTGAACAGTGTTGTTCTAGTCAATTCCTGAATTAGACAATCTAAATTTCTGCTATCTGCAAAGCATTGAATGAGCCCATCTTTTATGCTTAACTAATCCATCAATTCTGATCGGTTGCCTACCATTAACTCTGCTTTCCCTACTAGTTTGTCTATGATATATTCAAAGATATGGCTATTCCAAATTAACGTAGGAATTTATTAAACTTTCCCACTTAGCAATAAATTTGTTTAGCGTGTCGCCATTTCCGCCGTAAGGTTTTATGTAATCCACCTTGGATTTAAAAAGATTCCAATTAAATCTAGGTTCCGCACTGCTCATACTACCTCAGCTTCCTTGTTGGGTCATTGTTTTGACTCTTGTTTGTGTTTTGTTCCCAAACTTTAAAGTTTGATTGAATTGTTTTCCGAGTTCTTCGATTTCAGAATCGCTCATTAATTGATTTGATTTGTTCAAAAGGAAATGACACTTACGGTTTCGTATTTCTCCGTCTCCTTTCCGACTCAATTTTCCAACTCGTCACATGCGGGTTGTACCTTTGTAGACCGTCGTTCTGGTTCCCTTGCTGCTGGTTCTGTGTGCTGAAGGATTGAAAGTCCACGTAGCGAATGTCCAAAAGTTTCGAACTTTCCACGATTGGCGATTTCAGAGAAACTTCCAGAAGATTCTGGTTAATTGTCCACTTAGAAAATACGTTCTGACTGCGCCACTTAAACGTTTAAAATTCGGGAGAGCGTTCTTAAAATCATTTATTTATACAGAAAGCAAAGTGAAGTTTTATTCGGACTAGCCGATACAAAGGCTGGAATAATTAAAAGTGATTTTACAATATGATAATCGAATAAATATGGCTTTCGATGCGGTGTCAGCGATGCGTTATCTTCGCTTAGCTTTGGGCTTCGTCTGCAGTTTGGGGCATATAACTAGTTCAACTTTTGCATTAGTCATAGCTCTAAAAAAGTTAAATGATTGCTTTTATATGTTATGACAATACCTTTCACTATTGGAATGCCAGAAATAATAACAATGTCTTACATGAATTAAACTTAAATTACACTATCGCTCTATAAAACAAAAGAAAACAAATTTATATATTAATAGGACAAAACTAAAAACATTTTTCACCGTTTTTTTTCCGATTCGGTAAGTTCTGCAAAAATTAATTTTATAAAATGGAGCAGATAGGAGCAAGATTAATACATAGTATCAACAGCATCCCTAAATTATGCTAAAATTCTAACATATTTGCTCAATAGATTACAAACAATTTTTTGAGCTATTTTTTTAATGTGATAATGTAGATTTTTTTAGGGATAATTGCATTTTAGGGAAATACTTAACATAAAATTAGTCTCAAAACTTACCTTTACTGGCTTCCTGCGTTTTGAATTTTGTCAAATGCTATTTTCTTTAAAAAAATCCCCTCCACTTTTCACACGGAAAATTGTATAAATAAAACATTCTCAAAATGACACTGACAACAAACGTTACAGAATTATTGTTGACGTTTCCATGGTAACAAGACGATTTAAATCGCTTGTTTTCTGAAGGTTCATGGCCTACTTAATTAGTCTGTGATACGGAAAACGTTCATTGTACTAAATGTGTTATGGGTTCATTTCAATAGTTTGGGCTCTTCCTGGTCCAACCTGTGCCCTTTGCTCGAGTAACTGCCTAAATTTTATTGCCCTGTGAAAACTTTCTAGACAGTATATTTTCTTTCGTCGCGATATATAACTGTCTCCCACTTATGTTTGGTCCACGAAAGTTTTGATTTTTCCCAAATATAACGATTCCTTGTGGATATGTTTTGATATACGATATACGACAGTATTCTCTGAAAGCAGTACGAAATAATATAAGTTTCTGTTCAAAATTAACGCATCACTATAATTTTTGTAATTATGTCATTGTTTTTTTACTCTTTATTTTATTTAGCGATAGCATGCTCTAAATAATGATAATTAAATTAAGAAAACAATAAATTTTGAAATAAAATTCGAAGAATAATACAAAATTTGGCGGTCTGGTACAAAAACTTAAAAACTAAATAAATCTACTGAACTTTTCAAAGAGAATTTTCAATTTATATAAGGTAAATGAACTTCAGTAACCCGCAGCTCCTTGTGCTCTTATAACTACTTGTATTCATAAAGTTATGCTTGTTATTAAGTTTGACATGGTTGCTTGAGGAACGTTGTCCACACGCTCTAACTCGGAGAGGTATATAACGCCGAACTAGTATTTTTAGAAAATTGCAAACGTGTACTATTGGATTTAAATCTGGGCTGCGAGGTGGCCAGTGCAAAATGTGGATCTTGATTTTATTTGAATATTCCAAAACAGTTGTATAAATGGTGCAAACGGCATGATGATTTTGAATAATATTTTCTAAATAAAATTTTGAAATTCAGAGTTCTGGAACAAATAGGAACCGTACCTCAAAACATGTTCCCAACAGAACATTTTTGAACTATCAGCAAATCACTTCTTTGGAGAGATAGTATCTTTCTCCATATCTAATCTCTTATATATAAATGCTACAATTGGGTTTTCAAAGCTATCTAATGAGTCAGGTTAAATTCAGCGACTCAATAAGATAGGAGCCTTTGTGAAGGTACAACCTCCTATTCTTTTCCATATGGATTGCACTGCGTCGGACATTTTTATGGGAATTAAAATTTCTCGTATAATATAATAGTGTCGGCTTGGAGAAGATTGGAGGGTGGTTGCCTCTTTGGCTAATTAACCAAAACTAAATTCATGAGCAAGATAATCAATCCAATGTTTTCGGATATTTTAAATGGAAATTAAATCTTATTAAATTAAAAATTAAATTTTGCGATTACCTCACCCATGGTTAGTTAATCATAATATTATAAGCTTTTGCTAAGTTTTCTAAGGACTTATATATGTATTACCCACATTCATAATAAATAAATAAAAACAATTAAAATTTAAAGTTGTCTTTGTTAGAAAACAATGTTTAAGTGTCAATCTAATGTAAATAGTAATAGGTAGGTATATTGCAGTTTGTAGTTGGGTTCTCCACCGCTATTGAAATATTGAGAAAAAATGACATTGCGAACTAGGCAGATTCTTGGCTACCAAGAACCCTCTTGAAATTTTCTCCGATGAACTTAATCGTGCAAATGACGGTTAATTAACACGCCAAAGCAGATTTTCCTTTTCGAATCAATTGATTTTTGAAGGAAATTATGGAAATAACCTGCCGAGGCCAAGAAACCACCTGTAGGACAGAGCATCAGGGATCTACTTTTAAGACTTTTTTAAGATGTTTTAAAAATATAAAGATTAAATATTATAATATGCCTATTTAGATATGATAAAGTCACATTAGTACTAATAGAAAATGCTGCGATGCTAAATGTTTACCATTATCCATAGTTACCTAAATAAGTTCGTTGTGATCGAAGTGATCCGGAATATTTTTTATTACATAATTTTGAAACTTGTTTTAAAAAAGTTCTGAAATTCTAGTTCTAGTTCAAGCGAGAGTCCTTAATATTCTTCGCAGCCAACAGCAAGCAGTCTCTCTCCCCCTCTCGCCCCTCTCCACCCCTTTATACCACTCCCTCCCCCTCCCCACTCTCCCCTTTCTTCCCCTATCCCTCTCTCCTTTTCTCCCACCCCTCTCTCTCCCCCTCACCCCCTTCCTTCCTCTCTCCCCCTTCCTCTCTATCTCCTCCCCTCTCCCTCCCCTCCCCCTCTCCACCTCACCCCATTCATCTCTCTCCTTCCCTCCCCCCCTCTTTCTACCTCTCACCCCTCTCCCTTCCCCCTCCCTCTCTTCCTACCTCTTTCTCTCTCCCTTCCTCTCTCTCCCTCCCACCCTGTGAAACTGCTTACTCTTTCGAGATCGTCAAGCAGATGAGTCCTGTTTACTACGTTAGGCTTATCCACTATCATTATTTTTGTTTTGGTTCTGTTCATTGTTAGATCAAACTTTCTACTGTCCGCTCCATTCTGTTTAAGAGATCCGCCATTTCCTCCTTCGTTGCAGCAAATACGACGGTGACATCAGGATAGCGGTAGTTGCTTTTTCCATCCAACAATAGGTATGAAGACGTTTTGGATGACGGTCTGCCACACCATACGTTCAAATCCTGCTTAGTACCTTCCGTTATATTGCTTTCCATTGTTGCAGCCATTTGCACTGCTGGACCGGGACAGAACCGGCAAATCTGCCCTGCACTACTGCTGCTGTAGCGATCGCGTCTGGGCGGCGCAGGCCGCCGACTTGTTGACCATGGCCGCACCGGATCTGGTGGAGGCCCGCGATGAAGACGGTTTCACGCCTCTTCACTTGGCTGTGATAGCCGGCAACACGCAGCTCGTCACGTTTTTGTTGGCTAACGGGGCGGACGTTGGTGCGGTTGACAATGAAAAGCATACGGTCGTACACTGGGCAACAGGTAATCCGAACGCGATTCGCTGTACAGTAATTGAAGTCGCAAAAGTGTAACAAAACTATTATTTGAAGAAAAAAACATAACGAACTTTTTTGAATTTAGGTTCACTTTATTGAAAAATAATATTAGTTTTTAAAAATACTCCTTAGATATACAGGGATCCCCAAACTCAATGACCTATTAAGAACCTTTAAACATTGGGTAGAAGGCTATGATCTCTATTTTTGAAATATTTGGGAAATTGCGACATGTATGTACTCGAATCACACTCCAATTTCATTTTGTTAAATGGATTGCTCTTTATATATTATTACATTTTTAGATTCTGTGAAAAAATTAATTATAGCTCTCTGGAGCTACTTTGGAGATTAAAATTAAAATTATTTTTTATAAAATTGAGCAAAGAAAATCTATCTCGAACATAATTATCAATATTCAAACGTTTTAGGTAAATTTTGTTTACGGTTTGTCAATAGGCAGCTGTATCATATTATGACTTGATGTTTAAGCTATCGCACACAGGATGTTAGCAAAATTATGCACATTTTGCAAAACATAAATGTTAATTAAACGTGAATTTTACATGGAAGTCTATGTATTTTATTGCGGAAATAAAAAGAACTCATTCTGGATCTAAAAGTATTATATTATACCCTATCTCCTTTGAATCGTTTTGGAAGCCAAAAAATACAATAATGCAATTTATGCAAATATTGACTGTTTCAGTAGACAATTGCCAATTGAATAAGATAGTATTTATGTGCCAAATTTATATTCAGATAACCATTTATTAATATAATAAAGCAACTGGGATTTTCTGTACTCCAAATTGCGATTTTTAATTGATAATTATGCATTTTGTTTGTCTTTAAATTTTGTCCTATCGTTATAGTTTCTAGGACTGTTTATTGACGCAAGAGGATATACACAAAATTTATAGTAGATTATAGTTTTTAAAGTTTTAAGTACATAGAGATCGATATTTAGGCCATTACGGCCACAATATTAACCAATAGCTATATGAGAAAAACTAAAAACCTATTTTGGATACAAGTATTTTAAAAAAATTTATGATGGCCGGGAACGAAATTTTCATAGCTCCGCTCAGAACTCTAAAAGCATGTTAAGCAACTACTTTATTTTCCATTATAGTCAGTTCTTCAAATTACGCCTGATGTGTGCCACCCAGTATATGTGTCAATCAATCGACTATAATTTTTTTATCGATAGTAATTTGTTTTCGGCTTATGAGATTTTAATGTCATAGCACAACCGAAAATTTTAGCTTCGAACTGGAAATTTTGTACACAAAAAACAACTCAAAGTTAATTGAATTTTACAAAATATTTTTTAAGCTTCAAAATTTTTCAAATTTGTAAAACAATGTTCATCAATATCCACTAAAAATATTTAACCTAAAAAACTTTTGGTAAAACTTGTGTGTCACTTATTAAGCAAGGATTATATACAGAAAAATATCCACCTAGTCTTAATAAAATTAATAGGTTTCTGCTTTCTTCCTCCAGTGGTTTAATTCTGAAAAACATACTTCACAATTACCTACACATAAATATCACGAATTTTAATATATTTTGGTTTATGCCTCATACTGCCATTACCTTAAATATTTTAAGTTCTTAAAACAAATTTCTCACTCGTACATGTTACAATAGTGCTTATTAGAGTATCCGTTTCCACAATTCTATTATAAGTAAAATTTAAGAACAAAATTACAACAAGGAAAACTAGAAAATTTACTTCTACATCTATCTACTACATCATAAGATTTATAGTTGATAATGTTGTTCCTAAAAATTTGTCTAGTTTGCGGCGAGACCACGGCTTTAAGGGCGGTCTTAGCAGCAGGAGCTCCTGTCTCAACGCCAGACGTTCATGGTGGTTACCCTCTACACTACGCCGCTCAAATGTGTGGAGGGGTGCGTATCTTAGAAATACTAAACTATAAACAAAAATCGTCTTTCTTACGTCCTCACTTTGTAATTTCATTCAGGTATTCCTAATCTTTTATATTAATTAAGTATAATATTAGTTTAATTAATAAAATGTATGCGCTTTGTGGCCGAATTCATTCGTAAAATAAAAGAGAGGAAAATGTAGTGTGTGTAGTGTTCTATATGTATTAAATTTATTTTAAAAATTAAAACTTTGCTAATCAACTTTTTTTTTGTAAAAATGACGAGTCATATTTTATTAAGTGACTTATTGATCTCCGCTCTCAACACTGCGGAAAATGAAATTGTCTGTCATCGAATGAAACAGTGATACAGATTATAAAACTTATATGATTAACTTAAACTTAAAAGAAAATGTGTTTTTGATCAAAACATATCGTTTAAATTCTATTTTAATTCGCTAAAGAATAGATACTTATGTTTTATGCAACTGTACAATATTTCAAATCATAGGAAAAAAGTAAAGAACAATGATGTCCACTTGTATTTGTACCGAATGAAAAGAATTTTAAAAAGGGATTTTAATAACAAAATAACTAAACCTCCTATAATAAAGTCGGGTTAAATATTCTAATTCCTAACTTAAATACCAAGGGTGGATCAATTTTAAAAGTGGCAACTGTTTAGAACATGATATTAATATTGGCTACATAACAATTACAACTTGTTGTTGAATACAATTAGAACAAAAAATGATTTTCACAGCTATTTTCTGGTTTATGACAGCTGTTCCGGCAAAACCTTGCCTTTATAAAATACAAAACATTACAACCCCAGTTGGTCACTAAACAAAAGAATCTATATGGATTTGAATGGGTCTCCCTTGTTAAATTTAAATTGAAATAAATTGTATTACTTAATGACCAACTGGATTTGAAGAGTTCTGCGTTGTTAAATTTAACCTTTATTGTAACCTTTGTAGGATGAGCTGACCAAAACGATAAAATGTGAAGTTGAAAATGTATAATAATGAGTAATTTCTAAGTTTTTTTTTTGGTCTAAACGCACGGTGAACAGGCCATCAGCAAGGTGACATGGTTCGCATCTGAAACTAAAAAAATATCCTGAGTACCAAAGATTATTAAGATTCATGAAGCAAACTTAATATTACTTAATATCACCAGACATCACAGATAACAGATATAGCATAAAATCTGGAACTCAGTTTAGATTGGTACTAAGGGAAGGACACACATAGAACCTATTTCAATCACTAGTGCTGGTTATTCCGATCGTGCAATGTATACTAAGGGCAAAGACACGCGAAGTATCTTGTCGCAAATAGCCTGCACTGAAGGGCAGAGACACGCGACAGTGCAATAAACAACAGGTCATAATATACTGAAGGGCAGAGACACCCATAGTACCTTTTTGAATCACTAGTGCTGCTTATTCCGAACGTGCAATGGATACTAAGGGTAGAGACACGCGAAATATCTTGTCAAAGCAATAAACAACAGGTCATAATATACTGAAGGGCAGAGACACGCATAGTACCTCTTTCATTCACTAGTGCTGATTATTCCGATCGTGCAATGGATACTAAGGGCAGAGACATGCGAAGTATCCTGTCGCAAATAATCACACCGGCACTGAAGGGCAGAAACACGCGACAGTGCAATAAACAACAGGTCATAATATACTGAAGGGCAGAGACACATATAGTACCTTTGTGAATCACTAGTGCTGATTATTCCGATCGTGCAATGGATACTAAGGGTAGAGACACGCGAAGTATCCTGTCGCAAATAATCACACCAGCACTGAAGGGCAGAGTCACGCGACAGTGCAATAAACAACAGGTTATAATATACTGAAGGGCAGAGACACCCATAGTACCTCTTTCATTCACTAGTGCTGATTATTCCGATCGTGCAATGGATACTAAGGGCAGAGACATGCGAAGTATCCTGTCGCAACTAATTACACCGGCACTGAAGGGCAGAAACACGCGACAGTGCAATAAACAACAGGTCATAATATACTGAAGGGCAGAGACACGTATAGTACCTTTTTGAATCACTAGTGCTGATTATTCCGATCGTGCAATGGATACTAAGGGTAGAGACACGCGAAGTATCCTGTCGCAAATAATCACACCGGCACTGAAGGGCAGAGACACGCAACAGTGCAATAAACAACAGGTCAAAATATACTGAAGGGCAGAGACACGCATAGTACCTTTTTCAATCACTAGTGCTGATTATTCCGATCGTGCAATGGATACTAAGGGCAGAGACATGCGAAATATCCTGTCCCGAATAACCACACCGACACTGAAGGGCAGAGACACGCGACAGTGCAATAAACAACAATATTCTGAAGGGCCGAGACACTCCACAGTAGACCCGACTTTCAACAAGCAAAGGAACGACGTTTACACTAAAATTTTAGAGGGTAGCTTAAAAAATATATGCGTCTTACACCTGTATATATAAACTTATAACCTTTCAATAACGATAATTAAGAATCTATTACTAATAACCAAAACTAATAATTGCGAAAATCTGAACATTTTTTGTTCTAATTTAATTACGTTAAATGGATTTTCATAAAGTAAAAGCTATCCTAGCTCAATTAAAAGGTTTATCATACAAAATAACATCAATAATTTCATTTAAGTGTTTGTATTTTGAGTGCACTTTCGACCTTCCTTTGCTTTATTACCTTCCACCAGTAGAAGAGATTTCATCACCATTCCTAATGTCTTTCCTAATACTTAGTTGGGTATCATAATGTTTAGGACAAAGATTCCATCCTGGGTCTTCAAGTCCTCCAGATCCTCCTTTATCATAAGGACATCAAAGTCTCTGTCGAAGATGGCGATAAAAGGCAGCCTCTGCTGTGGGCCGCCAGTGCGGGGTCGTCAAAAGCGATTCTAGCTTTAGTCAGAGCCGGTAAGATGCAGAACGCCGATAAGTAGGTTACATTAATTTTCTAACGGTGCCGACTAATCAGAATGCAACGGTTAGTTCCGATTATGGCGCGAAATTTAAACTGAATCGGCCATTCGATACGTGTTTGTGGGCATTTAGGAATTTCTGATGGTTTAGTTTGATTGTTTTTGATGAATAAACATGAATTTATTATTAATTGTATTAATAGGCTTTAAAATATATGCAACAATGTGTTTATAATACTTTTATTCGTGTTTTTTTGGGTGGATAGCGATATAAATAAATATTATTACACATCCTTAACAATTTACGTTTAATTGCTATTGTACCCTATGAATGATAAAACATAAAATGTAAGTACATACTGATAGAACACTTATTTCAAAGCTAAATGTTTTATATCTAAAAATTAAAAACAATACGCTCAATTTCCCTGTTTTAGAATTTTCCTTAAGGTTTACAACTGCAAAATCCTCTATTTTCATTATAAAACAAGTTAGGAATTCGAAGTAAAAGTTAATATTAACCACTTTCAAAGCAACACCAAAAAAAAAACTAAAACCACCAAAATAATGCAATAATATACACATTATATTTAAAATTGCCCATAAAAAGTTTAAATTCTTAGTTTTACATTCGGACTATATCTAACAAAAAATTTATTATACTCTAGGAAATCATGCTTTGTATTTGACAATAAAATTTAATAACAGCCTGGTCCTTTCTTTTATATGCTAATTTTTATGGCACGTGTGATGTATAAATATATTATTATTGTATATAATATTATTATATTATATTATATAAATATACTTTCCAAACTACCTCCAATTTTTACGCTGCGTCTTTTAGTTGAGCTGACGTAGCCTAATTTAGATTCCTTTGTAGTTAAGTTATGATAAGTATTTAAATGTTTAATTAAGTCTGTATGCAATGGACAAGAAGTCTTGTTTGCACATATTGGACAAGTTTTTTTGGATCCCTCGGATGTAGAAACTATGTTTTGGTTTAAATAAAATAAGACCGAATTAGATAGGCGGGCTATATTAACCAAAATGTAATGGATTTTGTCGATGCCGCCATTTACATTTTAAATTCAGTTCCGTCAAAAATTCAGATTGATGAAACCGCCTTTTGATTAAAGAAAATTAATGAAATTGTTATCAGGAGCGTTGGTCGAGTCGTCAGACAAGGACGGTTTAACTGCTCTGCACTGCGCAGCCTCCCGAGGTCACACTGACTGCATCGACACGTTGCTCACCCTCTGCGGTGCCAACGCCGACGTCATCGATAGCAACGGCTGCACAGCGTTGCACTACGCAGTTACGCTAGGTGCGTATGTGAGTTTACCAAAGGGCCCCTTATTTTATAATATAATTATAATTAAGAAATAATTAAGAAAAAAATAGTATGTTGCAGTCCTTGATGTTCTGAATAAAAGTCTTCGTGGGCCCAATTCGTATCCGATGACCAGCATTCGAGATATCGGTGCTCAAACTTGGACAAGTGCAAATTTTATTTTTTTCAAATTTTAGTTACTTTCGAGATAAAAATTAAAAATTATTTTTTTTTATATTTATTTTTAGATCAATTTTGTTTACGGTTTGTCAATAGGCTGCTTATCATATTTATTACATGAGCTTTAAGCTATCGTACACAGGATTAATTAAATGTGAATTTTCTACGGAAATCTCTGTATTTTATTGTGTCAGTAATTCAATTTATTCAAATATGACTGTTTTAGTAAGTCATATCGACAAGTGTTAATTGAATTAGATAGTATTTAAGTATTTATGTGCCGAATTTATATTCAGATAACGATTTATTAATATAATAAACGAACTGGGGTTTTCTGTAACCCAAAATTGTGATTTTCTTTTGCTGGACATTTCTTTTTTTTTGAAAATTTACTTGTCAGTCCAAACAATTCTTCAATCAAAATCTGAGTTAAGTTGAAGAAATTGTACTGTCATTAATTGATAATTATGCATTTTATTTGTCTTTAAATTTTGTCCTATTAAATTGTATTCCTTGATGTTCTGAATAAAATTATTTGAGGGCCCAATTCGTATCCGATGACCAGCATTCGAGACATCGGTGCTCAAAGTTGGACAAGTGAAAATTTTATTTTTTAAAAATTTTGTTTAGTTTTAGCAACAGTCCATTAAAAACAGAAACCTTACTATTTTGACAAAATTATTATGGTAGGATTGTGCTTATTTTGTGGAAATTTTTATATAGAGGTTTATTTTATTATTATTGAAAAGATTGTAAAATTATCGCACCTCATTTTCAACCGATGTTAACGACCAAAATGACTAAATATATTGTTCAGACGACGTAATGAGTATTATTAGGTTTAACAGTTGAAACTATGAAATATGTATGGTTCCAGACCGTAGCAATTTTTAAATTACGATTACGATATTTACTTGAAAGTTCATATACTAAGTTTTTAGTGCATTTTCCGCAATATTCGTGAAGCTTGAACATACAGAATGTTCAAAAATTACCTAGTGCTCAAAACGTAAAATTTGCCCTAATTGATAAATTACCTCAACATCGTAAATCCCTAGGTCACGCAGACGCGACTGCGCTCCTATTGGCCCATGGTGCGGATCCCAACAGACAGGACCGAAAAGGACGGAGTCCTGCGCATTGCGGTTGCGCTAAAGGTCAGTTTGAAACCGTCAAATTGATAGCATCGCGTGGCGCCAACTTGTGGTTGAGAAACGCGAGAGGCGACTTGCCCCTCCACGAGGCCGCCAATTCCGGAAGGAGGGAGTTGGTGTCGTGGCTGTTGAGCATGCGTCCGAGCCAGGTGAATGCGAGGAATAACGACGGCAGGTGTCCGTTGCATATGGCCGCCCTCAACGATAACACAGATATGTGCAAGGTACCTTCATCCCATTTTAATTAAATATAATATATTTAAACATAATTAAATGAATCTCATCGAAGGATAAATGCTAAAAATACTCGCCATAAGGGTTGATGCCTGGTATTTCGAAAAAATTGCGCCAAAAGTTTCGTATAAACCCCTGTGACGGAAATAAGCTTGCCAAATCGTGCAACCCCGCGGACTTTTTGTCTACTAATACCACGAACATTGCTAACCTCATAAATTGAAATCCCAAAAACTATTTTTATTCGGTACTTAACGTTAGATTGAACTGTGTGAAATTTCGATCAAAATAGCAAAAATTATATTTAAAACAAAAAACCTTAACAATTTTCTGGCATCTAAGCCTATTTGATATATTTTTACATATTACATTATATATTTTCGGCATTCAACAAAACACATTAATTTAATGACAATTATATAAAAATCTATTGCCAAAAAAAGGAAATTTTCATATAATTTAAAAATTTTCCCTATATTCATTAATACTGATAAGTTATTGACACATAATAATAATTGAAATGGTGTTTCACCAATGCAGGACCCGTAAAAGAAGTGATATACTTCAAGTATACTATTAGAATAATAAAAAATTCGCTGCTACTCGTTGCCTCGCCAATATATGAGATTTTATCCAAAGCAACGAGTTATCAAAAAGAATGTCCCAATAAACGTGCTTTGAATAAAGAAAATTAACTAAATGCAGCCTTGAAGTACATGTTTTTTCTCTTTAACACATGCTATCAGGAGTTCAATCCACTTAGTTTTAAAAAAATACACCGCATTGAAATTTCGCAAGACATATAAGGTTAGTGAATGAAGACCAATGCCAAAGGAGTATGTAGTTTTGGGAAATATAATAAAATAAATATCAAATATATATATATATATATATATATATATATATATATATATATATATATATATATATATATATATATATATATATATATATATATATATATATATATATATATATATATATATATATATATATATATATATATATATATATATATATAATTTGATATTTATTTTATTATATTTCCCAAAACTACATACTCCTTTGGCATTGGTCTTCATTCACTAACCTTATATGTCTTGCGAAATTTCAATGCGGTGTATTTTTTTTAAAACTGATATATATATATATATATATATATATATATATATATATATATATATATATATATATATATATATATATATATATATATATATATATATATATATATATATATATATATATAAATTTTAGGGACCGATACACAAAAAAAACGACACACTATATAACTATAAATAATCCTTGAGAAATTCATGAAATAAACACCTAGGGTATCGTTTATGTTTGATCATTACTTGAATCAATAACTATCAAAATTGGACTTGATGTTAATGGATTTCTTTTTTTGGAGGCATATGATAATATCGTAATAATTACAGTAACAATCATTCACTTAAGAGACTATTCTTAATACCCAAAAATCATACAATTGAAAGTTGGGAAACATGTGTGGTCAAATAGAACAATATTTAGTATAGTAATAGAAATTATTATCTTCCATTTGTAAATTATAATAGAATAAAAATTTTAAAAATATCAAATAAGCAGACATATCAAAAATTTGCTAGTGTTTTGTTTTACATATATTTAAAAACAAACAGATTTTGCTGTGTTCTTAGGAAACAAATTTTTAACTTGAAGTGATGATAACCTTGTTTGTTTCTTGCCTCTTTGTCCCCATTTGTATTAAATAAAAACTGTGCGCAACTTGTTTTAACATATTTATTTAGTAAATATGAAAGTATTATTTCGTAATCTGCTGAAATAAGCGTCTACAATGACTGTAATAAGCACTTACTATTTTTAGCATCGCTCCAAGTTGCCGCCTATTAAAACCGGTAAGCGTAACCTGATGCGGTTAATCGACAGCACAGATCGCGTGCTTTTCATATACCACCCCCTTCCCCCGTTTATGGCCTTCTCATAAAAATTCATAAGTTAATTTTACTTATCACGTAAACTTGAACCTTGATCATCCTAGACGGGTAATCGTCATCAGGGCTACCGGATGAAGGAAAAAACAGCCCATAGGCCACAAGCGTGAAGGCTCGTTTGTAAAGTTCAAGGCGGATTTTCTCCAATCAGGTGGAAACCAGGGACGTGTTAACACACTATGTTAGGCCCTGACCGCTAATTTGTCTTCGCTGTTGAAACATTCCTATAAATATACTCAATGCCGAATGCCGGGCTATGCGACAAAAGTTATTTAGGGGAAGTGGTTTATTCTCGGCAACGTCTGCATAAAAAAAGAGGGTGGCAGGTTTTCACACTTGAAGTTTAAAAACCTTTTTCGGGGCCTTCATATGTCTTTATTGAATAGTAGAAAGATAATATCGATACTGATTATTGATTCTTTTTTCTTGGAGGTTTCATGAGTCCTGATAATTATTTAAATAATATTGCTCCTAGCTCTTTTGGGAAAAATGTGGTGGACAAAAAGTCAGTGGCGGGCATTTTTTTCTAAAAAAGAATTACATAGTTAGCGATTAGTTAACGTGATGTCACTATTAACACTCATTCCAAATCTTAAATTAAAATTGTTTACAACTTTGCACCCTATATTAAAAAGCAAACCTTTTGGGACACAAGTTTATATGCAGGTTTATGCTTGAATTTAGTTATGCATCACTGGCACTACGGCTATCAACATTGAGTAAATGTACTCACGATGTCTCCGAAAAACAAGGTGCTCAAACATAATTTTCAGTAAAGACCAGGCGTTATCTAAAATTCTGTTCTGTCAAATAAATGAGATTTTATAGTATGAATAATTCCTAGTAGAAAACAACCGTTAGAATTTTTCGGAATATTAACTCGGTATGATTTAGGAGCCTTTAAAAATAATTTACAATATGAACACGAAAGTTGAATATAATAACAAGACTAGTAGGAACTAACGATAGATGAACCATAGAAGAGTTTTTGTTTTGTTTTTGAGATATAGGGTGAAACAGGAAAGTTTTGTAATACAAAGTTTACCTTTGTATTACAATACAAAGTTTACCTTTGTATTACAAACATCCTGCATCGTAATAAGATGATGAAAACGAAATTTCTATAATGTTTCAGTACTATACTAAATATACTAAATGAAGCATCCACCAAATCGAGAAGTACTTTTAGAGCTTTTTTCAAATTGAAAATGATAACAGATTGGTATTCAGGACTAATTACAAGTAAATAGACCAATGACCAGAGTTTTTAATGTTTTAAAAAATATATATTGTAAACCTTGTAAATGACGATTATTTTGTATGTGATTTTAAGATCTTACATATTTTAATTATACAAATTTCAAAAATAATGATAAACTTTTTAAGGGACATTTATTTTTTAGCATCATCTAAATTACAAAATACAAAATTAAAATATAAATTAGCCAGTGAATTTGACAGTCTCCATAGCAAACTTGGTTTTATAAAAGAACCAGTATGCTGACGTCAATCAATTTTGATGTTTCAGTTATTTTCATTATTAGATGAGAATTAAAAATTCTTTTTAATTAAAAAAATATAGCTTTATAAATTCTGAAAGAAAATCGTTTGTGTCTTTCTATCGAACAGAATTATCAAAATTGAGCCACAAACAAGCATTCTACAAAAGCAATGCTTAAGCAAGGCACCCGCGATATTTCGAGAACCCTGTATTCGAACTTAGTATAGTTAGGTTTTATGCAGTCCTGAATAATAATTCGTTTGCCAATTTATTTTCCCTAATAGTACTTCTCTTTTCTCTCTCTTTTGTTGGATAGTCTCAGTTGGCCATGACTTTAAGTTGAAGCAATAAGCCAAACAAGATTCTAGTGCATTTTTCAGAGACTTATTCAACAATTTTTTTTTATCAAAATCGAACCATAAACAAATATTTTTCAAGGGTGTACAGTTCTTAAGTGGGACACACTGTAGAAAATATGCTTTTATATATTCTACTATAATTTTATTATTGTTATTATCTTTCGTTTCACTAATTATATTACTTGATCTCTCGGTCAGATCCTCCTCGATTCTGGAGCCCAAATCAACCCTATCCTGCGAACTTCCAAGAACGTCTTCATGACTCCACTCGACTGTGCGCTGCAGCGGGGTTTCCGTTCGACCGCCAAGTTTCTGCAACTCCACGGAGGCGTCCCAGCCAGTCGCGCCGGCAATCAGATTCCCGTTCCTTCGCACGGCAGCTTCCCAATAAGAGACGATACCACGTTCGCCAGCAGTTCCGAGAGCGAACGCGAGAAAGTGGGGACGTCAAATAGTGCTCGAAAGTCCCCGATGAGAAAGCAGAAAAAAAAATTGCCAGGTCAAAGCGAAGTTTCGAGACTCGAAACTCAAGATCAGAAGACGCAAACTACGGGTAGCTTGGAAGAATCAACGAACCCGTCCTCGAGCAAAATCGATTACTCCAACGAGATCATCATTAATGGAAAAACAGAAATAAATATACATCAAGTAAAAGAAATAACGTTGGAGCCTGGAGGCAGCGCTACTTCAAACGTGGTAGCAATCGATTCGAGCGAAAAGATTAGTATTCCTATTCGATCGGCTTCGGGTAACAAGGAAAGACGTCCTAAAAGCGCAAAGTATAGCATAATTAAAGAGAAACATGCACCAAAGGGCTCCAAAAGCGTTACGCCTACTCTCGGCGCCTCAATGGATCATAAGGATTCATTCGAAGCGGATGCTCACAAAACTTCGGCCTCTGAATCCGAAATGAATACAACTGACAAGGTTAAACCCGATGATCAGGCTTCCAATACGAATGAGGAGATAGAAGAAGTTATGAAGATAAACGAAATCGCCACCGAGTCGAGTGAAGGCAAATCAGAACCAGGTATTGAAAAACCGTCAGAGGAATTATCGGTAGAAACTAAACCAGAAGAAAACAAACTTTCAGAAATTGAACCAAGTCAGCATTTTACAGATATGAAAGAAATAGAGAGCCAAGCGGATGTTACGGAACATGAAGAAGGTTTAGAAAGACAAAGCGAACATGTCATAGAAGCCAGTGGCGAGAAAGTCGATTTAGATCAGACTGTGAAAGAAGAAAGCGAAGATTTAGCGCCAGCTGGACAGTCGGAGGGTACAATCGATCACCGTGCTGACAGTGAAGCACCTATTGACGTTTTGGCTGCGTTAGTGACAAAGGAACTTAACGAAGTTAATGGTGAAGTAACTTTAGAAGAGGTCGGTGAAAAAGAAGCCAACAAAGCGCTAGTTGAAGGCGCCGAAGCTTTTAAGGAAGAAGGAAACGAACCTGTAGGCGACGACCAGGACAAAAGGGAAGCAGCAGCTGAGCACGAATTGCAGATAATCACATCAAATCAGATGGGGTATAAGAGCGATGAAAAAAATGAATCGAATGGGTTTGAGCACAAAAGTAAACGACGACCAGTGACCAAGTTGAGAGGAAAACCACGCAAAAAAGGCAATTCCAAAGCGTATTTGGCTTTGGAGCAACAGGGTTTTGGAGATATCGTAAGTTCCTCTGAAGAAACCGGTGATGTGAGCGACTCGTTACTAGACGACGCCAATAAAGTGCACAAAAGCTTCAAGGTGTTAAGTGACAAGGAGGTGGAGGCAATGAGTAAATTTAGACCGGCCACGGAGATGAAGATCCGATCCAAATCAAGAGAAGCCAGAAGGAGTGACAAAACAAAGCCGAAGCAAAGCAAGATACCGACACCTACATTTAGAACGCATCTGTCTAAGAGCGAAAGACAGCTGGATCGGCTTGAAGCAGACGACGCGAGAAGGATGGAACCAAAAGTGCCTTCGTTGCCAGATATTCATAGGGGTACAAATAGGTAAGCCGAAGTCCATCTAGTCTGTTCATTTCAAAATGTAGCTCCTTCATTCAGTTCAATGGTTAATTAACCAAAAGATGCAAAATTGTCAGTGTAATTTTCACAATTTTTCGGGTACCACACGTACCTTCAACAACAATAAATATTCCTTTTCATAATTCTTCACTTGTCACTTCAACTGCCACAATGTCTGCCAATGCCTAAGTTTCTTTTTTTTTTCAAAATGGCGCTACTCACTAGAAATCCTCCATCGCGTGATTCGGAACATACCTCAAACAATTTTTTTTTTAAATAATTTATGCCTGTAGAGTGTGTTCAATATAAGGATGGGATAGCAGGGGGACATCGGATATTAAATTTGATTTTTTTTCCAAAAACGGTTTGTATATTTGTAGAAAAATGCTTTTTTAACAACTTGATTTAGGATTTTGATTATTAGGAATCCAACTTACCAAAGGTATTTAAATGAAATTAAAAAAAAGTATAAAATGTTTTTTTCGAGTGGAATTTAAGAATCAAATATATAAGTACAGGGTTGCTTTCGCTATAGGGCACGAAATATTGTGACTAAAATACAAGTTTAGCAATAGTGATTGTTTTCCTATAATATACTTTTTTAAGCGGAACCCTTCTTATTTCTAACTTTATTGTAGCGGTAATTTTATCTTCATTTGAATTTATACTCGTTTTTTTCTCGCCTGGTGGTAAATAATTTATCTATATATCTAAATCTATTATTATATCAACTATTCTATTATTTTTAAGCAAAGAGGGAATCAAGTAAAAAACTTGAATCGATAGCAATCGAGAGACCTTAATAAAAGTTGTAGAGATGAAATAGCTGACAACAATAAAATAGTTTGATACAGGGCCTTTCCATTTAAGAAATTAGGGAAAGATTAAACTAAAACACAATAAATTAGAATACATACAAGTTGGCAAATCTTTGGAAAAACCCCTTTATGAAATAATTACTTAGGCGCTTTGAAGGACTTTTAATAACACATTTGGCTATCTTTATTATATAATATTATATATTTATATTATTATATACTATTATATTTATATTATTAAGGATGCAAATGAGATAGAGCAGATAAGATAGCACGTTTTTTGAAATGTTTTCTATTTTTTCCTCAATAAGTTGACAGTGTCACATATAAACATTTCTTCAGGAATCATAATATTTTACAATAAACAATATGTCTCAGTACGTTAGAATCATATGGGGAACTTTTTTATTATTAATTTTAGAGCAAAAACGTATTCTTCATAAAAAGTTATGCATCTTCAAAGATCTAAAATACACTCATCAGAAATCTTATTTTTTTAATTCATAATAACTCTCTCGTTTATTAATGTTTTCTAAAATTTTTTGGCATTTTCCTAAAATTATTTTTTCTAAATGCCTGGTAAACTTTTTGTTTCAAACAACCCTATCCCTATCTGCGGGTAACTTTTCCATGGAACACATGTTCAAGGTATTAGCTAACATTCAATGTAGCAGACGGTGCTTTCTGGTTCCAAATACATTATCGTTCTAGTATGAAAACGTAAATGTTTTATAAATGCCAGACCACATATTAATCTTGAAGAAATGTTGATCGCAAGACTTTGTTACAAAATTAGACTACCAGCGACAATGTGGTGGCACGACAGTTCCATGAGACGCGACTCATCAGAAAAATAATTCGTCTTTCATCTTCTAACTCTACTTGGACGATACAATAAAAATCAAAACGTTTCTTTCTATTTTTGGTTTGAATGATTCTATTAAGGTTTGAAATTCTTGGGCACTGTATCTTTTCTTACATTTTGTTGAATTATCGATTTCCTTTTGCGTAATGACATTTTTGGATTGGATACAACAGTCAGTATTACTTCAAATTTTTCGGAATTTTACATCAGGCCTATTCTTAATACTTGCGGCTTCTCTATGGGTTTTATGATTTTCTCCCACAATCAAGATGATTTTCTCTTCATCCACGAGTTTGTAAGTGCATCTTAGATTAAACCTAACTACAATAAAATTTGCATTATTATTGTGCATAGAACCCATTTCAAAACTGGATACATTTTTTCAATGTACATATTTGAACGTAGTTTTTGTTTCTAATCAACTCTTGTAATAACATTTTAGGAAATTGATAAATGTAAATTGAGTAAAATTCTTTTTTTTTCTGGTATACTATGGGAAGAACTTGATATCTGATGACTATTTTAAATTTTAGTACAAGCAGAAGAATGAAAAATAAGTTTTTCCCTGAAATTAATGGTTGCAACTTAACCTATTTTATAATGGATTCCATTAAATAAAATAATAGAAATATATGCGTTTAGATAGTTGGGTTAAATAAGGGAGATAAACTCCAGTCATAGCAGTTGTGCAGTAACTTCAGGTATAATGACCTAATCAAAACTAATCCGTATGTCTTGACGCGGCTTTGCACATGCATTTCAAAGCTGACAACAAACAAAATTCCTGTGTCAATTTACGACATCCAGTAATGAACTAGATAAAGATGTCGTGCTATGACGTAACTGAACAGTTGCTCTGATTGGACTTTCTGTACTTTGTCATACAAGAAATACACACATAAAACATATCATAATAAAATATTACTAGAGAATAAAAACTACAATCAATCAATCGAAGAACAAAAAAGAGGAATAAGAAAGAGAAATAAAAAACAAAATATATCGCTCTCATAATATCGATCTCTGAATAACAAGCAAATGGAATTATAAAAATTATATTTTTCAATTGCATTATAAGCAAAACTTCTAACGTTGGAATTTTTTAATAGTCGGTTTTATTTTTTTTAACCGGTATTTTTTTCTGATGCAAACCTTCTGGAGTGTAGCGGTTTAAATGAACCTCAACGACCCGATTCCATCCTATCGGCACCCATCCGCGCTTATGCCTACAGCGATGTCGAAAGGGGTACAGAGTCGGATATCGACGACAAAGAGCGGAGCAGTCCAACGCGCAGGAAAAAAATTAAAAGGAAATCGCGTATGCGACATCGAGAGTCGAGAAGTGCAGGCAGCGACTACGAGAGCAGTAACTTGATCGATTCTGGGTTTGAACCCAGCCCGAGGAGTACCAGGATTTCGAAATGGAGGAATATGTCGGACAGGGGAGTAACAATGACATCGGTTACGAAGACGATACAAACCAATATTAGAAGGTGCGTGCTATCTGCAAATCTGGGGTATATTCAGATAAAAAATATGATTTCATTGATCTAAATAAGACGGTGAAACCAGTGCCCTCTAGGGGCAACTGCAAAGTAAATTTGAAATTCGCAACTGTCATGTCAAAAAACCTTAAACTAGCAATATTTATTGTTATACTATAAAAACTTTTTCAATTAATGAGAAAATTTGGAATAAAATTGAACTTTGAACGGCCTGTAGAGTTCAGTAATTATATTTTGGTGTGTAGTATCTCCAGTTTAGAGATCACGTTTTATATGACCAAAAAGTACCGCACTCCAAATTTGACGCCGGCAAATTCGCTGATACTTTCGTTTAAACATACAATTTAATGGCGATTAATCAAGTAATCTTTTAATAGTGCATATGCTTTACCTATCTTTTCACAATTCTGCAATTTATCCGAAAGAACTTTGTGATCGACGTTGTGAAAGGGTTTCGAAACATCCAGAAAAACCCACGAGGATGTGGAATTCTTACTTACTTAGTTACTTAATAAGCAAGATAATCCGCAAAAGTATCCAATACGTTTTGGTTAAGGTACCACTTGGAAAGAAAACTCTTCCAGCACCTACTGGAGCTAAAGCGGAGCCAGATTCGCGCTGATCAGCACAACGAATCGGTCCTGGTTAAACGCGCGATCGACCAGTATAATCGATCATGCGCGTCGACCGTAGGGGCGGGCCGTTACGTCCCGCACGACTTCACGTTTCGCAGCTTTGAGAAATTCCTTTACGAGTCGCTGCGCAAGTTGCAAAAGATCGACGTCGCGCATTTACGAGGACTGCCGGAATCAGCCGAAAACGTCAACCCGTTGCTGTGCACGCAGAGCACGCACCGATGCATGCACGCGACGCATGCGTACACCGGTATACCGTGCGCGGCGTATTGTAAGTACGACACTTTTTTGTATTTTGGGCTTTTTGTACTTCTTATTATTTTACTTTATCCCTTATCTGAAGCGTGCGAACTTGATGACTTAAAGTTTTTCCTTATTAACCAGTAAAGTTCAACACTACCTAGGGCGGACAATGGAACGGTCAATGTCAAATGGTGTGCTAAATATTTTTTTGGGAAAATGGAAAATTGAATATGGTAATTTAAGAAACAAATGTCAGGCCTCTCTTAGAAACTGATTTTTTTTTCACAAGCTGCAGAAGGTGTTTTTAAAGCTATTATTTTTTAAATCTAACCAGTCCTTTATTAATGAATTTTACTTTTTACATTATCAATCACCCATTATATATTTTAAACTTGCAAGGTTTCGAATCTTTATGCATAGACGATCTAATCCTAATCATTCAGAAATTTTAGCTATGGAAAAGTATTATTAAGTTAATGTTTTTGTCGTATGGTATTTTTTTCCTTCATGTTGTTTGCCCTATCATAAGGAATAAGTTGGAGGGGGATTGTTCGAATATGTTCTTTAATAAATATTCGTATCTCCAAAAAGGTTTAACGCATATTAATAAACTTTTTTTGTGATTGCTTACCTTGCCATCAGGCAAAAGAAATAATTGTTCAGAAAAAGAATAAATGACTGAATAAAATCAAATAAATAAATATGACTTTTTTATGTTGTTAATATCTAATTTTCTCGAATTTACCAAATAAAGTTCTAATCTATTATTTAAGATGCCAAATGCTATTTCAAATCAAAATAAAATATTATGTAAAAATACTTATCTTTATTACTTTTTTAAATACCCTTGAAGGACACTAAATTACCCCAAAGCTGTCATTAATACTTTTAGACATGCGTAGTCGTTTTCAAATATCTAATATTACCACTTATTTCGTGCCCCGCTCGTGTCTAACCAAACACAAGAATAAAGTGACTTTTATAAAACCTATTGCATCATATACTATATTCCGCAAAAAGTATAGCATAATACATTATTCAAGCCTTAGCAACTTCCGTGTTTTGTGGCAATGCATCTGCATATTTCAAATGTGTAAAGTTGTTTTGCCAAATGAATGCTTAGTTCTTAACTGCCGTTCCGAACACCGATAGAACAAAAATAAAATAATAATATATTAATTATAGAGTGAGAAGAAAAAGATGAAAACAAAATTAATTTTTTAAATAAAATATTGCGATAACAGTTTAATATCGGGGTGTATTAGGTTCGCAATATAAGTTTGCGTCTGTACAATATTCGATAAACGCAATAATTATAGCAACTTATTTTGAAGCTAAATTACTGGTTTGTTTTTAATTTGTAACAACAATTGAGCTAATGTCGTGTTTTCGGAGATTTTTGCATATTTATTCAAATTTCCGTACGATCTGGGAATTTTACCTTGGCATTCCATTATTCTCTCAATGCTCTTAACTGCATATAGCCCTGCCTATGTTGATACTACAGAAACTTTTGAAGAAACTATGAAAAAGTTTTGAGAAAATCCATTCAACATGCGCATTTTGCTCAAATTATGTCAAATTATGTTAAATTTTCAGGAAAAGAATGAGTCAAAATATATAAGAACTAAAAGTTCAGATTTTCACGAAATTATATATTATGACATGACAATTGTTTCGACAACACCGTGTCTTTATCAAATGTCACATTTGATAAAGTCACGGTGTTGTCGAAACAATTGTCATGTCATAATAGATAATTTCTTGAAAATCTGAACTTTCAGTTCTTATTTATTTTGATAAATGAATTTTCATCAAGTAAAAGCCACCTCAGTTCAATTTTTAAAAAAAATGAGTTAATTGTGTCGATATAGCTGATTAGACAGAAAATGGCCAAAGTGCAGGTTAGTGAGTGAGATGTTGAGACATGCGCCAAAACTCGGTCCCTTTTCTACAAAAATACCATAGCCACCAGCGGCGCATCAATTTTTACCACTATATATATTATCTTATGGCTATATGTTTAAATAAGTAACATTTGATAAAGACACGGTGTGGTCGAAATAATTTTTATGTCATAATATATATTCTTCGCTTTCGCGATAATCTGAACTTTTAGCACTTATTTATTTTGATAAATGGATTTTCATCAAGTAAAAGCCACCTCAGTTCAATAAATAAGAAGTGCCTACTTGATATCTTTAGATGATTGTTTTGTACGTTTTTGTATCAGAAAAATTTTATGTAATTATTATATACCATTTTACCGAATATGCTGAGTGTATTTTAGTTAAGCACTTTTCTAAGTATGCTTTTAAAAATAATGTAGAAATTAAGTTAGTTAATTTACGCACTCAAGCTTGCTAAAATGTAATTTCAGTGCCGAAAATGGACCATCACAGTATACCGAAGATAGGGTTTGATTCAGTAGGCTGCAAACCGGGAACGGCCGGATTCTTACCGAAAATCATCGACAAGAAAGCGGTTACGCTCGAACTTAGCCACGGGCCGGACAAGCAGATTATATCTTTACCGACCGACCGCTTGGACCAAAATAAACGCTATTACGTCACGTTTACTGTCAAAGGGCAAGATGCGTCGACGGGCGAAGAGAACGGGGAAACTGGCCACACGCATCCGAAAAGCGATTGAAACAGAAACAATTGGACAAGAACATTTGTGAGATGGCTTATAGAAACGGATTTCTATGCGCACACAAAACTACCGGTCATTTCAGTATAACGGCGATATTTATCAAAATCAAATGGCATACGAGGTCTGTAAATTAAGTAATTAGATTGATTTTTTTTTTATTCAAATAGAGTTGCAATTTATAGTGTCACCTTCAAAATGACTTCCTTCTGAACCCACAGCGCCCTAGAAATGGTTCTTCCACTCCTCATAACAGTGCTGAAATTCCGATAATGGAATAGCTTCAGCTGCGAAATGAGACATGTGTTCTGAATGTCAAACAGCGACTGACTATTTCAAATCATATTGGTCGTGTACATTTCAATAGCTCAATGTAGCCAACCTAACATATATAAAACTTTTATACATGACTTCCCCCTTTTTCCAAACATTGGTTTTAATTATTCTAATATCACAAACTAACACAAATTTTTATTTTACACCTAAGACACTGTTATACACAAAGAACATTAACATAAATAAACAAATGTTATCCAACAAACATTTTTATTTTCTCTTGTTCTATACCTAGTCTCGTTGAAACTTATGTATGTAGATATTCTGTACAATGACAACGAAAAACATTTTACATACTGATATATAATAGGACAATTTCCAATTCACAGCCAAAAACCGTGTACAACAATCAAAAAGAATAATGTATTACAAAAATATGCTATTGTGTAAGAGCCTAACATCTTTTTGACATTCTTTCAAAAATCACTTTTTATATGATTTTCGAAAATCTTGCTGGTTTCTTTATGACTCTTCAGGACTTAGTTATGAAACTTTCTGGTACGAGTTTATAGTCATCACTTGATACGGAACTTTTTACGATACCCGATGTGCTTTCTTCCGAAACGTCAGCCCTATCATCCACAACTGTCAAGTTAGTTTGGCCAAGTGAAGCATTTACAATGCCACGATTCTCTCTCGAGCTGTCTAAATCTAAATCACCATGCATAGTATCATAGATAGAGAGGTCACTACTACTGGTCAAGCTGTTGTCAAATTCTGAAGAAAGATTTAAGTCGCATCTCTGTCGTTCCTTAGAAAAACTATCAGAACAACCTGGTCTGTCATCTCTTGGAACCCCGAAATTATCTGTCGTCTTATTGACGTCCAATAAATAACTATTTTGAAGTGGTGACTCAGAAAAATCTTTGTTCAAGAGATCGTGCAAAATTTTGATAAACTTGATTAGAAAAATTCTGAGAAAAGTTTGAAGGAAATCCAGAAAAACTAGAATTTTGAAAAACACTACTTGATTGGTTGTCCAAGGAACAGTCCAATCGGTCACTAGATTGTAAATAGAGTTTTACAAAATCTGTACTTTTAATTAGCTTAAATTTACTATTTTTCAAAAGTCTTCTTTACAAAAATCCTACCGTGCTGAAGCAAAACTGTGTGTCCTTATACCTCGACACGAGTCTACCCCTCAGCCATTTTGTTTTTAGTTTTATTATTCTTAATATTTGGTCTCACATGAATGAACCTTTTTCGAAGTTTTTTTAGAACCTCTCGACCGTCAGTTAGAAACCTTTTGCAGGCGGTTCCGTAGATATCGAAAAATAAAACGGCACTTATTTGAAAGGTCACATGCATGCATAAAGGCAATTTACTCATCATTGCTGTCTTGGGCCTGGGAGAGGTTGAAGCATTAAAATCCATGCTGTGGTGGTTGATTTATGAGTCGTACTCAAGCACCTAAAACTCATCACCGGTAATGATACGTTGCAGAAAATAATGGGTTTGATTTTTCTCATTCTGGCCTCTTGACAACACTACCTCCATAGGCCTTCTGAAGTTTAGCAGGAGTTTCCTTTGCAATGTATCCAAGTTTGATACAAAACATGATAGAACACTGAAATGAGCAAGTTCAAACCCGCACCGAAGACGACACGGATATTGCCGACACTACTTAAGTTACAGTCCTCGTGCTTTCATATTATACCTCATACAATTTTGATTCATTCTGTATTACTTTTATCCCAAAAAATAAAAATATATGATTTACAACTTTTTTGGGACATTTTAGAACCGTGCCTAATGTTTGTTACTTTTCGAAATATCTGGATCACAATCATATTCTATGAGGTTTATTAAAAACAATGTTAGATCGGAATTCAAAGGGGACTTTTAGTATTTTCCTAAAATAATATTATTTTTTTCAGAATGTTATGAACAATGGGCAATTATTATAGATAGGAGTTTTCGTTTTAATCTTTATTAAAGTTGTTTAGTCGATAATGGTTCCCTCCAAAGTTTCAGTAAGTTGCGAGTTAGTTAGAGGGACTCTAAAAACAATTTAAAATTTTTATATTGATGTAGAACTGAAAGCTCCAACATTTTTGACAAATTAGTCTGCACGATGGTACGGGAGTGGTATTAAGTAGAAATTTTCAGATTCAGTATCATTAATATTCTTAGTTGCAAGAGCTGTGAATGTGTGTATAAAATGTCCGAAATATATGTTTTTGCAAAGCTGTTTGTTTTTTTCGTTCATCTCTTTGATCTTCTTCTTCAGAAATAACTATCTAGATATAGCATGAGCTATTTCATATTTCATACTTATAATACTGCTCTAATTAATTAATTAAATGTTGTTTTAAAAAATTATTTAAAAAAAACTAAGTCACTAATGATATGAAAGTAAATTTAATCAACACAGTTTATCACAATTTGTTATACAGAGGGACATTAAAGATCAACAAAGTTGTCCATCATTTGATACAAATGAGTCATGTCTTTATTATAATTTAAACCTGTCTAAGGTAGAATTGAACTGAGGTGGCTTTTACTTGATGAAAATCCATTTATCAAAATAAATAAGAACTAAAATTTCAGATTTTCACGAAATTATATATTATGACATGACAATTGTTTCGACAACACCGTGTCTTTATCAAATGTCACATTTTATAAAGACACAATGAAATAAATAATATATGTGTTAAGTCGAGTAATAGCTCATTTAAAAAATCTATTTAATGCCTCTATTTTAGCTTTGTATTTGTTAAAATTGGCAAATAAGTACGTTTTCAAAATATGAACATTTGAAAATTTATTCCACCTATTGCAAAATTTTCTGATTGAACAAAGCTGTTTCCATCTTCATATCTCACTTTTTAATAAAATTTCAAATAAAACAAAAGTTACATTTACCCTTAATTTATAATTTGTGTTATCAACACAGGAAACTCTTATATTGAATTTTAAACATTTTAAAAATAAAAGTGAAAATTACAGGTGTTAATTGAAATATGTGCCACGCTTTGAATTTTAACGTTTGTCAATTCTGACGGTGATGTCAGTGAATGGCTTCCTTGCGGCCGTAGAAAAAGTATAGTATGCAACATGTTCGGCAAACTTTTTAAGTCACTCGTTTATTAAACACTCGCTCCGTTCGTGTCAAATTAACTCGCGAGTCAAATGCCGTTTACCGCACTTTTAATTTTTATTTAATTTTAATTTTATTTCATTTTGTTCAGTTTATTTTATAATACATTTCAAGCTGCATTACTAATTATCTATATTTAAATATTTAGGCAATATGAGGAAATACTGGGAAATATAGGGCAATACTCCTTCTGCCTATTCCCGCACCTCTGTCAATGTTTTTAAGGCGTTTTTTTTTTAAACCGAGAGCTCCTTGAAGAAGTGTTGGTTATTTAGAAACCAGCGCGTTTGGTCCCTTAGCTATATTCTCAACTGCCTTAAGTAAGCCTTTACTGAACTTAAAATGTAATATACCATATGTACGATATCAAACTGCTGTGGTTATTGCATGACATTAACTGTTGAATTTTTCATTTACCAAAAATAAATATTTAAGCACACTATAAACAAATCAGTTAGCGAAAAAAATGTTTCACTGTCCTCGATCGGAAAGCTGATTCAAACCTCACATTTGATACCACGATCCGATCGATCAGTTGACTGGAACGTTGTAATTTCTAATATGAATTTATTATTAAGTTGTAAAACTCATTTCATTTTTAATAGGACTATATATCTTTTTTTTCTATGAATTGGGGTGAAGAGTTTTGTAAAAAAAAAGTCCACAACAATCTGGAAATAAATTCAATAAGTTTAGCAACTGAGTAATTAATAAACAACCCAGCATGGGAATTTACAGTTATTTTATTCAAAGAAATGTTAAAATGTTAAAAATATTTAAAAATAAAATTACAGTTTTTTTTGTTCCAGATGTGTCTTTATAACTACAATTATAACATGAGTTTATATTATTAAAATAAGTTAATTGAGATGCTTAATGCAAAAGAATGTGACGAGCTCGAGAACATGCTGTTAAGATGAAGACCAGCAAGTTTTATGTGTTTGTCCGTATCTAATGTACCGTACGTCCAATTTATTATTTTTAATTGGCTGTAACTTTATTAGTTTGAAAGATATCAAAGTAAATAAAGAAACAAAATCAGGGTTAACACACAAGTTTTTTTTTGCTAAATTGAAATGGAACACTCGGTATATTTTATCGACATTCTATTCCATTGAATATCGATAAAATATACCATCATTTTAGTTACAGTTGATTTTATGACTTACAAATTAACAATAATAAGAATTATTTCCATACATACACAATAAAAATCAATTAAATTATTTTACTATTCTAAATACTGCTGCATGTAATGATCATGTTGTTAAACATATTTTTCATCAATCTATGATTTTTCGCATTGAATAATAGTTCCAAATTGTCTCTGATCTGATTAATTGTCACTGTAATTCTTTGCCGTAATTCCATGACAGTTTCACAAGGAGTTCTGAGCACCTGATTTTTGTGTGCCCCCAAAAGAAGAAATCCATTAATGTTAAATTCAGGCTGACCAACCAATATTTCCTCAATTCCCTATGTTACCGCTCGAATATTCCAGTTTTAGAAAGGAAATTTTTGACCCGCATTACATTGTCAGGACGCGCACTGCGATGTGATGATGATTATATATAGTGCTAAACATATCAGACTCAAAATATATGCGTCTATAACACATTATCCAATTTTCCTGGTACACTTGAATGTTTATTTCATGTACTTGTCTAGGATTATTTATTGTAGTGAACAAAGAAATTATTATTTTCCTTACATCTATTTAAAAATTCCAAACAAAACTGCATCCGCCTTTGGGATTGTTCTTCATTAATCTTATAAATTTTACGAAATTTAAATGCAATTTAATTATATTCCTTCAAAACTGAGTGTATTGAACTACGAGCAATACGGGTCCCCTGATAATAAAAAAAACCGAATGTGCTTCAAAGAACCCAATATTTGATAATATAATAATAATAATAATAATAATAACAATAATAACAATGTCAATGTTGCTTAGCATTATGTCAAATGTAAGGGCGGCTTTAATTGTCAGTCAAAGCAATCTGCAAAAATATGTGAAAATGTCTTATTTTTGCCAATATCTCAAAAACAAGCGGATTAAAAATTAACTTGTGTTAAATAGGTGCAATCATTTAAAAAAACATTAAACAGGCTGTTATTTCATAAAACTGTTAGTGTTTTGTCTAGTGCCATTTAGGACAAAAAAATTAAAGCCAACTCTAATTTTTGCTTTGTTCTTTACCTTGATGTTGTAAAAAACAAAAAAACTGCGGCCAATGAAAATGTTATGAAGATAAATCGAAAGCACGGTTTCTTATAAACATTCAGCAACGTGTATTTTAAAGTCTTGAATATGGAGGCTATAACGCACCGTAGGTAACCCCCTGGCCCCTGTGTAAACACCCGCTTATGCGCTAACACTTCCGAAGGTCAGAAGTCCAAAGCAATTGATTTTGCAGTGACATTGTAAAACAACGTCAAATATCGATAACGTTGCCGTGGTAACCGTTTGTATACAGTCACAGGCATGGACGATCGTGGCGATAAATTGGCCCGTTAATGGTCATCAGTCGAAGACGACGCAAAGAAATCGAATGGAGAAATGGTTTAACGGCAGCAAATTGTGGCTCTTTGGGAACCAAGTCAATTTGCTTCCGAAACGGTGAGTCGATTATTTTGTGAATGTATATTTCCCTTTATTTTACCACCAGTCGAAAACTGAACTATTGAAGGTCACTTCAGACTTCTTATATATTAATAATATGTATAATCGCGTGCGGTAAGTTTAAAAAACCTATTTTTTAAGTACTGTAATAAAGTCATCTCGATAGGGCGCAATATGTGGCGCCTTATTTGCAGAAAATTGTCCAGTCAATCATTTATGCCACCCTTATGTGTATATAAATTAATCCTCTCCACGACAATTGTGGAAGTAATCGCAAATGCAAATGAGTACGGATCTATATTCCATTCACAGCACAGCTCATACAAACACAGTTAACATAACACAACATAACAAAAAGTCAATATGTCCAGTGAAATCGGCAGATTGGATTTATAGTTCAAGACTATAAATTATTTTTTCTACTCCTTTCTGCAAAAAACCTAATAATACACCGATCTTGCGTGCAGGAAGCGTCACTTTACCACGTAGGTTTCTTGTCTCACGGATCCGAATCACTTCGGATATTTCCGGGATATTACGGCACGGGTTTGGGCGCAATCGGATGTTTTCGGAGATTTTACCGCACGGCTTGAATTTTGACGTTTGTCAGTTCTGAAGGTCATATCAGTGAATGTATTCATAATGTTTTGCAACATAGGAGATACGAAAAAAAGTTTCTTTTGGAGATATTCGGGGTTTAAGATAACACCCGTATCAATTCTTGTTGAATTTTAAGCTACCCACATTAGGTCACTTGTTGGCAATGTTAGGTGTTTTTTAAATAGCAAAAACATGATACTACTTCTTTTAAAGATATAATACTCCAGATATACGAATAAAACTAACAATATAGATTTAATAAAACTTCAGAGTTGATAGTTAAAGAAACATTTAATAGTTAATTATATATCTTGATTCAAAATACCTAATAACAAAAATAAATAGTTAAAGTCTAACTAACCAAGGTAACAAATTTGAATAAATGAATCTATAAAAAAAAGTTAATTAAAAAGGTTTCGTTTCGCAGATGCGCCTCAGGTTATACAGGGTGTCCCAAATAGGTCGTACCGTTTTGGCGAATTCAATTAACAAAATATCAAGATTTTCAAAAGGAACACACTATGTTTTTATTCAGATATCAATTCTAGGACAAAAAATAGGGTAAGTTTGTAATTTATCTCATATTTAAATTTTACTTGCTTTTTGAGATATTCGACGTTTAAGATAACACCCTTATAATATCTTTTCGAATTTAAAGCTTAGCCACATGGAATGAACTAACCAACCCTTTTTAGTTAACTTTTTTTTATAGATTGATTTATTCAAATTTGTTACCTTGGTTAGTTAGTCTTTAACTATTTATTTTTGTTATTAGGTATTTTCTTTAAATATGAATTCTGAAGTTTTATTAAATCTGTATTGTTAGCAATAGGTTTTATTCGTATAATTGAAATATTATATCTATTTAAAAAATACCTAATATTGCCAACAAGTGACCTAATGTGGGTAGCTTTAATTTCAACAAGAATTGATACGGGTGTTATCTTAAACCTCTAATATCTCCAAAAGTAAGTAAAATTTTGATATAAGATAAACTACAAACTTACCTTGTTTTTTGTCCTAGAATTGATATCTGAATAAAAATATAGGGTGTTCTATTTGAAAATCTTGAGATTTTGTTAATTGAATTTCCCAAAACGGCACCGCCTATTTGGGACCCCGTGTATAAGCTGAGGCGCATCTGTCAATCTGATTGAGTAGTGCATCATCTCCTTAAGTCTGTGGTTAAATTTTCGTTGCAATATCAGTATCAGTAGCGTCACAGCACAATTTTATATGGGGCATGCAAAATATGAAAAAAACCACGTAACCTCAATTTCTGCCTAAACTATGCAAAATTCGAATAGGAATATCTTAAGAAAGTGAGCTTTATTTTAACCAAGGATTCAAAAAATGACAACATATACAGGGTGTTCCATTTAAAATAACAAAGATGATGTCAGTGGGGACACTTTGGGGACACTTGGTATCAACAAGAGAGTCCAAGAAATTTTGTATGAAACTTTTTTTCGTATCTCCTATGGGTTTCGAAATCATTTAATGGATCATTTTATTTGGAACACAGTGTACCCAAAAACTAACGGTCGTAGGAAAAGTATAGTATGCAACACGTTTGCCACACTTGCATAATATACTATACCGACATTTTGACCTTAAAAATGTCGTATTTCGTCGATGATTGATATGCATTTCGGTCTTTGCAGGTATCAAATCAACTAAAGAAACAAAAGGTAGGGTTAGCAGCCAAGTTTTTTCCTGAATGACACGTAAAACAAATCACTAACAATTTTCTGAGATCTCAGCCTATTTAATATTTTTTAAATGAAGCACTCTGTACATTTCATGTGCATTTAATAGAACACGTTATTCTGATTACAAACATATAACACAGTTTATATTTTATGAAAAATATGTGATTTTTATTTAATTACAACGTACTTATAAGATAAAAAGAGTCTTTTTCATATGCGCAACCATAAAAATAAATTAAATCTTTTAATATTCTAAATATTACTGTATTCCACCACCATTTTGTTCAACACATTGTTCGTAAGTTCGTAAATAATACTATACGCAAATATAATTATTCGCCGAAGTTCCACGACATTATTACAAAACAGAACTTCTGTAGATCTGATTTTTGTATGAGCCCTCAAAAGAGGAAATCCATTGACGTCAAGTTTGGACTGTTGGCTGGTGAATCAATAGTTAGAGATATTTTATATTAAGAAAAAAAATTTTTGATCCAGGCGACATCATTTGTGTTGATATATTTAGATTGTGTCTGAGGGAAGTAATAATTATCTGTAGTTATTTTTTGATCTACCAATAACGTACCGAAAATATGTGTTTCCATAACAACATACATTAACATTAACCGACTTCATCCTTGGGTTTTTATTTTATGTATTCGTGTAGGAATGTTGTATCGCGTATTTTGTCTATTACAGGTAATTTTTGTAGTGAATGAACTTTTATAGGTCCATAAAATATTTTATAAGATTATTGTTTTCGTTCATTCGTACTTAAGAATTCCAAATAAAACTGCTTCATCCTATGACATTGTTCTTCAATAAGCTTTCAGTAAGGTAAAGTTTTACTAAATTTAAATTTAATTTATTTATGGTTACAGAAGAAACCGGATATGCTTTCTTTATTTAAAACAACTTCATGCGATCATACTTTTTTGTATAACATGTTACCGGTCTTTTTAAATTTCTTTGCAAGTCCTGCAAATATTTGTTTCGACGGAACTTATTGCTCTTGATAAAATGTAATTTATTGGCGACGCGACGCTTAGTAATTACTCTTTTATTATTCTGATAGTATACGCATGTAATGTTGGCCAACCACCATTTAAATATTAGTAATAACTGTGTCAATAATTTGTCACTATTGATCAATATGGCATAGCAATATATCAAATATAAAGATGACTTTAATTGATAATCACAGGAAATTACAAGAAAAACCACTTATTTTTCACACCGCTCATCTCTAACCAAACTCAAGACTTAAGTGTTGTTTATAAAACCCATCGCACCATACTATATTCCGCAAAAAAGTATCGCTTAATACATTATTCAAGCCCTAGCAACTTCCGTGTTTGTTCCATTGTATAAACTTATTTCTGTCAATTTATGAATTTTTCAACTATAGATAGATCTCTAGAATGTTGGTATGCGCCCCGTTCTCAGGCAGCTCATCGACATCTTTCAAAAGTGTAAAGTTGTTTTGTCAAATAAGTACTTAGTTCTTAACGAAGTACAATATGAATTATAGAACATATGAATTATAGAGTGAAAATGTAGTTTTTAAATAAAATAAGATGGGTATAATTACTGCTCTCTTACGGTTTGGCATTGTTTCAATTAGCCTTCGTATATAAGAAGCGGCAACATTTTACCATTATTCGACTATAGTCTGTTTGAGTTCTAGAAGATTCCTTGTAACAACATTTCACATTTTTACTTCAGTAGTAGATGGTCCCAGATGTGCTCTGTAGGATTCATATCCGAACTTATAGCAATCTAAAACTGTTAATCAAACCTCTTCTAAGTATTCAGATACAATTCTTGCCACCTGTGGTCTTCCATTTTCGTTACAAGAAGACATGGTGCAAAATGTCTTTTATACACCTATCAGCAATCATTGATCCTCCATTAACCATAGTTAATTCTGCGCAGCCGTTTGATGAATTGCCTTCGAACATCATAATAGACTATCCACGAAAATTATAGTTAAGTCGCTTATTACATTCTGGATATCGTGCACCATCTGTCTGTAAACTGATATAAGGGAGGATGAGGCAATGCGGGCCCCCTGGGGCAAGGAGGCCCACCTCAAAAATTAACCAAATTTAATAATTATAAATTCTGGGTATTTGAACATTTTTAGCCCTTTTCGTAATATCAGGGGTAAAATAGACCGCTTAAAGATTCTAAAAAAAGCTATTATTATAACCTAATGATAATTAATTTATTGAAAGTTTTATTTTTTGGATAATTCTATGGATTTAGCCTAAAGTCAGATCTTTCGAAAATCTTATAAATACCAATAACAAACTTTTTAATCGGTAGAAAATAGTTACTAATCAGTAACGTTTTGTTTTATTAAATACTTTTTAATAAATAATTATAATTATTATATATAACATTATAAATAGGGGAGAGTGGGGCACGACGGCCAGACGATTCAGCAAAATTTGGGTAAATTTAGTTAAAGTTAGTCAAATAATAAATCGACTTGATGGTTAAAAGCCACAAAAAATAATAAAAAGCTTAAGTGGGCAGCCTTGCCCCACCCTCCCCTATGTCAATCAGAAAAAAGACTAAATCTAGACTGATAAGTAAACAAAACACGAGAGCATTTGTTAATGGTCCAATTTACATTTTCCCTAGCAAATCTCAAACGGGCCCACACTTGGTGATCTGGTGAGATGAAGCACTGTTATTGCTTGTATTTCACTCTCCCTTAAACTAAGCTTATAGTTTGGCTACTTGCACGTGTATACCGCACATTTTTTCGGTAACATCTCTTAGCAGCAATGCCTGTAAACGCGCAAATAACAAACATCTTGGCGGCTTGACGTCCAACAATAGGCCTTCTTCAGTTTCTCTACACTGATAGTTTAATCAATTCAGTGAGAGCGGTATTTTAATTGGATTGATTAATATTCATTATGTTATTAACATAAGTATTCGTCCGTCCATCTTCGATTAACCCAAGAATTCTCACAACTTCTTTAGTTAAATTACATAGATAGATAGATAGATTTATTCACAAAACCAGGTGATACAATGGATGTTTCGTCAATAAATACAAATAATAAATTACAAGTTTCATTGTAAAAACAATGTATATCATAATCTTAAGTAATGTATAGAACGAATACGAGTATATATTTATATAACAAACATGACAAACAAGTTAATGTAATTTAAAATAAAAGAGAGTATACATTAGAAAAATCTCGGTAAACTTTTGACGTTATTTACGATGCTCTCAGGTACGCTTCAAATTCTTTCAGGCTGTAGAAAGCATTGGCCGACAGGAGCCTCTTGATGTGTTTTTTAAATTGATTTATAGATAAATTTTTTAAGCTTGGAGACAGCAAATTATAATAATATGGTCCCGCATAACTTAGTGATTTTTTATAAAACATATGGTTGAGTTTTGGCTTCAGCAGATGTTCTCTATTGCGAGTATTGTAACTGTGGATATCAGTATGCTTCCTATGTGAATATTTATTGTTATGTGTGATCAAAAGTATTTTAAATAAGTATATACAAGGCATTGTTAATATTTTGAGCTGTTGAAATGTCTCTTTGCATGATTGCCTCGGAGGAAGTTTAAAAATCAGCCTAAGTATTCTTTTTTGCTGTATAAACACTCTCTCAGCATCATTCGCTTGTCCCCAGTTGACAATATTGTGTGAAATGGAAGAGTAAGCTGACGCGTAGTAAAAAGCTATTAGTGCCTTCTCAAGAAATGAATCTCTAATTGTTAATATTGCGAAAAAGGTTTTATTTAGTTTATTGCAGACATTGTCAATGTCCCGGTCCCATCTCAAGGAGCTATCAATATAAGAACCAAGAAACTTCGTGGTCTGATCTATTTCCAATGGCGAACCAGCAAAACTGATCGATAAGCCAGCTAAAGGTTTAATGTACTGACCATTAAACTCAACCACGACTGTCTTTTCCACATTCACGATCAAATGATTTTGCCTACAGAAGTTATTAAACTGTGAGACAACAAGAGATACATCATCCATCAACACTTCTGCATCTCTTCCAGAGACAAAGACGGACGTATCGTCCGCGTACATAAAGACACGACAGTCACTGTTGAGAAATTCCGGCAAATCGTTCACATATAAAAGAAACAATAATGGACCCAAAGTTCCCCCCTGAGGCGTGCCCAGGCTGACGCTATAAAGGTCTGAGTACGTTCCATTTATTTTGACACTTATTTTCCTATGGTTCATATACGATATGATTCAATCATTGATAGGCCTCCGATTACTGTCTCTCCGTTTATCATAAATATGCTGGACAAGTTCATCTGACCCCGTTTCCGTAGAGTGACCAGCGCGGAAACCATGTTGCACATTTGTTATTATATCTTCTTGCTCTAAGAAATGTGTCATTCGATTGTACATGGCTTTCTCTAGGACTTTGGAAAAACAACTTGCGATTGTTATAGGACTGTAATTCTTTATGTCTGTTGAATCCCCTTTCTTAAACACAGGAATCATTTTAGAATTTTTTTTATATTTCTTTTTAATTTGTAACAACAATTGAACTTATATGTTTTCAGAGATTTTTGCTCATTTATTTAACTACTTCATCTCTTGAGATGAATGTTTTGTACGTTTCTTTGAGTTTTAATCCACCATTTCGTCGATTATACGATACTTTTTTCGAAGAGTGTACATAAACTTTAGACTATTCAAATAGGACTTTTCTGGTTGTAGATCCGCCACGCCGAACAAGCTGATGGAGAGATACGAAAAGTTATGCAAACTCGGCGAAGGGAGCTACGGAGTTGTCTATAAGTGCAAGAATCGAGACAGTGGTGAAATAGTCGCCATAAAAAAGTTCACGGAAAGCGAGGAGGATCCGATGATAAGAAAAATCGCGCTTAGAGAAATTCGACTTCTGAAGGTGAATTACCCATATCGTAATTTCTTATTTCCTTTAATACTCACAACAAATATTGTTCTCCAAAGAACGGCTCGTTTGTCGGGTGTTACTTTTGTACATCCGGCAGGATTAAATTTATATTACCATTAGTTACATTCTGAAGCAAGCGACCGATATTTAAGCCATTTATTTAATTCTAAAAACAAGAAATAGTCACTGGGGGCCAAATCTGGTGAAGACTGTGGATTTTTCAATAATTATAATTTTACTTCGATAGCTTTGGTCATCTTAATTGAACAAGATATACTTGCTTTTATTCATTTTTAAAGATAATTTGAAGTTTTTTACTTGACAAGAACAATTAAACTATATTATGTCCGCACTAGAAAAACTCCTGTACTCTCGAGGAAATCAAGTACCTCTTTCGTAAGGAGTTTGGATAGATCCTCAGGCTTAATGAATTGAGCTACTACTACTCTTAATCAGCTGTCCCTTGGTGGTGCGCAGCTAGTTAGGAGATGAATTGGCGTTTTCTCCACTTCTAAACACAGCCTACATGTGTGCCGATATGGAGGTGCCTGCTCAGATGGTTAGGATTCCTACCAGCGTTCGTAGTCGCACGCGACTGAGACTGAGGGCCCACTTTGATGCTGAAACGTACAATTAGAACCCTTTATCCCAAACTATGTGATGGATACAGCTGGCAAGCTGGAGTGCTACTTTACGATTTTATAATTTTCCCATCCCTCGGCTTTGTTGAATAGTATTATCCCTAACATATTCAGACACAGATGGCTCAAAAGTCTAAGAAGTAGGAGCGGGAATATATAAACCCAGTATGAAAACAAAAGTTTCTATTCCAATAGCAACAGTGTTCCAATCAGAGATTACCGCCCTAGAAAAAGGTGCACATCTACACCGACTATTAATGAAAGTTATGAAAGTTGGATCGTCATAAGGCATTAAACAAAGTGACGTTACAAGGGCCACAAAGGTAAGAACCCTTTTGTGGGGTGGCTACACCCATCATGAAATGGATGGAAATAGAATCTCAGAAATGGTGGAAAGATCAAAGATATGCCAAGGAATTCCTTAGAGGTACCTACATAGGAAACATTTACGGCAGCAATGCTAACCTACAAGGGAAAGGTCGTAAGAATGTAGGTTACTACTAACTTAAAAGGCTAAGCCTAAGGGGGGTGAAAGAAAACACTCACTGCAGATTTTGCCAAGGAGAGGAAACGACTATGCGCGTACTACGTCACACCAAGAAATCACTAATCTAATCAGAGAGACAAACCTAGATGAAGCTCTATAGCCAGCGAGCGAATGAGATTAGGTCTTTTGGGTCGCAGATCAACGGCTAATTCTCCAAAATCTTAATATTAACATAACCGAACACACTTTATAATATTAATATTCATTGCAGAATTTGAAACATCCGAATTTGGTCAATTTGCTGGAAGTATTTAGGCGCAAGCGTAGGCTGCATTTGGTATTCGAATACTGCGAGAGGACGGTGCTGAACGAACTGGAGAAATACCTGCAGGGATGTCCCGACCTGCTTACGCAGCAGATAATATGGCAGACGCTCCAAGGGGTGGCTTACTGTCACCAGCACGGTTGCATTCACAGGGATATTAAACCGGAGAATATCTTGCTAACCGGTGACGGCGTGGTTAAACTTTGTGATTTCGGATTCGCCAGAATGTTGAGTAAGTCAACTTAACACACGTATTTTTTTTTTGTTTTGCCAAAAAATATTGTTGGAGACCATTAAGAAATGTTTGTCGATTTTTTCGCATTTATTGTAGGTCGTTATATCAAGTTTAAAGAAAATTTAGTGTCCATCGATGCACTTCAGCTTTGATTTAAAGACAAGGAATTGGTAGGAAAGTTTTGGCTAAGACGATTCTAAAATTTTATAATCATTTTATAATATATGAGAGTAATTTCAAATACAAGGCATATATCTAAAACTTTAATTTGTTTTGGAGTATACTTTACATAGAGCGGTTTACGTAATATTAATTATTTTAAATTATTTTTCTTTAATTTAGTCATTATTTGAAGCTATATAGGGGAGTCGAAATTCGGGTTGCAGTTTGCGAGAGACCTGCATATTAAATTTGCCTAGAAAAATGTATTCCATGGCATTCAAGGTGAAAACTTTTTTTTTCGAATGGAATATTTCAAGATAATTTTTATAATGGAAAATTGTCTTTTAAAGAAGTCAGAATCAGAATTTTAAATGAAGATAAGTGATTTCATAAATTAGAGTTCAGACCATTTCTCTGTGCCTCGTCAAAATCATTAAATAAATTAAATTTTAATTTATTCTGTTATAATTTAATCTAGATACGTCTAGATATACAGGGTTTTTGCAAACTGTAACTAAAATTTCATAGTGTTTGTCTTTTATGATGGCGATGGTGCGTCGTTAATTCGGTCAACTCGAATACCTAAGTACCTAAGTTTTAGTATATAAAAGATGACTGCGCGATTCTTTTATATCTCTATTATACAGGGTATCTCATAAGTGTCTCAAAGCAAGTAACATCCTTATTTTAAATGGAACACCCTGTTTTATTTAGAGGAAAGTTACCAAATATGTAATACCATTTTGGTTTATGTATATAAAAAAAACTTTATAGAGATTAAAACAGTTTAATGTTATTACTAATAAGTACTACGTTTATATGTAGTAATTAACAGCCTTTATTAGTTGTCACATTAAAATCTAACATAAAAACCAAAATCACAAATGAGTAACCAAATATGGAATAGGTATCCATATATGGAAAATAAACATATATCATCATATCAATAACAAAAATAGACATGACAAAAATATCTATGGGATCAAATAAATGAATATAACAAATTGTGATAAATAAAAGCAGTTACTTAATTCACTTGCAAAAGTCACAGATCCAAGTATCAAACTCTGGACCAGCACAATCATAATGTGCCCCAAGCCCACACATTAAGCATTTAATCCAACTTTCTTTACTTTAATACATGGAAAAAAGGCTTGAACAGAGCATACATTCTGCATCAGCAGAGCTTAGATACTTGGTCCACGTCAAAATGGGTAACGTCCCTCAGAGTCTTCTTCTTCACAATCATTCTTCATTTATTTTTCTTCCTTTGTTTGTTTCTCTTTGCAGTTTTCTTCTTATTCTTTGTCTTGCTTTCTTTTTCATATTTTTATTTGCTAAATCATTTTTGTAGGGTGAAGATGTTATGAATGTTGCTACAGCAGCATTTCTTCCTCTGTTAGATACTTTTCTTTGTTTCTCTAGCGCCGGACTTATGGCATGGGGCAGACACCAGACTCAAACTACTGCGATTAAGCCCGGAAGTTGAGGGTGCAGGTTCAGGTTGTACATTTGCAGTTATTTCTCATACATGTATTTCTATCAGAACTTGACCAGTTTCAGATCTTGATTCCGGTGGAGTGATATTGGTAGAGTCGTCTCTTACATCATTATGTTACGTATTTCTTCACAAAACTATGTTTTTAATGGACCTATGAAAGTCTTGTCTAACGGCTGCAATTTGTGAGTCGTATGTGGAGGTAACGAAGCTATATCCCCGTTATTTTCCCTAGCAATATATATTACATCGATATTGTGAGTATCTCCATAGTGTCCATCTAGTATCAGTAAAACCCTTTATCCAGGAGGACAGCCACTTATTAGCTGAGAACTCATATTTTTTCTGGGAAAAATAATGAACGGTGGCACAAAATGACCAGTAGCATTCATGCAAACAACTATTGTCAGAAGAGATCCTCTTTCTGCTGATGTCAGTGCAGCTATCTGGAATTTACCTTTGTGACCGATTTTGTGGTATCTTACTTAATATGTATTCTACTAGCTGACGTTCAAGTTCGGAACCCAATATAGTTTTTCGTCCTAATGAAGTAGACGCAGCCACTGCTGGAGACAGTTCAGAGAGACATTTTCTTCCCCCGACCAATTTTATAGCTTCTGCCATTTTTTCTTCATTCCACGTTTTTCGTTTTCGTTAAAAGAAATAATAGCAAATACGTAACATGTGAAATATAAAAACCTAATTATGGAATATTCCATAATTATATTTGGATTTCTATACTAGTTCAAATTCGTCTAAATATTTTTTCAAGTCACAATCACAATCTAACCAAAACTCAAATAACAAATCATATCAATTTTTTCAAATTTAGGCCCCGGCGAAAATTATACGGATTACGTAGCCACAAGGTGGTACCGGGCACCGGAGCTTTTGGTGGGCGATACCCAATACGGAACTCCAGTCGATGTATGGGCGATAGGTAGTTAAGTTCTCATAATTCTACGCGTATTTAAAACTACCCACCTGTTTTAAGGATGCGTTATGGCTGAATTAATCAAAGGGGAGGCCCTCTGGCCTGGAAAATCAGACGTGGATCAACTCTACATAATCAGTTGCACAGTTGGGGAACTTCTGCCGAGACATATGCAGGTTTTTAAAACCAACGATTTCTTTCAAGGCGTCATCTTGCCGGTTCCTCAAGAAATTTGTTCGTTGGAGACCAAGTTGCCCATGTGCAACCCCACCACCATAGATTTTTTGAAGGTATGTTCATTACGATGACGTCAGATCGTAATAAATAAACATTTTAATGAGACATGAACCTGAACTAAAGATTTGTGGTCTGTTTCAAAGTATATCGTCTTGGCTTTTGACAACAATTATCAAAATAACGTACTGACGGCATTGAAACCAGTTAGTATTGTGAGACAGAGCATTAGGGACGAACATTTAATGTGTTTTAAAAATATAAGGATTACATATTATACTATGTTTATTTAGTTGTGTGTTTCATTAAGATTAATTACAATGAACTATATATTATTTTGTATGGAAATGTATTTGCATTTTTCTAAATCTCAATATTATATTGTTAGTTACATTTTTAATTAATTTTATTGCACTCGAGTAACATTTTCTGCTTTCACTGTTCTGTTGGAAAGTTAAAGTGCGCTTAATTTCAGAATGGGACAGCACTTGGCGATAGCTATTATTCGGCTGCTGTCGGCTGATGCCGTTGCCTAGGCAACCAGTAAATGTCTTCGTCGTCCAGCAGTGGCGTGTTGGTTTTTAATATTTTGTAATTGATTATTCTTATATTTCCAAACAATTTCTACAAATATTGCTCTAAAAAAATTGAATAAAAGGGATATGGTGTTCTATAGAGTTGAATATAAAATTATTCTTCAATTTCAGTTTTTGTTCTTGATGAATTTGATGCTTTTCGTAGCAGATCGTTGTGATAACTTGCGTTATCCCTTACAATAACACTGTTATCTGAAATATTTTTTAAAAGATAGTTTTGGAACAAGTTTTCAAAGAGTTTTGCACCTGTGTCTTTATAATAGTCCAAGCTAGAGTCCACAATAATCTTAGCTAACAACAAGCAGTGAATTATCGTGGTACCTTTTCCTTTATTTGAAAATGCTTTTTTCAGATTGACAATTTTTACTGAAATCAACCCATCCTTTGGATGCTGTATTGTGTGTATCAAATTAAGTTTCATATAGATAAATTGTAGATGTGTTTTCGGAAGTTTTTTTTAGTTTCCTAAGGGGAATTGCTTTTTTGTCTACTTTACCGTATTTAAATCCCATTTTATTAACTCTATACAGAGCCATATACTTTGAGATAGACCATACATGTTGTTACCAAAAAGATTTTAAAACAGTCTGTAATGATAATATAGAAATGTCTGGACAAAGATCCTTCCAAAAGGTGGACGTGCACCGAGCTGATGAATCACGAATATTTTGATAAATTCAGCCTTAAGGTCGAGCAACAAGGGAGCCCCAACAGGGAGAAAACATCACCAAAAGAACGCTTAAAGGTATAAGACGATTTTCTTTACATTTTATAATTACGGAATAACCCACCACAGAAATACGATTTAATATTGGAAAATTAGCTGGCTGAAAGCTGATATTTTAAAGACACTACCGGCTGAAAAATTATTGTAGTTCTCTTGTTTCGGTTCAGACTTTCCAATTTTAAATCTGTTTAATAAATATAGACCGTTTCTTCTTTGTTCTGCCTCCCGGTACTTATTTTCGAATTATTGACAAGAGACCGAAGTTGGTCCTGATGCCGAGTCTGTGTGCTATCGAATTAATATCATGCATATACACACTTTGTATAAAAATTATCGCTCCACTAAAATTTAGGGTAATTTCAAAGCTAAATCTTCTCACGAATTGCTTACTCGATTTGGATATATTTGTTTAAATTGTATTTTAAATCTTTAGAAACGAATGTTACAAAAAACATTTTTAATTAAACTTAAGTTTTAGAGGTTAAAGAAAAAACTAAATTTCTACTGCATTTTTTTTTAATCACGTCAACTGACTTATTAACTGAAATAGAAAATTTAATGTCAAAGCAACAACAGTTTATTACAAATATAAAATATGAAAAAATATGAAAATCACTAAACATTAAATAAATAAAGTCAATATCGGGTGTTTCCTCCCCTACTCCTTATAACTGATTCACATCAATGATTCTTACTTCAAACCAGACCTCTAATTTGTGCTTTACCGAGTCCCTGATAATGTTTCCTCCAAGGAGAGGAGAGGTTGATAATCTACCTACCTATCATTTCATTTTTAAAAAATTGTACTATTCTTGCAGTATGTGGTCTGGCATTATAAAAGTCCTTTTATATTCTGACAAACTTATTCATTTGGCATTAAATTCCGTATTTCATTTAATAACTAAGATAAAGACGCGAATAAAAAACAAAACTCTGAGATGGGGTTAGGCATCGTGACATCTAACAGTGTTGACGGAAACTCCCACAGAATGCGACATACATTGAGTATAAAACTGGTTTTTCATAAAAAAGAACATTATCTTTGAAGTTGATCCAAATTTTTGTAGTGCATTAATTTTGATGTGAAGTTTATTTTGTATTCATTCCATTATAGCGTTTCAGTAATAATGGATCGATGTCATTGCCTCAGCTACCGGTTGGACCTAAGCCGTTGAGCCCAATCAAACAATCCACAGAAAATCAACAAAAATCTCAACTGGACCACCTGCCAACTATATGACAAAGATTTAGATTTTTTAAATAATCATTATTATCACATGATTATTTTTTCTACCTGAACAAAACGCAAATTGCAAGCTTTACTATCTTAAAATTGTGTACATGACTGTTGATAGATTTAGAAATTGTTAATATTTTTAATAAAAAATTATAATTTTTATAAGGCATAAAAATACAACTGCTGAGAGAAAAATGTTGATGTTATTTGGTCTTCATCATTCAGTTTCCAACAGAGCAGGGGACTAGGACGCCGGGCTGTGGACCAAGGACGCTTTTGAATAACTATATTCAGAATATTCTGAGAGTCTGGCGCAGTTGTGACGAGATTTTTTTTAGACCAGGGCTGCACCCAAATATGCACATATTCAAATAAAAGGCCTGTTAAAACTTCATGTATATCCTTATTGTGCAATTGGCATTTTCCTTCTTATATTAGAGAATATTCTTTCTATTCCTTGTGGCAGCCACGGGCTATTCCTAAACAGTTCAAGGCCTGCACAAAATACACTAAACACTAAAAGTGAGTCAATTTTTATTCAGATTTGTCGTCATTTTCCGACTTGACGAATAAAGCATGGTAAAAGGTTTTCACCACCTAAAACAAGAAGAAATGTGCTTACACCCTTAAAATTTGCTAATCAAATCACCCGAAGCGGCGGAAATTCTTTCCTTTCAGATTCCTTTATAATTGCAGGGTTTTTCTGCAACTGCAGCCATGACACATGGATTCCGATCACCATTAAACCTCCGACAAGAAAAGCCTGATTATTGCTTAACCACTGAAGAATTTTTTGTTTCGACATTGCTTCACCTTTTAAGTTTAAATTTAAATTCATATGGCATTAAAAATTGGTCAAGTTCTTAGTCTTCTTCTTTACTATGTGTAGACAACATCAACAAACCTACCTGTCATATTTAGAAACTCTATTACCACTAATAGTGCATGTTTACTGGAGAAATGCGGCCACAATAAGGTTTTCCGCTCCTTTTCTTATTCTGGATAAACTTCTTATATTATTTCAAACTAATTCTATTCATTTTTGTTACTCTTTGTGGTGGAGAATTGCACATGACGGTTTAATATCCGCTTGCTCCGTGAAGAATCTGTTGTATTCGTCCCAAAAAGCTTTGATATTGGTTTCGATCTTGTGATTTTTGTTTCGGAAACATTTGGTGAATGTTTTAAAGTGGGAAGCCGTTTTTTTTTGTATTGGTCAACATCTTTTTTTTGCAAGCTGAGAACAAATGTTGGTAATATATCTTTTTTACGTGTTGGTCTGTGACCAAAAGAAAATATTCCTCTGATGACCTGAGCTATTAAGCACTATTTGAGAAATTCTTCTGTAATAACTAAAATGGTACAAAGATCTTTACACTTGGAAGCGGTTTCAAATAATCCATCACCCATATCTAGGTGCCAGCATTTTCGGTATATTCATATAAATTTAATAATGTTAACTTGAATTTATAACCTTATTCACTAAAATCATTTCCAAAAAATCCGTCTCTTATCTATGGATCCAACTGTGTGTGCTGTGACTTAGGATAATTTTAAATAAAACGATTTTTTGGAAGTGTCCAATTAATATTTAATTTATTGTGTTTTGATTAACCATCGATTATTGTATGGAAGGAAAATATATGATCCCGATATTATGACATGCTGGTAGTACGTACGTGCGTACGTAATACTGGCTAGACTATATATTTTTAACAATAATTTTGTTTATTTAACTGAAGCAATTATTAAGTATAATGTAAACGCTGGAGAAATTACGTAATACAAATAAACAATGGACAAGCCTGCGCGATGCCCTTCATTTAAATTGTAACTAGAATGAGAGTTTTTATTAAAATACCCAGTAATATTCCAAGGTGATCACTTGCCTTTCTCTTAGGAAGAATTTTTTTGATTATTTGATTCGCTATTGTCGGCTTGAATTAAACATGGCTTTGAAACGTCTGAGCGGCAAAATTGCCATAGTGACGGCTTCCACAGATGGGTAATGTTTTTTTTAAATACATTCCAAACAATTGAAATATTTGAATTGTTTTATATTGTATATAACTGGCCAAACTATACACATAAACCACATGATTCATTCAATCATTTTTTTTGTGTACTGTCAGGGTGGTGGACAATAAGTCAATATTTGTCAATGGCACAATATTTTTTGCAGAATTGGCTTAGCTATAGCTCGTAGATTGGGCAACGAAGGCGCAAAAGTGATTATTAGTAGTAGAAAAGAACCAAACGTTCTGAGGGCCACTAAAGAACTGACAGATGAAGGATTGGAAGTTAAAGGATTAGTTTGTCATGTTTCAAATCAAGACGAAAGGAATAAGTTGTTCGAAGAGGTATGGTGCTTTTATTATTTCATAGAATGTATGATGATTTTTTAACAAATTTTAAGGCAAAAAAATTGGGGGGACTGGATATCTTGGTTTCCAATGCTGCTGTTAATCCATTTTTTGGAGGAATGTTGGATGTATGTATGAATACAATTAAAATATTTGTGAAAAATACTTAAGTTTATTTAAGTGCGACGAAAAAATGTTTGACAAAATATTCGATGTCAACGTCAAGTCCTCCTTTCTACTGGCTAGAGAGGCCTTACCATTTTTACGCAAAAGTCAGCAGGGTAGAATTATTTTTATATCTTCAATTTCAGCTTATATGGTGGATGATGTAAGGTGGTTTTCTTATTTAGGTTTCTGAATTAATAAATGTGTTTTTAGATTTTGGGACCCTATTCATTCAGTAAAACTGCTTTGCTGGGTCTTACAAAGACAATCGCAAAGCATTTGGGTCCTGACGGGATTACGGTGAATTGTGTTTGCCCTGGACACATTGAGACTAGATTCTCTCATGTGGTGAGTTGTTTCTATTTTTTCAAGTTGTTGGTTAAATAATTGGATTTATTTGCAAATTCTGTTGTAAATTATACCTTTAATGGCTATTATTCACTTCCGAAAATTTATTGGGGTGCCATTTTAGATGAGAAAAACTGATGAAATTATGAAAGAGGAGTTAAAAAAAATCCCCATGGGAAGGTAAGATGCCATTTCTAATAAGCAGTTTAAATATGTGACTTGTTGGCAGGTTGGGTCAGGCTCACGAAATAGCCCCACTTATAGCATTTTTGGCATCCGAAGATGGGTCTTACATTACCGGCGAGAATATAGTTGCAGCAGGCGGTTTGAAAACCAGAATTTAATATTTGTTATATTTTATAATTTTTAATATTACAAATACAATAAATACTCGCAATTTTATTGAATCAGTTTTTCCAAGGCATAACACCAACAACCTTAATGCGAATTACGTTGTCCAACTGAATTGCGTTTGAATGATTTTGAACCTCAACTCTCATTCAACTTCAGTTTGGTGTTATATAAAAAATAAGCCTATTCAAATCTGATGGTTAGTTCAGTGTTTCAAATTTCATTTTTAATATTCAAAATTACTGCTTGTTAGTGTCTTCTTTTCGATCATTTTCTCTTTTTTAGTTAGTTTAGTGTTTAGTAGACCCATAAAAACAAAAAGTAACCAAAACCAAATAACAGACTGATATAATTCAACAAGCAGTGACAAAGATTTCCTATTCCCTATTAAAGATAATGGCAGTTTTAAAACTAAGGTTAGTTTTGCTAGCTGTGGTGACCAATCTCCTAACTCAATAACTTCATAAGCTACTAAATATCACTAACTGAAAAATGACAACCTGCGTTACCAGTATTACCCCATCCAAATGGAAGTCCATAAAATGCGAAGAACTTTACCTTAACGTAATTCTTAAAAATTATTTTTGCCAACTCAATTTCAATACGTCCAGTTGCTGTTGCAGTTGCGACGCCTGAAATTAGAAGTCCTAATTTGATGCAACTCGGTTTCATGCAATTAACTGGTTTACGAGAAGGAATGTAATGTATCCCTCTCAGTATATTATGCAAATTTTATAAACAAAAGTTTAGTGGAGAGTGATTCATGAACGTATTCATCGACTATCAGTTTTTGGGTACATTTTTTTCAAAACAACACGAATACATTCATTGAGTGACGTTTAACATAGAATTGACAAACGTCAAAATTCAAGCTGTGGGTAATATTTCCGAAAACTTTGCAGGAGCGAAAATGTTGATAAAATACCATGAGAATTTTAAATTTAGCAGAAATCCGTGACTTAACTACCGAAAACTCGCAAATAATTATGTACATGTACGTAGGGAGTAGAAAATTAGTATATTATGCAACTAGTGTGGTAAACCGCATTTTAGTCACAAGCACTAACTTTAACGGAGCGTACTGGAGGGAAACAGACATTTTGTTCGACATGAGGCAACATTTCTTATATTATCTTTTGAAAGTACCCAAAATGTCCAAAATTTAACGGGTCTATATGAATAAGAAATCATTAAGGTACTATCCCAAATATATTAACTTTTTTTCAAAATATAAAACAGAAAACAATACGCCACACTTATGTAGGATTGGTGATTCTAATTTTTAACTTTTTTTCTCATAAAAACGGGTAAGAGTTAACGATTGGCCTTGATGAAGTTGATTAAGCCGTTGGTGGATGCGTCGTGCGACGATACTGGGTTGCTGTCTTTGAGCTCTGGTTCAATCGCTTTAGCCAACTGCTTTCCCAGTTCAACTCCCCACTGATCAAATGAGTTGATATCCCATATAATACCCTGGGTGAATATCTTGTGCTCATAAAGAGCTAAAAACATAAAGATTTAATAAAAGTGCAACAATAAAGTAACAAGAATGTCATTCAAATTATCTCACCTATTAAAACACCCAAAGTAAATGGCGTCACCTTCTTCACAACGATACTGTTAGTTGGCCTGTTCCCTTGAAATACCTTATGTGGTAGGATTTTTTCCAGAGCTTCGCCACTCAGACCCTGCTTTTCCAATTCGACTCTGGCTTGTTCTGGGGTTTTTCCCATCGCCAGAGCTTCAGTCTGCGCCAGGAAGTTCGCCAATAATATTTTATGGTGTTCCCCATTGCTAAATATATCATTTGCTGAAGAGTTTATCGAGTATTGTTGCTTAGTAGTTTAAATGTAGCCCATAATTAATTTTTAATTTCTATCTACAGTCAACAAACAAAAAACGTCCCCTTTTCGCATCAGCGTATTGCTATATCATTTGTTTACAATATATTTTATTTCGTGTCCTTGCTACTATATTTTGTTTTTACAGTAACGAATTTCTACTTTGACATTATTATGAATAAATGAATTATCTTAGTAAAACTCAAAAACTCTGAGAATTTCCAACAAAAATTTATCAAAATATTTTATAATTCGCCCTTTCTATGACTGAAGGGTCCCCGTTTTAAGTACTTGCAACATGATTTTGGTAATAAATTATGTCTCATAAAATTTGTTTGCAATTAAAGTGCAGATCATTTGTTAATCGCATTTTTTTTTTGAGAAATATGTCTTCCATTTTCAAGAAGATACCTTAAAAAAGGATATTTTAAATTTTTTATGAAAGTGTTTGTCAATTCAAGAAGCATAACTTTAGCCACATAAAGGGACATGTTTATCAGGCCCCGTTTTAAAAATGTACAGATTAATATGGGTACCTTGGAAACTTTCATTATAGTTATCCAGAATAAAAACTATTATAAAAGCTAAGGTTAATTATACGTTAGCTGGGTACTTTTGATGACTTGTCAAAGAATTTATTTGTTCCAAATGGCTTCAATTTTTTATTTTATAAAGTTAGTCTGGGCTTGCGACTAAAAGTATGGAGAAAATAAAGGAAGTTGAAATTTCCATTGTCTTTATTTTTACTTAATCTTGTACTCGTGAAGTCAATGAAAGTTCAAATTTCCTTTAGTTTCAATAAGGAAACATGGCCCCCACTTTTAGTATTTGTTAGCAATATTTCTGTTAAAATTTTATCGTAATATTGATTTTTAATCTGTTTTTAAACAGAGTAGCAGAATGGAGTAGTTCAAATGTTCCTGCCAAGTTCACTAGGCTATCAAATTTAAATTAGTCAAATTTTAAACCAGTCTTACACTAAGGCCACAATTAAAAAATGACAATATGTAGCTTGCAATTAGGAAATTCTTCAGTCACATAAATTAGTATAGTGCGACTTTTGAGGATGCAAAAATCCATTTATGTCAAGACAACCAAATTGACTACAAAACTCAGTAGCCGCATTTTTTTAAACTATGGAGCTAAGGTGCGAGTATTAATATTTAAAAATGTTTGAAACGGCCTTTATTTTTTTCCAGTTGTGAATCTGCGGACAATATTTTGCAACAAGGTTGGCAATACTTGGCGACATGTTGCTTGCGACGTTGTCGCATGTTATATGTTGCTGACTGTTGCTTTTGTTTAAGACCAGCTTTATAATGCCCCCAGTGTTTGCCCAAATAAATAAATTGTACCTGATGGGGTTGTGGGTTTGTGCCGGAGCTATAAAGTCGCACGGGATTAGGCGCGTACCCTGGTGGATAAGTTGGTAGAATGCGTGTTGTCCGTTGGTGCCCGGTTCGCCCCAAACGATTGGTCCCGTGTTGTAGTTCACCTATAAAATTACTCAATTCATATATTTTTTTTTTTTAAGTCAAATTAATCTAATTAATCAGACCGAGAGGATACTCACCACTTTGCCACTTCTTGTTACATACTTGCCATTGCTTTCCATGTCGCCTTGTTGGAAATAGGCAGCGAACCTATGGAGATACTGATCGTACGGCAGCAGGGCGTGGGTTTCGGCACCAGCAAAATTGCCGTACCAAATGCCCAAGAGGGCCAGGATAACAGGTGCCTGAAGGGTAAAGAAAAAAAATTATCCAGATTAAAATATAATGTAAAAAGTAAAAAGAACAGATGGTTAATTATCTGATAGATAGTACTGTGCTAGAATATTTTCTTTTATAATATTTATATAAATGACATGTTTTCTGTTATTAAATTAAAAAGAAGTGTATATTTTGCTTAACAGATGATACTGGCTTAATCATGGTTGGGAATACATGGGAGATTAAAGTTCAAAAAGCTGAACAGCCTATAACAAAACTAAAAAAATGGTTAGATCATGGTCTACCATTCCTTAATTTAAATGAAGCAGAATTTTTACCTTTCAGCCTGAAACAGAATAAAGCACCAAACGTGAACAAAATTACAATTTATATAAAAGATTGCAACTTTGCTAGAAATTGTAAATGAGAAACAATTAAAAAGGTAAATTTAAATTCGAAGAAACATCGAATATGCAACAAATAAAATTGAAAAAAATCATCTATTACTCAAAAGAAAACAACTCCCGCACTCACACACGTCTTCAATTTTTGAAGAGAGTGATTTATCCTTAAGCAATTGCACAAAAAGCAATAGTTAAATGTAGCTACAAATAAAGTAAGACTTTGTGTTGTAAATTTATTGTTATTCTTAATTAGAAAATTATTTAAAATTATTTATGCACAGTTGTGAGGGTGATATATGTTTGGTGTATTGCCTCTGGGATTTATTTTTCAAATTGGATAACTGGTGTACTGTCAATTATATCTTTTATATATTATAAATCTATACCAGCAAACCGAAAACTATTTACAAATATTAAAAAGCAATCATTTACTTTTTAAATCTCAATATACCTAAGTATTAACAAAATAATATGTAACTATATATTCATCTCTCTATACTACAGATTACTTTTTTGATGTTATTTTTTTTTTCAATTTGAAAATTTTAAAGAGAAACTTACGTTTTCTTCCAAAGGGGCCGACAAAAAGTGCTTGTCCAAATAGTGAGCACCCTCAAGCAATTGTTGGAAACTGTCGAAACCTACTGATAGAGCAATGCTGAGTCCAATAGCGGACCAGAGAGAATAACGGCCGCCGACCCAGTCCCAGAAGCCGAACATATTGGCAGGGTCGATGCCGAAATCTTTTACTTTTGCCTCGTTGGTGCTTAGAGCGACAAAATGTTTGGCTACAGCAGCCGGCTGTTATTAAACATATTTTATTTACAAACCTGCAGGTTATAACCCAAATACATCTTACGTCTTTCGCATATCCCAAAAACCACTCTTTAGCTGATGTAGCGTTGGTAATAGTTTCCTGCGTAGTAAATGTTTTTGAAGCAATGATAAACAGCACTGTCTCAGGATCGATCCGCTTTAAAGTTTCCGCCAAATGGGTCCCATCGATGTTAGACACAAAGTGCAGCCGTAGGCCCTTATTGTATGGCTTCAAAGCTTCAGTTACCATTAGTGGCCCTAGATCAGATCCTCCAATACCAATGTTGACTACATCGGTAATTTGTTGGCCAGAATATCTGAGAATGCAAGAGTTTTTTGATACAATTGAACAGTAAGCTTCAGAATTGTACTATTAATAGTGAGAGTTTAACTAACTAATGAAAGAGGCATTCCTTAAAGTTAAGCTACATGCCTAACATGCTGTAGACTAATAAATATTAGTTTCTTTGATGTAATCAGTAGACATGATAAAAAGGCTTTATCATGTTATGGAACATGTACACTTTTATAAAAGATTATGTGTTTCAAAAATTGTCAAAGTGTATTTGGTTCTATAATAATAAATATTGCTTTTGCCTGTGCTTTTATTGTTTTGCACAGGGGCAAATAAAATTTGTTTTTCAAGTTTCTACACATAATTTATGTTCTATAAAACAATTTTTGTCCACCTCTAACATGTATGGGAAAATTTCTAAAATGTCTGATAAGAGTTGCCCTGCCCGAATGATGACAATGTTGGCAACATTAGAAAAGAGTAGGAAGTTTGTTTTTCACTGCTATTGCTCAGTGCTGGCATATATATAGACATACCCACGCCACTGGCCACTAAGAATCGAATTAGTGAACTGCTTCATGTGTTCAAGAACGGCGTTCACATCTGGCGTGACATCTTTACCATCCACCAATATGGGTTTGTTGGACCTGTTCCTTAAAGCGACGTGTAGGACGGCTCGGTCTTCGGTAAAATTGATCTTTTGGCCGGCGAACATTGCATCACGGGCCTGTTCCAGATTACGGTCTCTTGCAAGTTGAAATAGCAGCTTGAAAGCTTCTTGATCGATGCGATTTTTGGAATAGTCGAATAAAATATCGCCATCGTTTGGGGTGTTAAGTTTCAGGCTAAAGAAATCAATCAACGTTAGTTTATGAATAAGTAATGGGATAGGAAAAGTAGACAAAAAAGGCGTGGCAACTGAATTAAGGTAATTCGCAATTTATCATTTTATGATAATAAATTTAAAGCAACACAAACTGAAAATTAAAACTTCAATTTTTTTGGAACTTACGACAGAGCTCTTATCTAATGCTGACAAGTTTTTCTAATATCAAAATGTCGTGTTATCTGCTCATGTGAAGTGTTTAGTGCGAAAGATCTATTAAAATACTCATTTTCAAAAATGTGACTATTCTTATTTATTTTAATAAAAAGAAACCTTCCTCTTGTGAGATATGTCTTTTAATTTCTTTAATTTTGAAACAAAGAATGAAAAAACTAAATACGTACATAAACAATAGCCAAATTCTAAAGTTCTTGGGAACCACTCGGGGTTATTCAATTCATTATTTTCATATTATAATTATTTAGTGACTGTTTCAGGGAATTCAGACCTAAAGTAGTGTAAACTATTCTGTTTTTTAATGCAATTGAGCCCTAAGGAAATGTGGTTCTCTAATACGACTTGGACTAAATTATGTAATAACATTTTCCAAAGCATATCGTTCACTTTTCATATATATCTTGAAATTTTGAACTTAGAAAGGTGAAATATATACCTTAGTCAATACTTTGAACTCATTACACTCGTCAATATATTTCTAATTGGAAGAATTTAAATAATCATCTCCCATTTCAATGGATTCCCAGATACATAATGCTACATAATCATTTACCAGGCGCTAATTCAAACGAAAAACCAAAAATTTGTCAAAAAAAGTACAAGGTCGAATAGAGGTTATTAGATGGAGATCCTTTTCCTCAAGAAAAACAAGATCAAACACAACCAACTCACCTGAATTTCTGGAATCGGTTTGGATCATTCGCAAATAAGTCTTTAATGATTAAGTTTCGACCTTTATTGTTATAATAATCTTGTATTTTTTGCCAGGCGGCCTCCGAGGTTAAGTATTGCTTCGATTCCATCGCGCTGCCGGTTACGTTTGGAACCTTTTTCAGTAGAAATTCGCGTTCGTCACAAACGCCGCGCGCTTCACATTTCGGTCCCGTTTTCGTACATTTACCTTCCATCGATTTGAAGCGGTCGATTCAGTTTTCGATTAATTATTTTCGATAATTCATATTGTTTTGATTGACATTTTTTTGAAAGGCGGTCTCGTTTAGCAAGTGATACCATTTTACATCGTGCGGGTAACATTTTTTTTGAATTTTATTTTTTGTGGTTCCGCTAGTTTATTTAATTTTACGTAAAATAGTTTTATTTAGCGATATTGTAATGGGTACTACACTACTACTGTTAATAAATTTGATTTAAAACGGTAAAAACTCCATATCTCTGATCTTGCAAACCTCAAACGAGTATTGAATGATGAATTATCAGTTGTCATTTGCGCGTTGAGCGCGCGCGCGTATGCTATGCAAACTCAGTAGCGTAGCGACACGACGGATACAATAATAGTATATTATGCGTATATATATATAAGTGCGGTAAACGTCATTTGACTCACGAGTTTATTTGACACGAGCGGAGCGCAGCGGAGCGAGTTTTTAATAAACGAGTGAGTTAAAAAGTTTACCGAACGTGTTGCATACTATACTTTTTCGGCGACCGTTAGTTTTTGGGTACATTTTCGCAAAATAATACGAATACATTCACTGACATGACCGTCACAATTGACAAACGTCATAATTCAAAGCGTGGGAAATATCTCCGAAACATTCGATTGCTCCCAAATCCGTGCGGTAAAATCCCGGAAATGTCCGAAGTGGCTCGGATTCATGGGAAACGAATCTGACGTGGTAAAGTGACGCTTCCCGCACGCTAGATCGGTGGGTAATTAGGTATTTTACAGACGGGAGTAGAAAAATTATATTATAGCCGAAGACATGCCTTTGGTTGTTATAATTTCTATCTAAAAGTGCCTAAAGAAAACAAGCATCAACAACCCACAGTGCTAAGAAGGAGTCATATCGAAATATTAACAGAATGAAAATAAAAAATAAAATATTTCTAGAAGAATAACCTTTTACTCACAAAACTTAAAATATATGCTACATATGTTTTTAATAAAATTGTAATTAAAAGGTGTTGCCTCAAACCGTACCATAAGCATAAGTATTCCTCAACTTGTTATGAATAAAATAAAGGTTTTGCTTATTGTCTTCATTATTTACTTTAAAATTGTGCATATCGCTAGAAGGAAGTAGATGCACCGTGTCAAAAGTTGGTCAGAAAATAGTGTAGTATGTGAATTTACTCGCACAAAAGCAGTACAAAAGGAAATGAACATTTTCTTAGGATATAATATATTATGGGCAATCCTGGATTTTCTACGGGAGTTTCAGAAGAATTGAGAATCGATCAGTCGACTGTTTAATAATAATATACTTGAAAAGTCCGATCAACGCGGCCCAAAGTAAACGAAGCACAGCAGACGCGACAAGAAAAATGTTAGTTTTCCAGTTCTATTGGTGTAATTGACATGGTGACGAAAACATGAACAGAAAGCTATTGGCGACTTTAAATGTGCAAGCAACATGTGACTCTTTGAAAGTGTTTACTGGTGTTGATGTAAGTTGGTCGGGATCTATACAAAACGCTAGAATTTCCTGCAACTATGCATGCAAGAATTGCATGTGCAGGTTTACTGGGTGATGATGGATATGCATTATTCTATGGAATAGCCTACAACAGATTGTTTAAGAAAGAAACCTTAAACGCAGAATTCTAGTTTTGAAATATATGTGTCGGGTTACATTACAAAATGTTCCATCCAGTGATTATTTTGTGTACCGTATTACACAATATTTCCAAATACTTAGGTGATGCCGATTTCGAATATAATGCACACCACGCGCAGATCATTTTGTTTAAGAAAGTCCTCTCGAGTATAAGTAAATCATTATTCATACAAATTGCAGTACATGCTCATGACTTTAAGCTTTTACTTGGAGTATTTGCTCATGCTTAAGAGCACTTGCTTTCTTTTTATTCATGCTGACCAATGGGTCAGAAATACGTAAATTAAGCTTTATAAAATTATCGCTAGGTGCGAAGTGTTTTAATGGGGTTTAAAAATCTACCTTTTCCTTGCGTAAATTATTAATTAAATGTGATTTCTCGGGTATACCAAATACATTATCAAAAATGGCAGATACCCGAAACTCGCATTGCTGCTTTGATTCATATAACATAATATACAATTTCAATTTTAAATAAGTAAGGACTTGTGCAGAATTTTTGCGTGACAACTTTCGCCAGTTTTAAATAATAGAAAAAACCGTAGAGTTTTGATTGTTGAGACATTACCTATTGAACATATATTCGATAAATATGAGTTGTATTCAATTTTGGTTTAAGTTTGATATGTAAAAGCCTAATTTTTTTTGAAAGACAATATAGATAATGTATCGGCTGATTCATAAGAAATGGGCAATCTCTAAATTGGAGATACTAGACACCAAAATATTATGGTTGACCTCAACATACAAATGTCGCTGGTTTCGGAGATACAAGGCGTTCAAAGTTAATGTAATTCTGAAATTTATGATTAATTGAGAAAAGTTTTATAGTATAATAAAAATTGGCACTTACAGGTTTTTTGACATGACAATTACGAATTTGAAACTTATTTGGACGATGCTCCTATAAGGCGCAAGGCTGCATCGTATTTTTGTTGTTAATTCGGCCTTCTCGAACATTTTTTCATAGTTGCTAGTAATTTTATGAATTAAACATGATAAATATTTGAAAGAATGTTCAATTTTTCATAGAAAATATGCTCTGATTTTTTAAATAAGTGTTCAAATTCTTAAAGTATTAATAGGTAATAAAAAACGAATATTTACCAAGAACAACTTTGCTAATAGTAATAAAAAAATTTCAAATCAATACATTTTCAAATGGTTTTAAATATTAAACAATACCTCTCTTTATTATTTCTAAGGGTATGCGCGGCCTCTTGTTATTTTGTGGCGGTACTCCTTCAAAGAATTCACTTGTTCAGCTTATAAAAATTCTTCAAGTATGACGATATTGAAAAGTTCAGAAGGTTTAGGTCTGGGTTTCTTGGTGGTCAAATTCAACAAACAAATTCTCTTCTACGGGCAATCCACCACATGTTTCCCATTTATGTAAATATTGGCGCACTGGCAATGGAAAATCATCATAAGTTATGATGTATAAACCATATATTTTCTCTTACGACCAGGGTTACCTCTTTTAATAGTACGCTAACGTTGCTTTGCACCAGTTCGATTTGATTCACAATCACATCGGTTGGTGCCGGCATGAGAATTTCGCAAATCGGGGTTTTTTGACATGAGAAATCCATTTTCGTGAATAATTTTGGGGCAAATAATAGTATGTTAATTTTTGTGCATTTGATACTTCCTAACTTTTTTGCGACTTACGGTATGCAGAAGTAACCTTTGACTAAAACATATACGATAAGGCACTTAGGTTCTGGGGAATTTAGTTTTGCGATAATGCCAATTGTTTTCCAACGTGCCTAACCGAAGGCGCCCAGATTTTTAAATTTTCAAGAATAACAGATTCGGCGAAACTGCTTCATTCCACCCCAAGAGGGATTCTGTAGGGACCAAAAATGATTACACCGTAGCTGGAAGAGGAAATTTTAGTCCAAGTAGCTGAAAATCTGGAAATAAGCACGAGACTAATAGCAGTGGGAACCGGAGTGAGCAAATCTACAGTTTGTAGAGTTTTTTACCAATAGAAGCTTTATCCATATCACTTTACTCATGCGCAAAATCTTTTACAGGATGATCCTCTGGCCAGATTTGAATTTGCTCGTTTTTGTCTGGTCCACTAAAACGCCGACCCAATCTTTTCAATAAAATAATGTTTACAGAGGTGTCTATAACTTTAAAAATATATATACGTGGGATCTAGAATATCCCCATTTCCAACAGGAATTTAAAATAAACGTTTCTGTGGAATAATTGGTAATTGCATGTTAGGACCCATCGAACTACCACCTAATTTAAACGGCGAGCTGTACCTCAATTTTTTGCAAACTCAATTCTCCGATTGTCTGGATGATCTATCCTTAGCGTTAGGAAGCACAATGATTTTCATGCAAGACGGCGCTCCAGCGCACTTTTCGAGACATGTTAGAGACTACCTAAATAATCAATTTCCTTATGGTTGGATTGGTGGTGGGTAGTGTTGGTGCTGGTCAGTAGTAGTTTATATTCGAGGTGAATTATGGCACAGGATTGGAAATGAAGCTGAATCATTTTGAAACGGGAAATTATTATTTAAAATCAGGCACTCTTTTAATTAACGTGTATGGAAATGCATCACGGTGAAGTGGAACATTTATTGCCGAATAGATTTTTTTAATGAACAGTTTTTGTATTTGATTTTAGTTTAAAATTAAATTTGTATGTCCATATGTCTTCATTGACATCGCAATTTCTTGGAGTTTCTTGTTTTAAAAATCTCAATATATATGCCATTTAAAACGCTCTAGTACGTAGTATGCAATTTAAAAGGTATATATTTTTTGTGTAAAAAAGGTGTAAAAAGTGATATCTCTATATACTGAGACACGAAAAGTACCATACGTATCGCCTACTTTGCCCATCGCATCCAATCAGCATGCTGGGTTGTTCTTGACACGAAACCCAATCTTTTGTCTTTGGTTATATGTATTTGTATGTACAATTTTTATTATTATGCTATAAAAAATTTCTCAATTAATGAGAAAACTCATAATAAAATTTAATCTTTGAACAGGACGTTCTCCGAAACCAGCGACATTGCGCATTCTTTATTATTCACGTTGTATAAGGATATCGAATCAAATTTTTTTTCAGTAGATCATGATATTCTCGGTGGCTCAATTTAACCGTCTATCTGTATGCATTGTGCGATTACGGTTCTTTAATTAAATAAATCGTTTTATCAGAACAAATATTTGTTAAACTTGTAAAACCACATTTCCCAAAACAATTCTGCGATAATTATAACCGTCTTCATATTGAAGGTATGGCAGTATTTTAAAATTTATGCGCCATTCCAACTTGATCGGTTGCACTTAGATAACTGGATTCGTTTCTGTTAAGAAGTAAGTCATGTAGTCATGAAGATAAGAGTTATGCAATGAGTAAAACGGCATTAGGTATGGCTATATTAACATTGTTCAATGTATTTTTATTAATTATGTACTATCTTCGGGACTAATTGTCAATCAAAAGTGTAAAGAAAGGAAATGGTAAAATAAAGTGTGGATATGCGTTTGGGAACGGCAAGGCTTAAAAGCAATTTATATATTTATTTTATCTCTGGACAATTTAAATGCGGGGTGTTATTTCATAAGTCTTTGATATTTTACATGGTGGTTTGGTAAGTATTTTTAAGGTATAAAGTTACTTTTACTATTTTTATTTTTTTTGACAATAATTTTTATATTTTCTGATCGAATAAAAGTAGTTCTTGTGTTTAATTTTAATCACGAAACGCGTGTCATATGAGTTGTGTATTGTATATAGCGTAGATGCAGTCCTGACCTCAGTTTTTAATCTTCCACGACAGTATGAAGCTTTCTTGTTGTCTAACATACATGAAGTTTTTAAGACTCCATTTTACAGGTTCAAAAAATTATACATAAAATAATAATAATAATAATAGATTTATTTTTTGAAGGTGGCAAACTACAAATAATGTGGTAAATAAACATAGAAAGTCATTAAAGCATAATCATGCCTGTGAACTTACTATCACAGTGGTAATAATAAAATTAGTCTTAATTGTAACAAATTCTCTAACATAATTCAAATTATTTAGTTAATTACCGGTTACCTCATTTTTAACTATTCACTATTTTACAAGTCTTTTTAAAAATGTGAAATTTTTGTATACTTTGTATAAGTAATGAATTGTATACTTTTGGTGTAAAATATTCTACAGAGCGTTTCAAAACGAAGCTAAATTCAAAGTTAATATTCCTTCTTGTTGGATAATTATTTATTCTCTGTTTCAATTTAATTTTTCCACTATAAACAATGTTCAATATTTCAAACAATAATGCTCTCGAATATCCAATATTTCTATTTCTCGGAAGAGTACGTGTGTGGGGTAGTTCTTTTACCATATATTGTTTTCAAGAACCATTTTTGGGTATTACTCAGGGTGTTTCACTGTGAGTAAGCAACTCCACGCCATCCTAAAATCTTGTACGATAGATGGAACTATACTAAGGAGAGATTATGTACCTTTTATATATTAATTGCATATACATATATTTTATCATAAATTAATTATTTTTGTTAATCTCATTTCTAAATAAAAATTAATTTCCATAATTTTTTAACAATTATTATTTAAAATCAGGCAGTCTTTTAATTAACATGTCTCCAAATGAATCACGGTGAACTTATTTCTAAATAAAAACTAATATCCATATTTTTTTAACAATTTAAGACACTAACGAAATACCTAACTTTTTCGGACGTTTCTTCAAAAAGTGTTTGACGCTCTTTCAAAATATGTCGTTTGGAACTGCCGTCACATTTTAAATTACTTTTTTTACAGAAAGTAAAGAAAAACAATCTTTACGAAGAAAAGAACGATAAGTAGGGTAGTACATTCAATATACATACAGTTATAAAAGTCCTTGTTCATAAACGATTTTTGCAAATTTTATGTCTAAAGAAATAAAAATAAGAGTTGAAAATAAGAGTAGTTATAGTATAGGGTTGTCTGGTTTATAAGAAGCATTATCAATCACTACTAAAGAAGGCTTTTCGAGATTTTTAAAAGTTTTTCTTCAAACCTCTTCAAATATTTCGGCATTTATATTGACATATTGACATTGACATTTGAAATAAAGCCTTCTTTATTGCCAGCATGAATAATAATACACCTTTTCCTATTACTAGCGCTGTCAAGAAGATTTTGTTGAATTTCCCTTCGCAAAAATCCAAGTTGTGTCAACAACACCTTGCCTTATACTTCCGAGTTTTTGTTTAAACAATTCCTCAAGAACTGGATCACATTGGCACAACACTTTGCTATTGTTGGTTTTCTTGTATTTCCTTCAAAATTTTAGATAAACTAGTGTGGCCAAAATAGCATAGCTCTTTTTTTTTGAAGGATTGTCTTAAGAGTTACCTGGTTTTTGACTTTATTCATGTCGTAAATAATATATCTCATGTTTTAGTAATTTAATATCTTGGAGTAAATATTTTGAATACAGCCAAACTCTTTTAGTTTTTTTTTTCGAAGTCTTCTTAGAGCGCTCTCTGAAATATCGCAAGTATCACGGCCCGTTTTCGCACAAGACTGACTCTAACGGACCGAGGTTTTTTTAAAGTGAAATAATGTTGAACTTTTAGCACTGAGGAACGTTCACCTGGAGGTAGGCACTCTTTAGGACCACTTTTATGTTGTATAAAATTTTCCATATCTTAAGGTTGCTGCTTTCTGCTCTAAATAACTCAATAAGCCCGATTTATATTAAACCTCGACCATCATAGAGCGGAGAGAGTTTAGGACAACCCTTTCTACACCTATAAATTATTAATTTCTATTTTGCTACACGACAAGAAATTTTGTACAAGTTGGTTGATCTGCTTAACAGATTACTTAACTCTCTCTATAATAATTCATGACGCAATGGTGAACGAGCGAATAACTGAATAATTTCTGGTGGATCGAGTATTAAAACAAGACCAACTTTGTTGTAGACAATGTGGCTGGTGTACTTCAAGAGCACAATTAACTTAAATCAAAAATGATACAAACTGTAATCAGTGTTCAGGTATTGTATTTCAACAAAAATGCTCGTACACGTCCATTTGCGCTCCGCTCGTGTCAAATAAACTCGTAAGTCAAATGCCGTTTACCGCACTTGTTGCATAATATACTATTTTCATTGATCAAAAGCTTTATATCTTTAAAAATAAAACGGGAACTTATATTTAAGCGAGTAACAAAAAAAAGTAACTTTCGTAGTCAATATACTTAGCCTAAGGAAGGTACATAAATTATACAGCTGTCTTAAAATTTAGATAGATTAAATTTTGTATTTAGATAATTTGGACCTATTGAAATAAAAAACAATTGTAAGTTACCAAAATTGCTTTTTTTCCTTTTTTATGTGCTGGTCCAGAACTTTTTCTTAGCTGTGGCTATTTCGTTAAGGCTAGTTCAAATGTGTGACCAGAGATACAGAGAAGAGGATTATTATCATAAACAAATTCCTCTTAAAACATTTTTTTATAAAATATTACAAGCTAAAAGAACATATTTTTTAAATTTGGATCAAACCACTTATTTTACGAAATGCTACTTTTGGCAACTGCTTTCATAAACAACTATTGTAGAACGATTTTTTAAGGTAACGATGGGCCCCAAATTTAAATTTGCCATCGATCGAGGAGGCACTTTCACCGACGTCTTCGCAAAATGTCCAAACGGCAGAGTTCTGGTACTGAAATTGCTGTCAGAAGACCCTCAACACTATAAAGATGCCCCTACTGAAGGAATTCGGCGTATACTTCAAGAAGTATGTTATATCCGACAATTGTTTATAACAGTATGTCTCAGTAAGTTGGAAAACTTTTTTGTGAATATGAGATATATATTTTTTCTAAAAATATGAATTTTACTCAAGAGGAAATGCCTTTAAATTGGTATCGTAAAATATTTAAAAAAAAGTCGATAAGCTAAAAGCTATGTTCAAATGTGTAATTACATTTACAGTGCAAAAATGTATTCATTTTTGGAATGTATTTCTAGGGACAATTGCAATGCAAATTTTTGCTGTAGTTACGTAAGGTTATGAATGTTTGATACCAACAAATGTTTGACCGTAACCGTCAAAACGCTTTAGAATTGTACCCATAAATATGGTAGCGTTATTAAGAATTGTGAAAAGAAAATAGAAATCATCTCTCTAAGTATTAACAATATATTGATGTAAAATTGGATGATAATACGAAGTTTGAAGTAATTCTGTCTGTTGTAGCCAAGCCAATATTTCTTCAAGACTTACGTCTCGTATGGCATTTATAAAAACAGATTAATAGAACCTTTTTTTTTCGCCAAACCAGGAATGCCGAAAGTTATTTATATTTTTTACAAACTCACATTTATAACTTTACTGACGAACTACCCTTACAAGAACGGTGGTGTATTTGGTTCGAAAAAGACGGTGCTTCATGTTCCAGTACAGTGAATATCAGAGGGTATCTTGAACATATGTTCCATGGAAACGTTATCCACAGATATTCTGACTTTTTCGACCTGCTAGATCCCCTTACTTAATTCGTATTGGGTTACTGGAAACAAAATGAACAATGAATAACGGAAGGGTCGTTTTAAGATGTTGATCATTTAGAAAGAATAATTAAAAAATATATATTCAGAAATAATCAGGAATGTGTTATTTATGCATGTGTATCTTGTATATGTCGAGACATTGAACGAATAAGTGAAAATTTTCTTTTAATTTATACAATTAATATAATGTAATTGAATAACTTATTATTTGCATGTAATACTATTTACAAATCTTCTTTATTCCTCCTGCATCGGTTGTTGATAAATTGAACCTTCTGACGTTTTGCGGCTTCTTCAGAGCTTAGCTAAGTCTGTTCCACTCCAGAGACATATTGTTTAACAAAGGATTTTTGAAAACTGAAGGTGTGTTACATCAATTGTTTGTATCTAATGTTAAATACGTGTCAGCAATTATTTGCATATTATTAGGAAACTGGTAGGGCGTTGGATTCCGATGGAAATATTGACAGTTCACTCATAGAATGGATCCGCATGGGCACTACCGTCGCCACCAATGCTCTGTTGGAAAGAAAAGGTGAAAAAATGGCGTTCGTGACTAATAAGGGCTTCCGAGACATACTGTTGATCGGAAATCAGGCTAGGCCAAAGATCTTTCAGTTGGTAAGTAGGAAGACTGTCTTATGATGGTGTATTACAAAATTAAAAAGCGAACCTCGATCAAAGACAAATGAGTAAACTAAAAAAAAAGAAAATGAAATTGTTATTTATGTACCTAACAAACTTGCGGATGAGCAAATCTCATGACTCGATTTTTTTACGCTCTAGATCTGTTCCATAAAATTGGAGCTTGTTTATAACTCCAATCTTTGCAGGCAGGACCTCCTTACTTTGTCGCAACATCGAAAAGATAATTTCAAAAGCTCATTTTCATACGAAATAGCGTTAAAAACGAGGTTTAAAAGGTACCTTACAAAGGAGCGAAAAGCTTTTTGCTACATCCTATTTTTATTGCTGTTTTACATTATGATCCCCATAATTTCAACTTATTAAGTTTAGCCGCCCCACTCCCGGCACATTTTGAGCAACCATTATAAATTTGGGGAAATCTTCATGAGTTTCTGCGTCCAAATATAACTATCGATCAAACGTGGATACACGACTACGCTGTAAATACGAAGTAACAAGACGAATGGGCTCAAGTTGGCCGATAAGGTTATGGACCACGGTCTTTTTGGATGCTCGCTGAATGACAGAAGAGTATTCATCATTATTTAACGTCCTAGTAAAAAAAAATCAAGGAAAAACTGCCCTGACCTGAATAACATAAAGTTCTTGTTATTTAAGCTAATTATAATGGGCTCTATGTTATTTTGTATGTAAATAAGGATATTCAATTGCTAAAATGGGCCGTATTGGATTTTTTCGGTTCTCAACGGGTTTATTAATAATTACATTTTTAATTAAATTTGTTACACTCAGGCTTAAAATAGGAGTAAAATTTTCTGCTCTCAGGTTTGGATATATTAATAATTAAATTTATTGCGCTCGGATTTAAACTACTCTCACATCTGATTTTACTTGGTGTCAAGTTTTACGGGGTTGAATATACAGTATACAATACAAACTATTCATGTTTTAAAAGCATATGAATTTAATATTTCCAAATGTTTTTCTTGTAACGGGACAACGACACTGTTATTCAGAACATAAAAAAAAATTGAAACCGGTTTTCAAGTTTTGCACTTGTATCTTCATAACAGTCCAAGCTAGGGTTCTTAATATTCTTCGCAGACAATAGCAAGCAGTTTTTAATCAATCTCTCTTCTGATCCAGCATGAAGGTGTTTCTGACAGTTTAAAGTGCAAGTGCGCCATTTTTGCTATTTAAATCCCATTTTACAAATGGGATTTAAATAGCAAGCAGAATGGATTGACTAGTAATTGTATTAGTTTCATCTTCTTCTAGGTCCCTGTTCAGTTTATTCAATGTAGGAATCTTGTTTTGATAAAGGAAATATATTATCCATCCTCTACATATTAAACACATTCTTCCCAATTATATTCGTAAGAAGCTTTTTCGGAATACACGGTAAAATGGGTTATTCAACACTGCTATTGATATCAGCCGACATTTGCCTGACACCCTAATTACTTTTTGGTGGACGGTCAAAAGCCAAGAGGATTTATTTTGAGACCAAGTATACATTTTATACACAGAATAAATCTTTGTATATTCCAAATGGCCCATACCTTTTATGTCAATCGCTTTCTGTTCAATTAAATTAGTACTTCAATGCATACGTTGCATACTAATGCACCATAATTCCTTTTCAGAATATTCAAAGACCGGAAATCTTGTACGCCGAAGTGGTCGAAATAGATTGCAGAGTAATTCCGGTGCTGGAGGGGAAGTGCGAGTTGGGGGAGGCGGCGACGAAGAACTGGCGCGTCGCGGACGGTATCACCGGCGAAAAGTTCTACGTAATTCGGGAGCTAATTCGCGAACAGGTCGAACAGAGTTTGCTCGAAATCAAACGGCGGGGGATTGAGAGCATTTCCGTCGCCCTCGCCCACGGCTATTCGTTTCACGATCACGAAAATGAGATAGGCAACATAGCCAGAAGAATAGGTATTTCAAATTTTCATGAGAATGTGTTTATTGGCTCTATGACAGCTGTCTCTTTATCAAATGTAACCATTTAACTCTATTTGCTGCTATATATGAGGGCTACCTTTTGTATATCGGGATTTGCAATAAAAAACTATAAGCTACCAACAAATATGACTGTATTGTTTCTCAAAATATTTGCCCTGATAAAATCAATCGTCAAAGCACCCACATCGATTCGAGCATCTCCAAAATATGCTTTTTAAACGCATCAATCGCTTCTTCTTCTTTATTCTTAATGTATGGGAATAAAAAGAAGTCATTAGGTGCTAAATCAGGACTATATGGTAGATCGCCCATCAAATCAACGTTTTTAATGCTTCGTTTGCATTGATCGCTGAGAGCTAGCATTGTCGTCGTGGAGAGTGATTCGTCTTCGGCGGTTTGTTTTTCTAATTTCTTCGAAGACCTTCGGCAAACAGATGGTTGTGTATCATTCAAAATTGACTGATTTACCTTTCACCAAAGAAACAGTTGCAACGTGGTCAGTTTTTCTGGAAAAACAAGCTACTATTTGTTTTGAGGTACTTCGCGTACGAACAACTTTTGTGGGCTCTGTCTCATTCTGAAAGACCCACACAGTCGATTGCTGCTTACTCTCAGGTTCATATGCATAGATCCATGTCCTGTCACGATATCATAGACGTGTTTGGAAGCACCGCGATCTTATTTTTTTATTAGATTAATCAGCACGAGCCTTTTTTTGAGCTGATGTCAAATTGGGTGGAATCCAACTCTAACAAATTTTTTTAGCGGCCAAATGTTCATGCAAAATTGTATGTATGGTGCACCCACTATTGCCCAAAGATACCTCAATCTCATGGTAAGTCACATGATGATCCTCCAAAATCAATTTCCGCACTGCATTAATGTTTTCTTGGACAACCACCGATTTTGGACGACCTTCATGAAATTCATCCGACCACGACTGATGTCCGAAACCTAGCGATAAACAGTAGTCCTGGATGCTGCTTTAATTCCAAAAGTCGAATTAAGTTCATCGATACATTGTTGTTGAGTTAGTCCACGTCGAAAGTTGTAAAAAATATTGCACGAAAATGCTCCCGGTTAAGTTCCATTTTTAACCGTCACATTTTTTTAAATTTATCACAAAAAACAAAAACAACACTCTTTCGCCAAAACCTAACTGAGTAAACCTAACCTCAGAATGTCAAACTTCCCTATAAAAACGTTGGTCGCCAGATGGCAGGACTTGTTTAAGAAAATCCCGAAATATAAAAGGCAGCTCTCGTCCATCCTCTACTACCTACGCTTAATGTTATTTCAGGTATTTAAATTTAATGAAGTTGAATTATTTAAATCCGTTTAGTCATGAATACATTGGAATGTCTCAGTTAATCTCCATAGCTTCTAATAAGTTCAATTTTCAATCAATCAATCGAATCAATGGAGTAATTACAAATCCCGTACTTTTTAATGATAGAGAGACACGAAATAACAACAACCACAACAAGATATACCAATTAGCCCGGTAATTTCTTTTGTAACTGAACCGTCTGTTAAACTGTCAATAAGATTATGAAGTATGTTATAGCATCATACGGACTTCAAACCACAATTTTTCATAAAAAAACTGTTTCGAATTCATCAACAAAGATAATATTTGTTATAATGCAGCATGTGCAAAAATAATTTTCAAGAATTCCAATCGACATATAGACAATATAGACTGTATTCTCACTCAAAAACCGGTAATTCCACTTGTCAAATAAGATTTTATAGATAGGTTAATTGTTTATTTAGGCCAAAACTATTTATTATTTAATGGAAAAATCTATATTTCTAAAGAAGGTTTGATAATGGGAAATCCATTTTAACCCATTGCAGATATTCTTGTGGACAATTTAGACAACATTACACAAGACCCCCCTTGAGTAAAAACTTCCTTGGGCGCTGTAGATAACATGTTTTTGTGTGTTTCATTGGAACTAAGCACTTTTTTGAACTATGTTATACACAACCGCATAAATTTCACTGTCGAGACTTAACAAAATAATTCTATTAACTTTTGAAATTTAACTATATTCAAAAAACAAATTAAATTAGGTTTTTCCATTTACCATACACTGTCACACACAGACATAGTCATACACTTACTTACCCTTACACACCAAAATGGCTGCTTTTTATTATTTTACCCACAGACTTCTTAATGTTCCACTTTCAACAAAAAATTGTAAAAAGGAATTAAACATTATAAAACAACTAGCATGTGACAATGGCTATTATGTATGTATGTATGTATATTGCAATTGTCGAGTGATTTCTATCATTATTTAATAATAATATGTATTTTCTATTAAATTAATATACGTTCGAGGCGTCCAATTTACATATAACCCTTTTCAAGAAATATCCCAATACGATACTTAGCCATTCAGGAAATCCTAATAATAATATCGACTCCATTTGGTTTCCAGAACGACGCGACGGCGATGTGACGCACAATACAAATAAACATAAATAAATAAATGTAAATTTCATGGTATCTTTAGAATTATTTCCTTCAATTGACACAAAAAAAATTGACCGGTCAATTACACCACCCGAAGCATGCCCCTCATACTCCAAAAATTAAAATTAACAGTCTACAGCTTAAAGGGTGGATCATGTCCTAAAATTTATATTGGGCAAGCAGATAGATCTTTTGAAAAACGTATCAATGAACATAATAGAACATACAAAACTACGAGTTTAGTATCTAATTACTCTTCTTACTTAAATTCACAAAAACACAATTTTGAGGACAATTTATAACTTTTACATACTTCATCAAAAAGTTAAAAATTGAACTTATTAGAAAATTAGATTAGAACATTAACAAACTGAGACAGGGTGTTATTGAAGGAGTTGTGATAGAGTAAACAAAATAAATGAAAATCTGAACTTTGCGTTCTAATTTGGCGTGTATAGGTATTCGTTTTTGCATAAAATATGTTTGAGGATGATCAGTTTCATGCTGAATAAACGAGGAAAAAATGTTTCGTGCAAGTTTTTTCTTTACATATTTTTTTTCCTAGTTTGAATTTAATCTTTTGCGCCCGGCTTGAAAAGTAATACAAATGTATTCTGAAGATCAAATATGCTACAACTTACAATTAATATAAAAATGGTTATGGTTACGTTATTATTATTATTACATATTTTGCTCCTAAAATATTAGATATTAATTTAAACATATTTGCCAATAATAACAGTTATATTTTTGCCGAAAAAGTACCACCAACCAATATATGACCAATATATTGGCAGTTGAACTGTAATCGCTGCTGTCTTTCTATTTTAATCACAGACACTTTTTTTATGTTATGTTCGATATGGGCTTCCTTTTCTTTCTTTTCTTTCCTTTTTTCCTTTCTTCTATTAGTATTACTTTTTAGTTGTATATTGTACGGGCTTAACTACAAATAATTAATATACCGAAATTGTAGGTTAAGTGAGAATTTATAATTTCAACTTCGCCTTTTGTGATATGTATAATGATATTATATGATATGAATGATATTCTTCTGCTAAATGTGGTATAAGGTTGCTTTAACACTTTTTAACATTTTGAGTTCAGTATAAATTATCTAATCATACAGTAAGAAATTGCCAAAACAATTTCCAAATTCATACTTTTATTTTTTCTCGAATTTCTAAGAGTTTACGTCGGGTTGTTCCACCGTGGGCCACTTAATTAATTTTGATAGAAACAATGTTACAGAGTATTTATTTAGTTCCTTGGATTATAAAAAAAAAGGGTATAGGAAAATGCCGAAACAAAAAGAGACAAAAAGATAACTATGTAATTTTCATAAATTCATTAAAAAAACAAAAACAAAATAATAATCACTAACCTAAATGCATTGTGAGTTTCTAATAATTTTATTTTGTTTCTAGCGGTCTCTAGAAAGAACGACACAGTATAAAATGTGTTGTTAGATAAAAATCATGTGAGGTGTTTTTTCAACTTTTTAACATGCAGATGTTTTAACACTTCTGGAAGAAGATTATAGAGAAGTAACCTAGTAAAACTTGGTGATTCAGTATGTTCAAGGCTTTCGTTAAGTCGAAGAATCACAAATTCGTTATTATCTTGTTTATTGTATGTATGTTGCATCTCAATGCAGTTAAAAATCGTAGGCTGTCGCTGAGAGAGCACCTTGTAGAACAACAGTGTAGTAAACAAAAGTAAATTGGAACAACTTTGTCGTACGGGTTTGTTAATTTTATTAAAAAAATAAATACGAAAATGTCATAATTTTCTCATAGTTGAACTTCGTATATAAATAAGTTCTCTACTTGCGATCAGAGAGAGTTAATGGCAATTAATTAACATGAAAAAGGAAGTATATCGCATTTGAAGCTATATTCCTGAAACTTCAAGACATATTTTTTTGTGTTTTGCAATTTATTTGCAAAAAAAATCTTGAGACATAAATTTAATCTTAAGGTTATCTTCTTCTTAAGGTGCCATATCCATTTCACTGGATGTTGGCGACAATTCTGGCAAATTCTTCGCGATCCTTTGCGGCTCTAAAAAGTGTGTGGGCATCAAGACCGGTCCAGTCCCTAATGTTTTTGAGCCATGAATTCTTCTTTCTACCGATGCCTCGCTTTCCTTCTATTTTTCCCTCCATGATGAGCTTAAGGAATTGGTACTTTGTATTTCTGAAGATGTGGCCCAGGTAAGCTGCTTTCCTTCGTTTAACCAGTTGCAACAACTCTCTCTCCATCCCCATGCGCCTCAGGACTTCGTCGTTGGTGGCGTGATCTGTCCATGCGATTTTGAGCATTCTCCTAAATACCCACATCTCGAATGCTTCCACTCGATTCATAGTGCCAGCCTTAAGGGTCCAGACCTCGACGCCATAAAGTAACACCGAGTACACGTAGCACTTTATGAAGCGGTAGCGTAGTCTCAAACTAAGACTCTGGTTGGTCAGTATGGGTTTCATTTTTATAAACGTCGCCCTAGCTTGTTCGATTCTACCACGAATTTCCATATCTGGGTCTAGGTCCTCGGTTATCCAGCTACCAAGATACTTAAATTTAGAGACCCGCTGTATCCGTTTTCCTCCAGTCGAGACGTCCAAACGCACATCTGGTGTTCTGCTTATGACCATGACCTTAGTTTTTTCAACGTTAATCTTTAGGCCCGAGCGTTCTCCCGTCGCAGATATTCTATCGACAAGGCGTTGTAGTGCTTCTTGACTTTCAGCAATAATTACGGTATCATCTGCGTAGCGGAGGTTGTTGACTGGGAGACCATTGATCTTTATGCCATCATCCGTCTCAAAAAGTGCTCGGTCAAATACGGAATCGGAGTATAAGTTAAAAAGAAGAGGAGACAAGACGCATCCTTGCCTTACGCCTCTCTCTATCGGGAAACTTTGCGTGGTTTCATTTCCCACCCTTACAGAGGCTGTCTGGTTCCAGTACAGGTTCTTTATAAAAGAAAGATCGCCCTTATCCACTCTTTTCTCCTGCAGTAGACTCATTAGTTCTGTGTGGTTGACACAGTCAAATGCTTTTTGATAATCTATGAAGCACAGAAAGACGTCTTTTCGTTGATCTCGGCATTTTTGGAGTAAGATGTTCAAGCTGAAGAGTGCTTCTCGTGTGCCAAATCCCTGCCTGAATCCGAATTGGGTGGGCCCGATTTCTTTTTCACATTTGCCATAAATTCTTCTATGGATTATTTTAATGAAAAGCTTTAGGACCTGGCTCATCAAGCTGATCATTCGGAACTGGTCGCATCGATTAGGGTTAGGCTTTTTTGGTATAGGCACAAAGACTGAATGTAGCCAGTCTTGTGGTATTTGGCCTGTACTGTATATTGTGTTAAACAGTTGCACTAGGATCTCAATATTCTCGTCATCCAACAGCTTCACCGATTCCATATAGATATCGTCCGGTCCCGCTGCTTTTCCCTGCTTTCCTTGTTTTATAACTTTTAGGACTTCGGATTTTAAAATTTCGGGGGAATTATCTCCCGTCGCGGTGTCTATAAAAGCTCTTTGGTTATTATCCCGGAAGAGTAGTTCGGTATAGTCCTTCCAGTGATTTAGCAGTTTTTCGGTGTCGGTGATGATGTTGTTATTATCGTCGAGGATGTTGTTTGTCTTACAGGGTCTTGAACAGCGCGTGGTATTCTTGAGAAGTTTATGCATGTTAAAGTGATCATGTTTTCTCTCTAATTCTTCCATTTCTTCGCACCTTTCTTGCAGCCATTGTTCTTTGGCCTTGCGTATCTCATTTTTAACTCGTCTGTCAAGCTCCCTGTATCTGATTTGATCTTTATTCTTATATGAACGGCGTTCAGACATCAGCCCAAGGATCTCGTAGGTCATCCATTCCCTTCTCTTGTTGATAGGTGGTCCCACTATATCATTTGTGGTGGTGGTTATCGCGTCCTTCAGTCGATTCCAGACAACTTCCACATCCGCTGGTTGTTGAGGCGAGTTTCTTACTAAGCTGACTGCTCTGTTTATCCTCTGGTGTACCTCCGTCCTTATCTCGGGCCTCTTAATGTTGTTTATGTCTATCTTCTTCTTATGTGGCCGTCTTATTTTCTTTAATTTAATATTGAGCGTTCCCACCACTGGGTTATGGTCTGAGCCGATGTCGGTACCAGGGTAGGTTCTCACTCCGTGCAATCCGTTTCTGTATCTCTGGCTGATTAGTAGAAAATCTAGTTGGTTTCTCACTATATTGTCCGGTGAGTGTTGTGGTGATTGCCAGGTATATAGCCTTCTTAACGGGAGTTTATACCATGTATTTGCGACGACCAGTCTTTCTTCTTGGCAGAATTGTACCAAGGTATCGCCTCTTTTGTTGCGGTCTCCGAGACCGAAATCTCCGACCACACTGTCCACTCGACCTCGACCAATCTTGGCATTAAAGTCGCCCATGATGATGAGAACTTCCTTCTTTCCGGCTAGCTTCATCAGTTCTTTTATTTCCTTATAGAGTTGTGTCATTTCGATGTCCGGTTTATCCAGTGTTGGGGCATATACCTGTATGATATTAATCTTAAGGTTATACGAGTGTACAAGTGCTCAAATCTAGAGCGCTTCAGCTTTATGAGGGGTAAAATATAAAATTAATTTATAGGCTTTTCCTACTGTTATTTTTGAGTTTTGATTTACATGTTTTGTAGGTTTTAAACATGTTTCCTTATCTCACGACGTGATCAGCATGGTACGGATCGTACCTAGGGGTTTCACGTCGTGCGCCGATGCTTACCTAACGCCCCATGTCAAAAAGTACGTTGAAAACTTTTCTGAAGGATTCAAGGACCATCTGGAAGGTACCAGAGTGTTGTTTATGCAGAGTGACGGGGGTTTGACTTCCATGCACAACTTTAACGGAGCGAGGGCTATTTTATCCGGACCGGCTGGCGGTAAATATAATAGAAACTTAGTTTTTGCACGAAATTGTGAGGAATATGAGAAAATATTTATTCAAAATTCCGCCTAATCAATCTGAAGTGTTCAGGGAAAATCGATATACCAATCAAGTTTTTCCTAATACATGGAGACTTATAACTTTAAAAGCACTACCACAGATATGTTTACGTAGTTTTAATGCGATGCATTACTGATAAGGATCCATGGTGGTTCAAATATTCACCGACATCATAGTATTTCAATGATAAAATAAGATTCACTAATAAAACAACCAAAACTGCTTTTCCACCAGTAGAAGACGATTTTGTTCAGTTAAAAAAAAACACAGAAGTATAACCATCAGAGTTAAGTTATGAACTAAATATATAGATTGCAAACCAGATAGGAAGATACAAAGTTCGCAATAATATTCTGGTCTCTCAGGGCAACCTTGTTTAGGCATTAGTGAGACAAGTATAATTTAAATTGAGACGGATAAATATCTGTGTTGTTTTGTAATCTACCTACTTCATTTCATAAGACAAATCATACAAAAATATATAGGAAAATAAAATGATAAAAACAAACAACCTCTACTCAATTCGTTATAAAAACGAAAGAGAATATCACAAATTTAAAGCATTGGATTATATAATAAATAGGATATATTCCTTCTGCGTCGTCCTTCTGTTGAGTCGAACTAGCTAACGTTTCGCCAATCATCCTGTTAGATTCTTCAGAGCTTGATTGCAACTGGCTCGCATTTTGTTCTGTACCGGCTTTTATATTGTTTGAGGGGAGCGGAGCTAAATGAAGGGCATAAATACCGTCTCGGATGACTGATTCTCATATTGGTGACAGGTAACGACTTGAGTCGCGGTTATGATTGTTAGGTTGTTTATAGATTTCTATAGACTCTCGGATTTTTCGTTGGTAGAAGAGCTGATTACATGCAAGAATTTTAGTTTTTTTTAGTTTCGTGATTGTGTTCGGCAACTGCTGATAAGTTTATTTGTCTTAGTCTTAAGGCTCTTTGATGTTCTTTGAGCCTAGTTGATATTTTTCGTCCGGTCTCTCCAAAGTATTCTATGGCGCATATGCATGGAATACTGTAAACTCCTGGCATCTAAAATGGAATTTTGTCTTTGACTGATCGAAGATGTTAAGAGATTTTTGGACAAGTGGTAAATCTGTTATATTTCTTTAGAACCTTTGATATTTGGTCAGTGATGTTTTTAATGTAAGGAAGGACAACTCTGGGATTGCTTTCAGCTTCTTTGCTATTGGAAGGTTGTGGTGAGGTATATTTTGTGATGGAGCGCTTAACATCTTTAATATGGAAATTATTAGAGAGAAAAGCAGAGGTGAGGTGCTTTAATTCGGGGTTCAGTGACTTTGTAAACAAGAGAATTGATAACCGATGATTTTTGAACCGGATGGTGATGTGACAATGCATTAAGGTATCGGTCTGTGTGCTTAGGTTTTCTGTAAACAAAATGACCCAATGTTTTTTTTATTTTATTTTATTTCTATTTTATGTTGGCGTGTATAGAGTTTAAATATCTAAGAAAATCTCCTAGGGATTCCTGACCATAAGGCCAAATAACAAAAGTATCATCGACGTAGCGTTTCCATAATTTTGGTATTAGATGGAAGGTGTCGAGAGCTTTCTTCTCAAAGGTTTCCATAAATATATTCCCGATGACTGGTGATAGTGGAGAACCCATAGATGTTCCCGACGTTTGTTCAACTATCGCTAACCGCATATCAAAAGTTCTAAAGAAATATAAACGCCAAAACCAGATTTACCACTTGTCCAAAAATCTATCAACATCTTCGATCAGTCAAAGACAAAATTCCATTTGAGATGCCAGTAGTTTACAGCATTGGAGAGACCGGACGAAAAAATATCAACTAGGTTCAAAGATCATGAAAGAGCCTTAATACTAAGACAAATAAACTCATCAGTACAGAGTAAAATGCGAGCCAGTTTCAGCCAAGCTCTGAAGATGGCAACAGGATGATTGACGACACGTTAGCAAGTTCAACTTAACAAAAGCCTACGCAGGAGGAATCCACAAGTTTTACAAGTAAAAATTATTTTTATTACTTGTTTTGATAATTTCACTTACCGGTTTAACAATAAAGTGACATCACCAATTTTTGGAAACTTTGATATTTGTATGTCCATCCTTTTTTACATACGTACTTAGTAAGAGTGTATCTAATTATAACTCTAAGCATGGTCTAAATTGGTGCAACTAGACAGCAAAACATTCTGATTGAGTTGATGGAGATACAGGGTGTTCAAAGTTTAAATTTTATTCTGAATTTTCCCGTTAGAGATTTTTTTTTAGCATAATGATATAAACTGCCTGTTTTAGGATTGGCTCCCAGAGGGCTCTAGTGTCACTGTATTATTTAGCTAAATCGTTCCGAACTATATCCAAATCGAAGGTAACCTAATCTTAAACCTTCTAGAAATTTTTATAATCATTAGGTGAAACACCGTCGATGAAGATGACTAGAATTTAATTTGTGCTTCGACGGAGATAAGTCAATAGTTAATTTACAAAATCTTAAAAAAAAAGTTATTGTATCAAGATTTGCCAGCTTGCCGACAATATGTTTCATTTTTATAAAATATGCAAACCGTAAAGATAAGTTTCAATAACACATTTTTTTCACATTTATACGACGACGAAACTTTAATTCGAAAAATAATCTTTTGTGGAATTCCGAGAATCCATGTGCAAAAATAAGATATTTTCAGCGTGAGGTGAACATTTGGTGTGGTGTCATATCTGATTTATTCATTGGTCCTCGTTGTTTAAACTTCCTTCTACACTATTTAAACGTACTCATAGAAGATGTGCCACTCCCTTTGAAAAAAAGTATGAGGTTTGTGAGCAGTTTGTTTGTTTGTTGGACTTAAATCCTCTAGACTTCCCAATATATACTTGAAGGATTTGATATTCGCTAAAGCAGCTAATTCTTTGCAGGAGTTGTAGCGACTACCCCTAGAAATAATAGAGAAATTTTGTTTGGCATTCAAAGACATTTAAAAGAGTTGTGCTCTAAAATGTATTGATTTGAAGATTTTTTAAGGATTTTATTTATCATTTTCATTATTGAGGTAGATGATGGACCATTCCGATATTTGATTTGGCGTTTTATTTGTAACTATTACCAAAATTGTTATTGTTAAATATTGCTCGTTTGCATTTTCAACTTTCTTTCAAATTTTCAAACTCATTTTTGATTCGATTTATCTAAATAATACGGTAAAAACTTTCACAATTCAAAATAGAATTTAATTTTGAAAAAACCAGCCACATTTATATGACGCATTTTGGTGTTTAGTATCTTCAGTACATTATTGTTTTTTCAATTTCTCAAAAAATTGTATCTATATTTCACGTAGCAGTATAGTGTCTCATAGCTACTCCATTCTTTTTAGTAAGTTGGCTTGTAAAAAAGACCTTTTAATGGGAATAAAAATAACTTTTTTTAATTTTTTGAGAGCCCTGTGTTATAATTTTATCCTGGTTAGCAGAATTGGAAGCTAAAATTTTAATTAAATATGGGCGACACCACTTTCATCACCCATATATCTGTGACACGTTGTATTTCAGTTGAAGTCATGTCGGGGAACTATGGTGGACTATTTTAATGTAGTGTTTTAAAGCGTGGCCTCTGGCGAAACTTTGGGTATATTGGTTTTGGCCCTGCTCAAAGCATGAGAGAAATAACAGCAATTTAACTATTTTAGTAATTTATTGTCTCAGACTATAATATAGTCACATATATAACTTTTAAAACATAAAGTATACGTCAAAAATAAAGTTAATTACATTTTTGTTGTTTAAAGCAGTCTAAACACATAAAAGGGGCATGATTGCTATCCGGACATTTAAAGCAGTCTAAACACATAAAAGGGGCATGATTGCTATCCGGACACTTTGTGTATACTTTGTTCCCTTTTTTTAACAGGAGTTCTTTTTATTATTTTCATCCTTTGTAGTTTTTAGAACTGAATATTACGACAATTGGATTTGACTTGTTTTAATTTTTTTTTTATAAATTTGGCAAGCTTGTTGCTATTTCTTCTCGAAAGTTGCTGTTTTATACCTTCCTCAGGGTCGTGGTCTGATTGATCGATACCAGCTTTCCTTCTGTTGGCTATTGGCTTTTGTTTATTTTTACTTTTTCCATTAGTATTTGAAGCTCGACTGGTTGATGGTTGGTCAGCATTACATCCCCTATGTGCTCCAGCATTTCCTTCCTGGTTGCCTGTAATATTTATCATGTGTGGAGCGTGTTTAGTTGATAGAATTCTTACATTGCGTGTATGCCACCATTTTACTACCGCAATTCCAGTTTCATATTCTTTCGCTATCAAAGCACCAATTACGTGAGTATTTTGGTGTAAAAAAGACAATGCTAAATCATAGCTCGTATAGAAGGTATCGACAAATAATGAGTGACCTTGATTTAGAAGTCCTTGAGATAGCTCTTCACAAACTGTTCTACCTAAACCAATTTTTGGTTTAGTTTTTTGATTTCCCTTAGCATATTTTGCTGGACCAAGTATATCATTTAGTCGAGCATAGCTTGAAAAGCTTTGGGCCATATTTGTAAGCTTTATTACATATGCATTGTCGAAATACTAATCTACCTATCCAAGGGTATCGTCAATAACAAAGTCTTCAGCTGGAATCATTACATCATGAAACTTCTTTGTTGCAATGCTTCTATAAGAGGATGTATTTTTCCTAGTCTTTCTAGTCGGGGAATTTCTTCATTGGTTGAAAAGTGAATATTTGACAGCAATAATTCAAATTTATTACGAGACATAATTCTTGGCGCTACATTATTTTTATAAATATCGCTTGTTAACCAATAGAATGGAATACTTACTAACTCCATCCACATAAGAAGCTCCACAAACTTTTTTGTCCGCTACGATGCCTAATATTTATAATTTCATCATCAACAAATAATGAAAACGCATCAAATGGAGTAATATCCTCCGCCACATTTATTTGTAAAGCTGAGCGGCCACTAAAAGTAAATGTTTTATGACCACCTTCGTACTCTGGCGATTTAATAATCTTCGGAACCTCTGGAGACTGACTATCTAACTCCTCACTTTCCTTTTCAAGTTGCAGATCTTAAATTACTTCTTCAATTTTCCAACTACTTCATCATGTTTTTCATTTTTTCATCTTATATCCAGGATCTTTTATATAATCATCTGAACTGAAATCTGCACATTCTTCATCTTATCACTTCGTACAAATGCACCACTTGCTAATATTATTCGCCAATCATCATCGCTTAAATATTTTCTTTTAGCTATTTTCTATTGCACTTTTCATAAGTCACTTTTACTAATAAAACTCTTTTAACTGTCACAAATTTACAGCTAATAAAAGAAAAACATAATCTAAAATTCGTCACACATATACATATGGCCGACATGGCTCTGCAAGAAACAAAATAAAACGGTGGGTCACGTCAACCCCATATGAACGATATACAAACAAGTTAATATTTACGTTGATAAGGACAAAAAAAATTGCTTATGAGTACCTAACTATTTATTTTGAACTTATTAATAATTTTTTTCAAAAAGTATTGTGGCAGTCAATGTGTATTGTTTGCAATGAACAACGAAAATTGACTTGCAGTTCGGGTACTGCGGCAGTAAGTGTAATCTTATTTTGCGCGAATATAATAAATTGGTAATAAGAAGAAGTAGAATAATAGAGAGTGGTTGGCGATATTTGGGCTTTCATTCTATGGAAATCAACCCTTAGGTGTGGTTGGTTACGCAATAACAACCCCAGAAACTGACCTGCCAGTCATCGGTTTCGATATGGGCGGTACTTCCACCGACGTATCTCGATATGCCGGCCATTACGAACACGTATACGAGAGTACCACTGCAGGAGTGACCATTCAATCGCCTCAATTGGACGTCAACACTGTGGCCGCAGGTGGCGGTTCCATGCTTTTCTTCAGGTAAAGCTTTTTTCTCATCATATGTGTTGATCAAAACTTGCCTAATTGTGGTCAAGTTTATCAAGGGACTCGTTCGAATAATTAATAAATAATTGACCTAACAGCTTGGTTATTCTGATAAGATACAAGAACATTCTGAAATTTATTCGAGAATCTCTTTCGACTCAAAATATTTTTACCACTGCCGGGTGTATTCACAAAAACACCCGGTATATTATTCTATTTTTTATTCCTGAGAAAATTCACTGATCGGTTCCATCGAGGTTTTTCTATACCTATATTTTTTTAGATTTTTTTATTATTTTCGATAATTCTAACGGTATTAAAAATATAAGTGGTAATCGGATATTTTCGAAATTGATTAGAGAATTGATTTGGTTGTTATAGGGTTTCTAAAATTTACCGATCCAAAGCTGCTAAACTTTGTTTTCGAAATACTCCAACTAACATTTGTTGTTTTAGTTTGTTCTGTTTGTAACGGTTATGTTTCGATATTATAAAGGGAATTATTCCCATATAAAAGTTGCCAGTATCTTTACGACGATAAAAAAGTTTTATAACAAGAACTGTATTTTTGTTGCCGCTTTAAAATATAAAACCTATCTTCAGCGTTTAAAAACAACAAACGCCCCTCTTTGCTCTTTACTTTTTTCTATCTTATTTGTGTTCAATTTCTTTTATTTTGGGTCGTTGATATTGCATTTTGCTATTTGTCTATAGTGGGCAGCAATGGATTCTTACTTTGACATTATTATGTAAATGTCTTATTAAAGCAACGCAAAATCTCTGAAAATTGCCTACGATGACTTAATTTTATTTGGTACAAAAAATTTATTGAATAATTTTATATTTTACTCTTCCTTATTCATTATTCTAAATTTTATTTGCAGAATAATATGGTAACATTAGTAAGCAATCAATATTTTTAATTATTTTTTAAACACTTGTAGCGATTCAGCTTACAATGGACCCTTAAATCCGCTTTTTCCAAATAGATCTTACGAACAAACACTAGGAGATTCTACGTAAAACGTTATGAAAACTAAGCGTCTATATAAAAAATACTGAGTGACAAAATACATTTATTTTAATACATTATCCTGTAACGTTAAACAGTAAACAATATTCTTCGTAAATATTTGAGTATCTCGACCTCCTCCATTTCGTCATGGTACTGATAAAAAATACAATTTTAAATAAGTTAAAAATTCAACCTCCAAAGATTGCAGAAGCACTTACTCTGTAAATAGGGTAATAGAAAACATTAAATAAGAGCTTCTTCAGAGAGACGCGCCAATTTTCATTTGTAAGTGTTTCATTTCAGCTAATTGTCTGCCTTGCTTTTGTCGTATTTGAAATGTACGACAGCTTGGCGGTTCCTCTTTTATTGATTCAAATGTTAGTATCTGTATCTGGATGTTACGTTTTAATTCTATTCAGAAGTTGGATAGAGAGTTCTTAGCATTTCCGGATTTGGTCAGAGCAGACAAAATATGAGGGATTTATAAAGTTGTGTTGGAAATGATAATAAACATTTACGGAACTTTCATAGCTTTCAAGCGCCTTTAATCCGGCTTACCATCATGCCTGAGTTCGCCTGAGTTAAACGCTAAAAAAAATTGAAGTAAAAGAATTTCCGTACACCAGAATTTTAGTAGCAAAGTAATTGCTTGTTCCTATATTGTAATTGACTTTAGGTTGGGTAAAAAAAAAGAAATACCAGAATTTCGGTACATAATTTTATTAGCAAAGTAATTGCTGGTATTTTGCTTTAGGTCGGGCAAAAATAATGAACTAACAGAATTTTGATAAACTAGCATTTTATTAGCAAAGTAAATGCTTGTTCCTGTATTGTAATTTACTTTAGGTTGGGTTAAAAAAAATGAAAAATCAGAATTTCGGTACACTAGCATTTTATTAGCAAAGTAATTGCCTGTATTTTGCTTTAGGTCGGGCAAAAATAATGAAATAACAGAATTTCGGTACACTGGCATTTTATTAGCAAAGTAATTGCTTGTTGCTATATTGTAATTTCCTTTAGGTTGGGTAAAAATAATGAAATAACAGAATTTCGGTACACTAGCATTTTATTAGCAAGGTGTGTTCCTATATTGTAATTTACTTTAGGTTGGGTAAAAAAAAGAAATACCAGAATTTCGGCACACTAGCATTTTATTAGCAAAGTAATTTCTTGTATTTTACTTTAGGTCGGGACTATTCGTGGTGGGTCCCGAGTCTGCAGGTGCTCATCCGGGTCCTGTTTGTTACAAGAAAGGCGGACCGTTGACGGTAACCGACGCCAATTTGGTTTTGGGTAGACTACTGCCTGAATTTTTTCCGAAAATATTCGGTCCCAACGAAGATTCCGCGCTCGATAAAGAAGCATCGTTTCGAGAGTTCCGGAAATTAACCGAAGAAATCAACACCTTTTTGCAAAGCCAAAATGGAGACGGCGATAAGGTACAGGGTTGTTATTTATATTTTGATACAACCTACAAATTTTATTTAAAGGGCATATTCAATGCTGAAGGGTTGCCACGAAAAATATCGACATAAGCAACTAGTTTAAATTAACAGTGTTTATCAAGAAAAAAACAGTAGTATATTTGACCAAATGGATATCGATCAACTCTTATTCACCGGATGAACTTAGGACCAAAGATTTGTTGATTATGGGTTATGCTAGGGTATATAGCAGACTGTGCTTTTGGTTGGCATTTCAAATACTAAAACAAATATTCAAAGGTCATTCATGGAGAAAAAGAACTACATTTATACAGAAAGTATATAGGCTTACGCCCAGTTAACGTTCCTCATCGATGTAAATGTAATTAATAACTCGTAGGCATACATACAGTTAAACTCCTTTAGTTATGACGAAAATCACGAACCCAAAAGGATACACGACACGGGGCATTGTTTCTATTGCAGTGCAGCGAGACATTGTTAGCTAATCGAAGTGCTGACATTATACAATTAAAACAACATAGTGGTTTGATTTTATCTCCAGTTACTTAAGGTTTCTCTTGATGATTCTGTTTATAATAAGATTGATATAGCTGACAAAATTCAGGAGGCAGGTAGTTCAAACACTGGTTGTATGACCACAATATAATCTAAGCAGTTACAAAAATCTGACATTCACAAATAATTTTGAAATACCTTGCTTACAATTAAATAATGTTAATAATTTTACTTTTAATATTAATAGTAAAATAATGTCTATATTTTTTACTAAACACAAATGCCTGATTGTTAAACAAATGATAATTAAATTGTTAATAAAGATTTCTCATGAAAAATTAATAATTTGTTGATTGTACAACACTAAGCGAATTAAAAAAAAAAGTAATTGCTTGTACTGAACGAGTAGGATGTTGTACATCGTATGCCAAATAAAACGATCTACTAAACGATCTGGAAACCCATAGGAGATACGAAAAAAAGTTTCGTACAAAAGTTTCTTGGACTTTCCTGAAGATTTAAATATTATAGTTTTGTTGAGACGGGGTATCCCAAAAGACTCCGCTCAGACATAAATGAACATTCTGCATATGGAATTCTTGGTTAAAATAAAGGTCACTTTCTTAAGAAATTCCTATTCAAATTTTGCATAGTTTAGGCAGAAATTGAGGTTATGTGTTTTTTTTTTTTATATTTTTATTGCCCCATATAAAATTGTGTTATGACACTATTGATCTAGGTATTGCAACGAAAACTTAACCACAGACTAACGAGATGATGCATTACTCAATCAGTTTGACAGATGCGCCTCAGATTATACAGGGTGTCCCAAATAGGTGGTGTCGTTTTGGCGAATTCAATTAATAAAAAAACAAAATCTGTCGAATGCCGTATATTTTTATTCAGATATCGATTGTACGATAAAAAATAAAATATTCGAGGTTTAAGATAACACCCGTATAAAATGTTGAATTTAAAGCTGCCCACATTAGGTCACTTGTTGGTAATATTAGGTATTTTTTAAATTGGAAAGACATGATCCTACTTTTTTTAAATGAATAATATTCCACTAAAAATTGTTCGTTAATTCGGTTCACAAAGTGTAGTTAAAAATGTTCCCCTTCAAATGCTTGTTTCATCTGGCATCAAAACAACAAAGAAATATCAAAATATTTAAAAATGTAGTCGTCTACACCACAATCTTTTATTTGACGCATTAAGGTATTTTTTTATTTAAAAAGTTTATAGTTGTCAAGTTTTTTGTTAGTATATATTTTATTTGTATTTTGAATAAGTCATAATTTTTTGGGTAACCTATGAAGTTAAATTCTTTATTTTTGTTATAAGATATTTTCAACCAAGTTAGATAATTAACTATTACATGTTTGTTTAAATATGAATTCTGAAGTTTTAGTAAATCTGTTAAAGTGTGTAGTATAGAGTCGATTTTTCTCAAAATCTCCCTGAATATAGGGCGTTCCATTTGAAAATCTTGACATTTTGTTAATTAAATTCGCCAAAACGGCAATACCTATTGGGGAGAGTGCAAGAAACTTTTGTACGAAACTTTTTTTGGTGTCTCCTATGGCTTTCCAGATCATATAATTAATCGTTTTATTTGGCACACGGTGTACAAACAATTAGCAACTTAACTTTTAGATGTTCCGAATAATCCATCTCATAAACAAATAGTGTTTCTATCGTTAAATGTCAGGGTACCACCAAAACTTAATAATGTTTCGTTATGCAAGGCAAGCTGATTACTAAATTCTATTTCGAAACCAATTACCCACAAGCTATATATTTCTGAAATTTTGTTAAAATGAGTTATTAAACAAAAATATACCAGGTGTTCTATTAAAAAAACATGGTTGCTTAGCTTTGATAAAGGGAATGCATTTTTTAATCGTATATTCTGAAGAAACATGTCTTCAAATTTCAGTAATATTGCATAAAACACCGATGTTGTTTCTTTTTTCTGAATTTAGACCAATTCGAAAAAACATTACAGTGACCGTCACATGAAAAGACGCCATATTCATCGGGTTCGCTGTTTAAAAGTTTATTAGGTATTTATAAACACTTTTTTTTGTAACCGCCATAAAACTAAAAGGAGCTGGAAAACCAATTAAAAACTATTACGTTTAAAATGTTAAATAGGAATTATGCAATCATAAACTCACTTTTCAGTTGTTCTTTTATTTGTTCTTGAAAGAAACGTACTTAATTTTTTTTGTAAATATCTAAATAAATTTTAGAAGAAATTACCTTTTAAAATTGCGCAAACGAAAGAATTCATATTTTACAGTAGCTGTAAAATATTCATTAGGTGCTTTAATGGTATATTATGCAACAAGTGCGGTAAAGAGCATTTGAGTCACGAATTTATTTGGCACGATTGGAGCGAGTTCTTTATAAACGAGTGACTTAAACAGTTTACCATACGTTTTGCATATTATAATTTTTCTACGACCGTTAGTTTTTGTTTACATTTTTGCAAAACAACACGAATACATTCACTGCCATGACCGTCAGAATTGACAAACGTCAGAATTCAAGCCGTGAAGCAAAATCTCGGAAAACATCCGATTGATCCCAAACCCCTGCGGTAACATCCCGGAAATGTCCAAAGTAGCTCGGATCCGTGGGAGAAGAAACTCACGTGGTAAAGTGACACTTTCCGCACTCTAGATCGATGTATAATTAGGTATTTTACAAAAAGGAGTAGAAAATAGTATATTATGCAACAAGTATAGTAAACGGCATTTGACTCACGAGTTTTTAACAAACGAGTGAGTTAAAAAGTTTACCGAACGTGTTGCATACTATACTTTTTCTACGACCGCATTTTTGCAAAACAACACGAATACATTCACTGACATGACTGTCGGAATTGACAAACGTCAAAATTCAAAGCGTGTGAAATATCTCCGAAAACATCCGATTGCTCTCAAATCCGTGCGGTGAAATCCCGGAAATGTCCGAAGTGGCTAGCATTCATGAGAAACGAAACTGACGTGGTAAAGTGACACTTCCCGCACGCTAAATCGATGGATAATTAGGTATTTTATTTAAAGTTTTACCGAACGTGTTGCATACTATACTTTTTCTACTCCCGTCTGCACAGTGAGTGTATTCTTGTTTTGCGAAAATATACCCAAAAACTAACGGTGGTAGAAAAAGTATAGTAGGCAACATGTATAATTGGGTATTTTGCAGAAGGGGCTAGAAAAAGGTATTTCCCTATCCCCTTTAATAAATTCTATAATTGGGGGTACATATTTTGTCGTAACGTGCTCACCGATGGATATTGGCGGTATCAGGGTCCGATGACACCAGAGCAAGTCGCGATGGGTTTCGTCAAAGTCGCAAACGAAGCTATGTGCAGACCAATCAGAGCTTTAACCCAGGCAAAAGGCTACGACACCTCCAAGCACACCTTGGCTTGTTTCGGGGGCGCAGGGGGACAACACGCTTGCGCGATTGCTCGATCTCTTGGTATGACCACGGTGCTTGTCCACAAATACGCAGGTGAGAAATAATGTTTAATTTTGTGTCAATTGGTTCGGTGTTATAAGTTCAGTCATAAACGAACATTCGATTGCAATACAATTGATGCTATAGGTACCACGGATATTTTATAAATACATATTACAATAAAAATTAAAGTTTAGACAAAACTAGAAAGCAATAGAACCAAACGAAGTCCTGAAGATGCTGATAAGTAGTGTTTAAGAAAAAGAAATTGGGATGTATAAACACATCCACTATCGTTCTATTAATTAAAAAAAATGTTAATCGGAATTGCTGATAACATAACAGCATAGTTATTTCAGACAATATTTTTGGTTCATGTTACTTTGGAGATAATCATTCCTGTTGGACTGAAGATTGGTAGTCAACCGAAAATTGCTGTTAACCGGCTTTTTTAATTTCTAAAAATTTGGTCCTCATATTTGGTAAAATTTTAAAACACAGCCGTTTTTCTTATTGTTGTTGTCTACTTTTATACAGGGTGTCCAAAATTAAACTCTGTTTTTTTTTCAATTGGGACACTCTGCAAAACCATAACGAAATAATCAGTATTGGCTAAATATTTTCGCTTCACGAGCTTGGTTATGGAAAAACAATTATTACTAAATTAATTATTAGTTGAACACAATATTTTTTTTCCATTGCCAAGTACGTGAAAGGAAAATGTTCAGTCGAACAAATACAATAGTTTGAACAAAATTTAATTATGGTTCGCAATAGGTGTAGGTAACTCTAATGCAGTTTGATAGGGAAATAAGTCCTGGACTTAATGACATTACAGTTATAGGATGTTCCAGAGTTTAGTTACTAATTTTGGACACCCTGTATTAAAGTAGACAACAAAAGTATCAACTTACGACTCTCTTTTAGCATTTGTTTTGTTTTGTTTATTTATCGTACTATTTAAAGCAAGCGTGGCTTCATCTCATAATAGTATCTGACAATGAAAAAATGGATTTAAGTTGCACATTTCCGTCATAGTTTCACAAAACTCTAGTCTGCGATCGAGGTTATCTTCGTCCCTTCGCTCCTGTAATGTTGTACTTATAATACTTTTATTCTTTTAATACATGCAAAGCGGTTCGTTGGTTAACATCATTATCTGAAGGGGCTTGAGAAGATGCACGTTGGGCACTATCCTTAACTTCTAATAAAAGGTTTGTGTTCTCATTGGTTTTTGGACGACTTGGTCGTTGGCAATCTCTTTATTTAGTTATAGAAACAGGGCATATTTCTATATATTTTCTTTCAATTTTACTCACCGTGGATCTTTTAATGGGTCTGTCTGAATATTTTGTAGTAAACAAATTACATACTTTTAACTGAATTCTCGTTTTATCGCCATATCTCAAAAAAATAATTAAACTTTTAATTCTCTGGAGTTTATTTAGATGCGCCATATTCACTTTCTTTACTTGTAGAACTGTAATTGTAACAATTTAAGAACTTTACTGGTACTAGCTACTTACCTATTCGTTATTAATTAAGAAATAGGTATAGGGTATGCTATTTAAATTATATACCTGTCAGTAGTCATTGCCCCTCTATTAACTGCAGCTAAATCTTTGCGGCCGCGGCCGTTTACGGAAATGCCTCTACACGCCTTAATAGGAAAATTGAAATTAAGGCGCATATTACATTCTGAATGTCGTTCACCATGTCACATGTAAACTGGTATACGTCATTCAGGGGCAAAAAAAGTAAATCTGGACTTGTGAGTAAACAAAACCAGGGACCAGTCGATAACGGTCCAATTTATTATTTGTTCTCTGGCAACGCTTAAACAGGCCCCGCGATGTGCGCTAGTAAGATGAGGGCGGTACTATTAGAGTCACTCGTATTCCTCGTCTTTTAACCTATTACCTACAGTTTGGGTACTTTTGGATGTATTTCTTGTGCTTTTAACGGCTTGTGCAGCGATGATGTCCTAAAACAAGCCGTTTACTCTAGATAGTATACCGGGACCTCACTTTCACATTAGCGTCCGTCTATTTTCGATTAACGCAACAATTCTGGTTTCTTTTTACTTGGTAATAACTGTGGAAATAAAATCGTATTTTCAGAGACGTTTAAGCAAATTTCCGTACAATCTGGAAATAATATATAACCTTACCTTTAAGCATATCTCCATTCAGTCAATGTTCCAACTGCATGTAGCTAATAGATAATATAGTGGGCCTGCTACGATAAAAATCCATTGACGTCACCCACTAACCAGCACTGTGCGTCATTTTCTTTCTAAACAGCGATTTCTATACACTTACCTTGTTTTTCCAGAACATTTAACAAGATCTAGGCATATTTTGGGAAACTACTGCCGTTGGTTGTTAAATGGCGCAAGGTCATTGGTTTGAAATAAGATTTTAAATTTCGCGCATGTGCATGTTAGTTGCCTCATAAGTTTCTGTATTATCGGCATTAGGCAGGGCATTTATATCTCTAGTAGCTATATGCGTAACTGATAATTGCCTACTTGATTTCTTCAGATCACTGTTTTCTCCGTTTTCACTAACTCTACAAATGCGTTCATCTTTTTCTGTTTTTATGTACCACTTTACGATTACGATGATGCGATATTTTTTTTGCAGAATGTATATTAAAAATTAATACAGTAAAAAACTTTAATTATCTATTTTTCTCAACATTTAATATTTAACTAACTTAAGCCTCAGATTAAATTTGTCCGAATATGTCTTGTTATAGTGCGAAGTTTTCCAAAGTAAGATTAATGAGAAATTAATCGAATTAGTACGAAATAACGAAGAGTTGGATAGCCTCAGGAGATGAAAGAAATTGCAGATAAATTAAAAACGAAAATTCTTCGCCGGTTTTTGCGTGTCAACATTATTATAAATCAATTAATTTCAATTCAATTATTGCATTTTTGGCTACATTGTTACAAACATAATCGTTCGATCTATATATTCAATAAATCCATTTTCCATAAGTTCATTTCTCGCAGTTGGGAAAACGCTATGTTCTTGGTCCCCACAAAAAAGTTTCATAATAAATTCTTTATAGTGTTTTAATCCACCAGCTTTAAAATGAAATAAGTACATATAAATATTAAGTACATAAAAAATCTTCCAAGGTGATTGGAACGATATAATAGAAACCTATAGAAAAAAATACTTGTAAATAATAAATATATTATTAATTGTACATGATTATAATCAAGATCAAGTAGACAAAAACTTATATAGAAGTATGAATAATATGAAAATAGATACATTGTGACCAACATTATTATTTAAAAAAGTCTACTATTTACAATATAACTTCATTTGTAAATTTGTCATCACGTTCCAAGATGAACATAGTCGTTGAAGTCCAGAGAAATAATAACAGTATTTTCTAGCATTTTTTCAATTCCCCACATTCTTTCTTCTACTTCACAAGTTCGACGCACTTCGTTTTCCATGCTGTCTTTATTCTCTCTAGCAAGAGGGTTTCAACGTCCCTCATTTTAAATGTGGTATTTTTTAAAAAATGTTTGCTTGCTTGCTTTTTCTTCGTTACTCCAAAAATCCCAATTCTTTGGGAATTACCCATTTAGGTATTTTATCGGCGTACGGCATGGCCTTGGCTGACGTCGTACACGAAGCTCAAGAGCCAAGCGGCAAATCGTATTCTGCAGAAAATTTCGACTATATAGATGCTCGATTGGAGGCTCTGGAGCGAGAATGTCGTTCTCAGTTGCGGAAACAGGGATTCGCCGATTCCCACATTCGGCTGGAGCCGTATCTTCATCTGAGGTACGACGGTACCGATTGCGCTTTGATGTGCAGACCCACCAAACCTGATGAGGGTACGGCATCGTGCCCAAAACGCGGGGATTTTATTCGGACGTTCGTGGAGCGCTACCAGACCGAATTCGGCTTCGTTATACAAGGGCGAGATGTGATTGTGGATGATATTAGGGTGAGGTTTCTTTCATTGTTATCAGTCATTATCCGAAATTGCTTGTAATCATAAAGTTTCTCGGTAACCAACCGAAATAGGAATTTGCCGTTCTCGCGACCCTGTGTCATTTTTTCGTGACACTTTGAACGACGCAAAATGAACAGAATTATACTAAAATTGAACTGAGGTGGCTTTTACGTGATGAAATGTGAACATTTGATAAAGACACGGTGTTGTCGAAACAATTGTCATGTCAAAATATATAAATTCGTGAAAATCTGAACTTTTAGTTCTTATTTATTTTGAGAATTATGCTACCTTATTTCGTTCCCGAGATATAGGATGAAAATGAAATTTTGCGCATTCTGGGATGGTAGCTTATTTCGGACACCGTCTGAGAAAAGGGGTAGGTCGGTCAATCAGGCGCATTCGAATTCAAATACTGATAGTCTGGGTGTCAAAATGAAAAACGCAAAGGATATTTGGAAAATTAAAACCGTATAAAGTAAATATATATAAGCCTTATAAGGTAAACATAGTGCAACAATTGAATCTTGGAGAAGCAGAAAAAGCTTTTCTAACTCGTATCTCCAAAAAAAAAAAAATGCAAAAGTAACCCAAACTTCGGCCGCAATGTTAAATGGCGCTCATATAATGGTACATATTTTTAATAGGAATAATAATAGGTATTTTGAATTCTGAATTGTACAGAAATCCTAACTTGTTCCTCAAAAATTTGCCTAGTTAAACTAAAACCTATGTTTTATTTTTAGACGCCTTTTAGCTCTTTCGTATATTATAAAAAGAGTAAAAATTTTATTTCTCCCTCTTCTTACGAACGAAACAAGGCGTTCAAAGTTCCATCTACGCTGGTTACCTAGAACTCCTGCGATTACCACCAATTTGATGCGTAGCCTACATTTTTAATGATTGGTAATAAGGTTCACGCATTGCGGCTTTTCCAAGGGTACCTTTCATGAAATAAGTGCCCCAATCAGAAATGTCATAGCTATCAAGGAATTTTAGATGTATCTAGAGTGATTTTCATTTTTAGATGCTCTTTGTAGGTCGATTATACGTAAACTTATCGCAAAAGGTGATCTGAATAGATCCAGTGGAGTAGTCGACTGATACTTTATAATATACCTATAAACCAAATGCCTATTTTTTAACACCCTAATGTACGTCTTTTAATAATTTTATTAGATTTTTTGTTAGCTTTTCAAAAATATGTGTGTGTATATTTTGCAAAAGGTTATTCACTACTTTCAGTTGTAATAATACCAAGTGGCTCACAGTTATCTTAAATTAATATAAGGAGACTTGAACAAACCTGGAATCCTTTTTTAAAAATAGAATTCGCAAATTATATAATACATGGGATAAAAAAAAGAACAAACTTAATAAATAGTGTCTCTAAGGAGCCATTTAAACTATGCGAAATTTTGCTTCGTTGTCAATGCTAAGTATACTTTGTTTCAAAGCCTTGGCTCTTGACTTTCATTAAAACCTGTCGACGGCAATAAAACACATGACCGCCGGTATTGTAGGACAAAGCTAAAGGGACGCATTTTTAAGGTATTTTAAATATATGAAGATTAGAAATTCTATTATGTTTATTTAGATATAATAAAATCACATTAGTGAATAGAAAATAAAAGGACCTTAAATTTATATAAATTGTCAATAATAAATAGGTAGGTTTTTATCCAAAATCTAATTCTGTTTCATTCTCAGAGTCGTCATTAAATATTAATTGGCATCACAAATGTTCTACGGCGTTGAATATAGAATCATATGGAGGAAGACGTAAAACAAATATTTAGGTTGAGATGAAAACTGTTGTTTTTTAATATCATAAGAATTTAACACTTCCAAGTTGCCTTTTCTAGTTACTGGATTTGATTTGAATTTGTTGCTTTTTTGAGCACGCGGCTGTGATAGCTTCCGTTATCCATTACAATGATACGTTATCCGGAATATTTCTTAAAAGATTATTTTGAAACCAGTTTTCAAAAATTTGAGTACTATCCTCAATATTCCCTTCTCATCCAGCATGAATTCAGCTGATACGTTTTTCTTTATTTGAAAGTGCTTTTGGCTAAATATATTTACTGGAATGAACCCATCCTGTATCGTGTGTATCAAATTTAGTTTTATCTAGATAAATTATACATCTGTTTTCGGATATATACTTTTTGCTTTCCTGAGGATAATCCACATACTTTTTATCTATTTTATTGCTTTTAAATCTAATTTTACGAATAACTCTATGAAGGACGGCACGGCCAATAATAACATTGATTTCATCTTTTTATAGCTTCCTTCAGAGTTTAGCCAAAGTAGAAACAAGGGAATGTATTTTCTTCCTTATTATATCTTGTTCACTATTGTCCAAACGGATTGTAAATCACTACTCCATCGTGCATATTTCCTTTTTTCCTTATTCCTTATTAAATATCCATATACATTTGTCGCTCTTTCTCTCTTTTTTGTTTTGCATCTAATGACAAGTGATTTCGACGCAATATAACGTAAATCAGGGATATTAGTAATAAGAAATGATTTCGAAACGCCCGGTAAACCGGGTTATTCAACGCTTCCACTTACCTATAAATACATAAATCATTATTGGTTGTTGGGTGCACCCAGTAATAAAAGCTACAGAGGTCGTAATTTTGGGCAAGGCGATATATTATGAGGCACACTATACTTTATTTATATATTATTTTATATTATATATTTTTATTATATATATTAATATTTTATAGATATAAACCATACTCGTGCCTTTGCAATTTCAAACTTATTCAGGAGTACCCTGATACTTTTTCAGATAAAAGAGAAAGCAATCCTTGATGTGCGGGAATCTCGCATTCTTACTTGCAATATTCCAAAACCGTTTTCTAAAAATAGTTGCGTGGCAAGAGGATATTTATAAATCTCATAAAGTTAAAGTATTTTATTATCGCCCGAAAGATACAATTTGCTCCCTTTGAAAACCTCATATAATGAACATGTTGACGCGTTTCAACAATAGCGAGAACTTCCGACGGAATATTAAATATAGATATTATTAAATTTTTTCGGCTTGTTTTACTGAATGAGATGAATATTTTCCTCGTTCTGTTTTAACAACTATGGTGATAGAACTACTATGTTGAATATTGCCACAGTTAAAAAACTCTTAAAATTATGCTCTTAGAAGCCCAGAATTTCCCCAGTAACATTTAACTAAGTAGAATGAGAATTGAGTGTCTCAATTAATTTATTACTTGTAATTAATAACATTTAATATAATTATAATATCATTTATTATTACGACGCACACCAATGCCCAGATTTTGACATTTACGTGTCCTTGGAAACACTTTTATTTTTCATATTAAAAAAAACCGTTGCCTAAACAGTGGGGAGATAAGTGATTTCATCGAATTTACACACGGACGGAGTTAAGCCTAATTGCTGGTTTTTAGGTATTTTATCATTCACATATCTGGTTTTCTTTGCATATTTGCATATTTCGTGGCCATCCGTTAGTTTAAATATGAAACCGTATTTTGTTTTATTGTTGTATTGTTATTGCGTTTGTCTAAAAACGAATTATTCTTGTCATGCTGCTGGTAGTATACACACAAAAAATTGATCACATCAAACAAAAATAAGCAGTTTGGTTTGGTAATGTTCTAGGAAAGAGAAGAGAAGGTTACATTTCGAAATGAGAATACATATTTTTATTTAAATGTTATTATGGATTTAGGAAAATTATCTAACCCAATTTGTATTTGACATACAAAAACTAAAAATTAAATTAGTTTTATATAACTTAATTACTCAACTTTATCACATTTTTCTTTTGTTTTTAACTTTGTTCACATTGAAATTGATCTTTTAGTTGGCAACGATAACATACTCTCTTGAAATGTAGGTTTGTAAAATCAAGTCAGTAATATATTTTTTTAAATAATATACTTGCTTACGTTATATTCTTTAAACTAAAATAAATTCTTTATTTAAAAAAATCTTTTAAGAATATTGTTGACTATTGTAAATTCTGTCAATTTCTCCACTTTAATGTATTTATTTCATCTCAATAAAAATCACGTTTAAAAAATTGAGACAACTTAATTACTTGATGTGTACAGCTTCCCGCAATGTAATAAATGTTGAATTTAAAAGGAGAATCAACATGATGAATTTGGTATTTACTGCTATTTATATCATGTATTTTTGTATTTACTGTATGGATGCGCAATCCATTTGCTGCGAAACTCGCGGCCTGGTGAACTGCTCTACTATATTTTTACCCTTATGATCCACTCTTTTTCACATGTCTTGCGACAACAGGTCAGGGGCGTAGGCAAAAGCGACGTCGACGACGAAACGTTATTGCGGTCGAGCAAAGACGATCCTGACCACGTCCTAACGACAAGAGTATATTTCGAAGGGGGTTTTCGGGACACCAAGGTGTTCCTTTTGGAAAAGCTTTTATCCGGGCAGATCCTCAATGGCCCGGCAATCGTCATGGATAAATTGAGCACGATTCTCATAGAGCCAGATTGTACAGGGACCATTACCGAACACGGCGATATTCGAATCGTAGTGAGCTCTGGCCAGACTAAAGGCGTGGGGACTTACTTGGATCCCATACAGCTGAGCATATTCAGTCATCGGTTTATGAGTATTGCCGAGCAGATGGGTCGGTAAGTGGTTGCTTTTTATAAAGTTAAACGGTGACCAAATTTTAGTCCCATATAAAAATTTTACTCCCCATTTATGTGTAATTAAGACAATGCCGTTACCTTTATAAACCATAAACAAATTTTTTAACGGCAAGGAATTCCATTTTCGTTACCGCTATTAAACCTATCTCCACAATTTATAAGCATTAAACAAAAAACGCCCTTTTTTCGATTCACCTTTTTCTATATCATTTGTTTACAATGTATTTTTGTTTCTTGTCTTTGTATTGGTGCTTTTTAAATATTTATGCTTCTGTAACTTACCGAAAAGGTATTTATAAAAACGTCGTGGCCGCAATTGAAAAATTTTAGTGCGCCATCGTCAATTATGCAATCGTAACTTAACTTTTCAGATGTTTACTTATTGCTAAAACATGATTTTTTAAATTGTTCATGTCAATGAAGTTGGGAAAACAGTACCGTCTTTTACGGTCATTCCAAGCTCATTGGAGTTGAACAGGGTATTGTGTTAGCCCCCTAAAAGGTTAGAAATAGAAACAAGTTGATCCAGAACCTAAATTCATTGCCAGAATCTGATTGGAAACAATACGCATGCATAGAAAAATGGCTGGAATGTTGTACAATACAGATGGGAACGGTGGCTATTAATAAGCTCCGGAATCTTTGAGTAGAGTTAATAAATTCAAGAAGATCATAGGTCGTGCTCCACAAGTACATTTTAACAACAGAACGGAGCAGTGTTTGTTTCGGTATTTTCAAATATAATATTGTCCTGATGAAAGTCTAAATTTTGGTATGTGGCTTTTACATTTCCTCTAGTTTTGGATGAATTACTTTGCAAAATAGTATCACAGGTTTTAGCACACGTTTTATAAAAGTTGCTACTAGATTTTGCCAATTTTGCTTATCTTGTGATATCTTTAAGAAAACTACTACTCGAAATGTAATTGCATTCTTTATGTTTCATAGTAGCTGTGGAATATTTCCTAGGTGCTTTGAGATTTATAACGTTTTTTGTGAAGTAAGTTACAAAAACAGTAAAAGTGCTATAATATGATTTTTAAGAACACTCTAAAACCTTGTGGAAAAATCTGAAATAACCAACAACAAAGGTTTTGTAAATAAAGTAACGAAAACGAAAAGCTTAAAGCTTTATTGGAGGTCTATAGGAACAGTTATAAAACCTAAGGTCTTTAACAATTTATTAATACCCGTTAACTTATAATACAAGCTTGAAGGTGTCAAAAATGTAAATAATTTAAAAAAATATGTTTTAATTAAGGAAAATGAAAAAGGTGCTTCTTCACCTCCGGACATTCACTGTAGAAAAAATACCTCCCGAAAGTACTGTTTTACTGGACCAGAAAGCAAATTAGGCGAGTGAAGTAAAAGTTTATTAACAATTTTTAACATTTTCTAATAATCTAAAATTAGGAAATTTTCCAAACAAACTACCACAGGGTACTGTAGTACTAAGGGGTGTTTTTTTTTCGATATATAGAACTTTGTTGCAATCAAACAACGATGGATTATTCGATTGACATGAATTTTATTTATCCGAAAGATAATCTTGTGGCATTATATTTTAACTATGATTTCTGGCATATGACCGCCACGGCTGGCGCGGATGTAGTCCAATCTGGACGTTCATTTTTCGATGACTTTTTCCAACATTTGTGGCCGTATATCGGCAATAACACGGCGAATGTTGTCTTCCAAATGGTCAAGCGTTTGTGGCTTATCCGCATAGACCAATGACTTTATATAGCCCCACAGAAAGTATTCTAGCGGCGTTAAATCACAAGATCTTGGAGGCCAATTCACAGGTCCAAAACGTGAAATTAGCGGGTCACTAAACGTGTCTTTCAATAAATCGATTGTGGCACGAGCTGTGTGACATGTTGCGCCGTCTTGTTGAAACCACATCTCCTGGATATCATGGTTATTCAATTCAGGAATGAAACAGTTAGTAATTGTAGCTCTATATCGATCACCATTGACCTGGCCATCATCGTTTTTGAAGAAGTACGGACCAATGATTCCACCAGCGCATAAAGCGCACCAAACAGTCAGTTTTTCTGGATGTAACGGTGTTTCGACACACTTGAGGATTAGCTTCGTTCCAAATGCGGCAGTTTTGTTTGTTGACGTAGACTAGAAGTGCACTTCATCACTAAACAAAATTCGTTTATGAAAATCGGAAACAACGGCAATCTCGTTTTGGGCCCATTCGACGAATCTACGCCTTACTTGATGATTGTTTGGCTTCAATTCTTGCACGAGTTGGATTTTGTAAGCACGTAAACCAAGATCCTCCCGCAAAATCTTCCATAAAGTGGATGGACACAGATCTAATTCCTGTGCTCGATGGCGGATGGACTCATTCGGGTCTTCGCTACGCTCTACAGCAGCAATAGCTTCTTCTGTACGCACCGTACGGCGTCTCTGGGGATGCGAGTTATCAACAAGAGTAAACGTGGTGCGAAAACGTTCCATGGTTAATCGAATTAACTGCTCTGATGGACGATTTTGTCGACGATGAAATGGACGTAGTGCGCGATACGTATTCCGCACAGAACCATTATTTTCGAAATAAAATTGCACTATTTATAAGCGTTGTTCAGGCGTGAGTCTATTCATGATGAATTGCCAAACCAAAATGAGAATAAATTACTTGACAGCTGTTAAGTCGGTCATCATCTTGAACAGTAATGCCAACTTTCTATACATGGAAAAAAACACCCATTATTTACAAATCTGATTACTGATTCCCGTGTTGGTGAGTCACGGTTAAGATTGTTTGGTTGTTTAGAGAGAAAAATTGATTACATAAAATAATTTTAGTTTGGTCCAATAAGATTTGATGTCCGGTTTCATAATTACGTTCGGCAACTGGGGATGAGTTTATTAGTCGTAGTAAAATGTTAAGAGACAAGTGACAACGTATTGAAATTAGTGTTTAGTAAAAGATGTAGACATTATTTTTGAATATTAACATGAAGCATACAACTATTAGCATTATTTATTTGTAAACAACAATTTTTGGAACTGATTAAATTAGAATGAGTTTATGAATTTTATCAATTTTATTCTGAACAGAATCATCAATATAGTCTTCATAAACTTGAGATCAGTTCTAACCCCCACGTCATTTTAATTGAATAATGTCACCACCTGATTAGCTAGCAATGTTACTGAACTACGAAACAATCCCCTGTGTCTTTCTTTGGGGAAATGAATCTTCACCCACTACAATAAAGTTAAAAATTTAGTTCTCATGCTCCATTAATTAGAAATTACGTTGGATTATTTGTTTTGGTGCTTGGAATATTAACCAAAAGCATAGTTTGTCCGTTAGGTGGTTAATTAATATATTAGTAATTTCTTCTCGTCAACATGATTCAGTATAACCCATAATGTACAATACTTTGGTGCTTCTATTAAACATTAATTTTTAATTTTTTTGATTTATATAATACGGATTTCTTCTTCATTATTGCTGTTAATTAAACATTGGATATGTATTCCATTACGATGGCAACAAATTGCACATTCGGGACTCGTTACTTAAACAACTATTTACTAACATTTGCTAACCCTTAAAAATGCCATGATCGCTTCTAAGAAAATATCCAAAAATTCAGCCCCACTCAAAAACATACGTTGCAAATATAATTAAACTTTTTTTTAAAGAAGCTCCATGGCCTCGAGCATTCCTTGCTTCTTGGTACTTATTCGAATCACTGGTTTGACTGAATTTTACAGATCGTTGAGTGACGTTCCAAGATAACCAACTTTCTCCGCTCTTCTTAAAAATACCGTAAAAATAAATTCGAAATATTATTTTCGCAACATCTGGACCATTTGTGATTTCGCATGACATTTACTTTGAACTTCAAATAAATTGTACTGATTTTAGTAATCAGTGGCGCCGTTGTGCGGATTTAGTTTAGGATTGCGTATCGTAAGCCAGATTGCCCAATGAACCCATTTCACTCAGCCGAGATTTAACTTTTCTGTTGCACGCCACTTCACAATTGAATTGGTTATAAAGATTCTATTAGAGATTACGTGATCGCAACAAATATCAGTGGACAGGATAGATAGGGATATTGCAGAAATTTTGTAGTTTTATTATTTCGACTATTACTTTTTCTTTTAAATAGATATGCTGCTCAATATTAAAGCAGTAGCGCCATAAAAATAAAAAAATAAAATAAAAACACAGCAACACACTAAGGAAAGAAGAGAAAAAAATCCCAAAGATTTCAGAAACAAAGTTGATTAGGATATGCCAACAAAGTAAGAAACTTTAGAGTGTATAATCGTTTTCTAAGTTTTATAATAAAACCATTAGTGTTACACAAGTTTTGTAAGACGTCCAATAAATACCAAAATGCTTTTAAGTTTCCGTTGCTTTGTCTATAAAACTTTTGGAATTGGTTATTTCAGGTTTTTTAAAAAGGTTTTATAGGATTCTTAAAAAGCTGATTATAAAACTTTTACTCTTGGGGTGTTATAATTTAAACATTAAACATGCAGCTACTCTGAAACCTGGACTCCCTTATGCTTTGCTGACATTTCGCCATTCATCCTGTTGGTCTCTTCGGAGCTTAACTGAACTGAACAGTTGCAGTTAAGGTGTGAAGAAGTCAACACTGAACAGTTTCAGTTAAGCTGTGAAGACGCCAGCAGGATGATTGACGGGACTTCGTCAAGTTCGATTCATCAACAACTGACCCAGGAGGAATCCAGAAGATTTGTAAATAGTATCGTTTATAAAATTATAAGTATTCCAAAATCATCTTGGGTTTTATTGCAAGAGTGGTACAAGACACCTAGGTAAGTTTTATAAGAGTTCCCAAGGTGTTTAATATTATTTGAACGTTCATAAACAAAATTGTTTTAACTATAAATATAAGTTAATTGCAAAGGAAAAATTTAATGGAAGTTAATTTTAACTTTAAAGTTTTTACTAAAATTAAGTTTTACAACGCTGAGGCCACTTCAGTTTTAGGAAGGGTAAAATATAAAATTATTCTATACATTTTTCGTGCCAAAACATCAAGCACATAAATCTGAATCATACGTCGTAAAATGATAGACCCTGCCAATTCAGATTAACCCGTTCGTTCAACCCTACTGGCGTCGAGTCAACTATTGCGAAATGATTATCTTCATTAATAACACGTACCATTTAACTAAATCCCATTTGGCAAAATCCACGTAATACGATTCGAGCTCCGTCTTCCACAGAATCCTGCAGAGGACATCGATTTCGACCAACATCAAAGAGCGATTGGACTTTTCCTGCGCTCTCTTCGGGGCGGACGGTGGGCTCGTTTCCAACGCTCCTCACATTCCTGTACATTTGGGGTCAATGCAGGAAGCGGTCCAGTACCAAATGAAGGCGAGAAAGAAATTTTACGCCGGCGATGTCATCCTCACCAATCATCCAGGGGCGGGAGGGTCTCATTTGCCAGATTTTACCGTTATCACGCCCGTGTTTCACGAGTAAGTAAAGTCACCGAACATAGATTACGATAAGAAGCGACACAGATCAAAAGTTCTGGACGAAGGGCCTTAAATCTTGATCGCAGATGTTTTGCCTGTTTTACGAAACGTACGATACCTTGAAGTTGTTGAGTTGAAGTTGATTTTTTATCGGGTAAATTAGCATTGCATTTGTCGTTAGAAGGATGAGACAATTTTTAGATCACAATACCGTTCTCTCATTTATTAAATGAATTATAAAGGTTAATATAAAACATAACTATATTATTTATTGGACAAAAAAAAAATAAAACAAAATCATAAACATTAATCAAATAAAAAGTCAATGTTAGAGGTTGCCCCCCATACCACCACATACTTTGAACCAGACGTTTAATGTATGCATGATAGATATTGGCCCATTTTTCCCAAAAAATATCATCATCAGAGGCAGATGGAGGTTGATGATCTGTAAGCTACCTACCCGTTTCATCCCATAACTGTTCTATCGGGTGAACCGCATGGGCAGTCCAAGGTCTCAATATTTACCTCATTTAATTATTCTATAGAACCTTTGTCATTAAATTGCATTTTGCATTTAATAACTGAGATAGAGACGTGAATAAAGAACCAAATGCAGAGAACAGACAGATGCCTTGACTTAGACAGTGTTGTTAGAAATTTCCACAGAATGTGGCAAATGTTGAGTTTAAAACCGGTTTTTATTTAAACACGTAATATTTAATTTTAAATAAAATTGTTTTTCATATCAGTCTTGCAGACCGAAGCTAAGATCAATTTTTAGTGCGAACTTTACTTAATTTTATTTAATAAGTTCAATCTTTTTAAATGCAAACGTTCTAGCTTCTATCCAAATCAGAGGTCCATTAAATATATTATGTGTACAGTCTTAAGTTCCGGATGTGTTTTCAATGACTTATTACCGCAAAATTTACACCAATTATTTCCAAAATGTTCCTAATGAAATTTACCTCGGGTACGGTAGTGCGACGCCCTTGTATAATTGTATATATAATTGTATATATCTCTCAGTAAGTTGCAACCATTATTATTGATTTTAGGAAGAAAATTTTCGTAGAAAGTGTTCTCAAATCTAAAATACAGTAATCAGATATCTTTTTTTTCCAGTAGTATACGAAGTTTCTGAAAAAATATAAATTTAACTCGAGCGTAAAGTCTGACAATATCAAAAAATGTTATTAAAAAAGTAGATTAGAACTATGAACTATATTCAAATATGCAATTATTATTATAATAAAGCCCCATGATTAAGATTCCTTGAAGACTAACGTGTGTTGTGGCATTTATAAAGATCTGCTAGTTTTTAATTATTTCTAGAAATAATATTAATATTATTTGCGCAACCTATTATTTGTATGTATTTTTATATTTGAAAAATAATGCACGTAATAATAAAGTATGCATTCGATACGTGTTTAAATGGAAACACTGATAGAAAGTATTAAGAAACAAGAAGGATATTATGACATTTATAACAACAAGGGATAAATGTTCATTCAAAATTGACACAATATAAAACAAGCACAGAACCCATTTTTCAATGGAAATGGATGTAATTATATATTTGAAAGTAGTTTTTTACTTTTTTAAAATAAAATTTTTGGATATTGTCAAATTAAAAGGTACTTGAGACATACGTTTTTTTTGCCCAAAAATAATAATAAAAAAGTTTCCCATGTGGTTTCAACATATAGAGACATATTGTATTCATAAAATATGTGAGAACTGTTTGAATATTTTTAATTTTAGCGATAGGGACGAACCGATTTTCTTCGTAGCCAGTAGGGGCCATCACGCGGATATAGGTGGCATAACGCCGGGATCGATGCCGCCGCATTCCACGACACTGAGCCAGGAAGGGGCCGCCTTTAAGTCCTTCCTCTTGGTGGACAAAGGAGGGTTCAGGGAAGAGGAGCTCGTTAAAAGGATCAAGGAAGCCGGCGGCAGGAATTTGCAGGACAACTTGTCCGATCTGCGAGCCCAGGTCGCCGCCAATAAGAAAGGAATCGACTTGGTTTGTTTATTAATGATATTTGCAATAAAAATAAAAATAATACAGAAATTCTTGTAGCAAACCATATTAAGCAAAAAAGAGTTAAAAACAATTTAGAAAAGATATAAATTAACTCCTAGCACACAAATTTATTAACAGAAGGTAGTACGTCACCAAAGAAAAAGGAAATAATATCAACTAGTTAGAGTTCATATAATTTTAAACAGTACGTTTAAAAGAGCGAATGTTTAGAATTTTAAAATTAGAGGTTAAATGTTATATGTAAACTAACTTCCGAATAATTTAGTCTGATGAGGAAGAGAAGAGATATTCACTCGAATTGGAACATTAGCAGTGTGCACCTCAGTCCTAAATTTAAGATTATTAAAAACATATCGATGATCTTGAGTCAACAAAATGTTATGGAAACTGAAGACTTGAAAACCTTGATAGCCATAAAAACCGGATACTTCAACATCAAAGACCACAAATGAAGTGACTTTATACGAGAGCTGAACTTGATGGGAAAAGTATAAAATCCTTCCTCCTTCTATTTTCTGTGGAACCACGACATCATAGTTAAAATGACTTATCATCAAGGAGTCTGCATTTTTAAAGGAACAGATAGTAAGTGGCGATGAGGAAACAACAACTTTAAATTGATTTTTTTTAGCTTAAACGAATTTTCAATTTCGGCACTACCTTTGCGAAATAGCAAAACAATAGAAACATTAAGTTCCAAGTTGTGATTTTTTGCGAATGCCGTTAGTATTTCTAAATCGTCATGATTGCTTGAGCGTTGTTTTGTTCGTTGGGCTTGAAAGGCAAATAAATAGAGCTGTGTGTCATCTGTCCGATTTCAATATGACATGTATGAATACTAAAAAACGGAGGACCTAGAATACATCCCTGAGAAAGACAACACCCTGCTGCCGCTTGTCTAGATAATCCTGTATAAATTCAAGTGGAGAATACCTAATTTTAATTGAAAACAGCAACAGCACTGAAGAAGTGACTTTTCTAGAATCAGAAGCTCTAAGAATATCATCTGCAATGTGATGCAAAGCAGTAGTGCAGCTAAGCCCTTTCTAAAACCGGATTAAAAGTTGATAAAAGTGTCATTAGCATCTAGGTGTTTCCTAATCTGTCGATTTATCGTTTTTTCAAGTTTTTGGGATAAGATTGATACTAAACTAATAGGCTTGAGCTCAGTATTTTTGGAATGTCCGTTTTTTGCTGTAGGAGTCACTTTTTTCCAAAATACAAGAGTTAACAATATTAGTAATATTTTTTAACAGTATGGAAGGTAAATAATGAAAAAAATTCTGTGTGTAGAAATGCAATATGTCATTATCGATTTGATGATTTGATATCTATAAGTTCAAGGACCATCTTCCTAAAAAAATGACATTTCCTTTTTTTTACTTTTGCTGTTTTTAACATTTCATTTTTTATTTTCAATTTCCAGTGTTTTTGCTTCAGCCAAATCGGAAATTGTCAGATTTTCTGTAATCTTCTTAACTGCATTTTGTTCTTGCGAATAGCAAACGTAACTTACGGTTTGGCATCAGTTCTACAAAGTAATTGAGTAACGTAAAATTTTAAAAGAATCCGCAACATAAAATGTTAAATGTCTCAGAAACAGACAAATATAGTTATAAGATATTATACATTGATGTCTAGAATTTTCCGCGGCATCCAAAAAGCAATAATGTAAAAGGTTTTAATAATAAATAAAATAATAAAATAACAGCTGGTATAAACTTCGGGTATTTCCGATCTGCCGCCATATTAAAAATATTTTAGCCGGATTGCCCCCTAACCAACATTAGTTTAATTTCTAATTATCACAAAACAGAGCATCCTGTATATGTAATTTTATTAATATTGTTCCAAATAGGAATTTTATTATTAAACCGAATGAAAAAAATGCTGCGAAAATAGAATTATTTGAATAATAAACTCAGCGATGTTCTCTGGCATGATGTCTGTAATGTTTGTAATCTCGTTCGCCATACGAGCAAGCATGGAAACCGACGATAACAAACTGCACCGATGGTTTAAACTTTTAAAACTTTAAAGTTACCTTATTAACATCAAAATAAAAATAAATAAATTAAAACGAATATAGCATGTGAAGCTCTTAAAAAATCGAATAAACGCATTATTGCTTACCTAAAAACTAAAATCACTTTCAACTATCAGGTAGTCAGCAGTATTTGGAGCAAATTCAGGGTCATCCGAAACAAACAACTAAACTCTTGCAGAACAGCGCACCAAGATTTTAAATTGCTAACTCAAAAGAAATATATACTGGAGGAGAATTGATGTACCAGAATCTGATTGGGTAGACGCTATAAACGTTGGGTAGATATTGCTACACTGGAAAATATTCAAATAGGAAAGAAAGTATACTAAAACTTATGGATATATCGTATGTACTTCACATTGAGTAAAATCTTTATTGGGTTGCCGGCTATTGAAAGTAATATACTGCTCAAATAAACGAATATCAAAAAAGCCAAATATTACCAAATTATCGAAAATTCCTTTAAAAATGTCATGTTAATTTGAATATATACTGTAAAACTATTTATCATTATTTTGTGTCGTTTACGGACTTTAATTAACTAGATAAAAACTGTGTGTTTGCGCGCCAAACTAATAACCATTCCCAATTAATAATTCTACTTATGTACATTGTATTCCAAATACGCGATGTCGGTAGTTTCGTTCGATATGGCTACAACACATACGTTAATAACAATACTTGCACCATAATCAATATTCTTATGCAAATACACATTAATAGTTTAGTTTATTCGATAACTATCTAATATATCAACCGAAACTATCAAACCAGAACAACGGCCACTATAAACTACTATAATATACAAATAAATTGAATAAATTGAATGCATTCTGTCTTTTAATATTTAGACAATGTAAAACGAAAGAGAATACGCCAAAGTGATAAAATAAACTCAGTGACCACAGCGATACCTGAAAAGGAATGGATAACTTATTTTAAGAACCTACTGCAAGAAAATAGAGCATTCGAGGAACAACCGCTCAATACAACGTCAGAAGAATAGAAGGTTAGATAGAGGAGGTTAGAAAAGCTCTAAGAGAGACAAAAAATAGAAAAGCGGCTGGCGTGGGAGGTATTCCATCAGAGCTTCTCAAACATGGTTCAGGAAAACTTTTAGGAATGATAACAAATCTCGTCGGAAGGTGCATAAATGGGGAAAACGTCCCTAAGGATTGGCAGACTTGTCATAGATAGATAGATAGATTCATTTATTGACTACGTTTCGTACAAAAGGGACGTACAATGGTAGCATGTCAGAAGTGATATTCAAGTGCAATAAAATCAAATCACACCTATTTATAAAAAAGGATCAAAGAGAGAGCCGAAAAACTACAGAGGCATTGCAGTTATATGTTCAATCGGACGTTTATACTCGCGGGTCATAACATCAAAATTTGAACAGCAAATAGTTGCAATGAAAATGGAAGAGCAGTCAGGTTTCCGCGCCGGAAGATCGGTGATAGACTCTACTCTTAAAATCCTTGTAGAAACCTAGAGACACACTTAGCCTTCATTGACTTCTAAAAGGCATATGACACGGTCCCTATACCCAAGCTGTGGAAAACAATGGATATAGGAGTCAAGCTAAAATTAATCGAGGCGACCAAGAACCTGTACCAGCACAGAACCTTTCACCACTGATAAAGGACTAGGACAAGGCTGTTTATATATATATATATATATATATATATATATATATATATATATATATATATATATATATATATATATATATATATATATATATATATATATATATATATATATAAATGAAAAACTTAAAACGTGGATAAGACAATGTAAAGGTATGGGAATAGCCGTAGATGAAAACCTCTTCTAAGCTGATGATCAAATAGTGATAGCCGAAGATGCAGATGATCTGAGCTATATGGTACGGAAACTGAACGAGTATTATGTACATGCCGGTTTGAAAATAAACATGACGAAGTCAGAATACATGATTGTAGGTAATGACGAAGTAAGAGATCTACCACTCGAAAACGAAAAAATGATAGGAGTAGAAAGATATAAATATCTGGGTGTAATATTTAATAACGACGGAGATAGCAGGGAAGAAATTCGGGAAAGAGTAGCAAAAGGAAGAAAGATAATCCGATCACTTAACTCAGTAGTATTGGAGAAGAACATACGGAAGACAACAAAAAAACGAATGTACTCTTCTTTTGTGGAAAGTGTGACATTATACGGAGCGGGGATCTGGGATCAGGGATCTGCGCTTGCACGTATCATGATTAGAAAGAAAAAGAAACATCGATGTAAGAAGAGAAATGGAAATAGAAAAAGATATTACAGAGGAAATAGAAAGGCGACAACTGGTATGGTTTGGACAGATGATAGGTGGCCAAAACGAATTATAAAATGGACTTCCCCGCAGAGACGAAAACGTGGTCGACCAAAGCGCAGTTGGAGAGACGAGGTGGAAGAAGCAATGGCAGCAAGAAATATTAAGCCGAAAACCTTTTGCGATAGAAAATTATGGAAACTGAGCACGGAGAAGCGAAGACAATCGTATTAATTATTAAGGGTTATCATTGTTTCCTTTTCCAAGTGATCAATGTAGATAATTCCACGACCATCGAAAAGGACCGTGGTCATAATCTTACCGGTCGACTAGATCCTCTTTGCCTTCTTCGGAACCAGTTTTTCTTCAAAGTATTCATTGTTTGGACTCCTGCTTTGTTTCTGGTGTGTAGTGATGTATCTATGTTTCATCAACAATTATAGATCAATGCATAAACGTATCAGGGTTGCAACAAAATAGTACTAAAATAACCTCAGAATCGATCACATGATTGCGTTTATTGCCGAGAGTTTTTCACAAATTAAACTTGTTTACTTCAATCAACAACAATTAAACTGCTATAACTTTAACATAACGAGTAGAAAATATATTTTTGATACTACGATCGCCATCTGTTAGATTACCTAAGGACTTATACTACAGTTGTTGACGTAGTTGTTACAGTTTATTTTGATTATTGTTGGCTAGTTAAAATCGCAATGAAGTCACCTTCTAGAGAAGAAAATGTAATAGAGCAAGTAATATTTTTCATTAAAAATATAAAAAGGGATGTGACAAAATTTGTGGAAATACTGGAATTTATTTGGGACTAGAAGAGCGGGGATGCGGAAGTAACCAAAACTACTACTTCTAGTTTCTTTTGACTTTGAGATTTTCAGTTGTTAATTTAAGAGTTTAATATTGAATATCTATTCCATTCTGCTGTGGCAATCATTTTAGATTTTTATTGTCCTAATAGAGAAAAAGACATTTATTTAATATATCAATTTTTGAAAATGTAGAGCAAGGATTTTTTGTAGTGCAGAGAGAAAAATAAGTCCCATTTTTTAGTCACCTTGACTAATTATTTGGAATTAATAAGATAATGGCACCTAAGTTTTTGGTGATTCATCGATTTTTTCAAATAAACACATTATTATCGACATTCATTCCGTTGAATCAGCTCTTATTATATTTCAACTTGGCACCTGAGCAGCATGGCAAATTCTATCGCTGTTATAATTATTTTCTGCCGATAAGCATTTTACACGAAATCTTTGAAGCTATTGTTTTCCAATAGGTATAAATATTTACATTTGTTAATTTGCTGCTCCCCGGAAATTTTACAATATGTTTGAAGAAAGATGATTCCAGATTACATTACATTTTTTTTGACCCAGCAGGTTTTTACTTATAGTGAGAGACATGCTTTAAGGTTAAATGCGGCTAAAACTCAGGTGCTATCGTTTGCTCGCGACTCAGCCAAATTTAATTAAAAGAATTTATCTTATCTTGCTTAAGACCCTGTATGCCAATAAGCATATATTGAACTTTAAAATTGGGAAAAAACCATCCTTGATCCTTGATCGTCAACGCCTTCAAAAAATATTAAACAGCTGTTTTAGGTTTTTGTATGCCTTAAGGAAATGCTAAGCAAGCTAATGCTTGAAAAAGGTATAAAAATCGCAATCTGAGTCCTCCACTAGTTTTTGTTGAGTCGAAGTTGCTAACTTGTCGTCAATCATCATGTTGGTTTCTTCAGAGCTTGAGTAAAACTGACTCGCCTTTTACTCTGTACCTGCTTATGAGTGGGCGGAGCTAAATCAGTGGCATAAACACTGTATTGGATGACTGATTCGCATATTGGTGACAGTCGCGGTTAAGATTGTTAGGTTGTTTATAGATTTCTATAGACTCTCGTATTTTTCGTTTGTAGAAGAATTGATTACATGCAAGAATTTTAGTTGTTCGGCAACAGCTGATGAGTTTATTTGTCTTAGTCGTAAGGCTCTTTCGTGTTCTTTGAGCCTAGTTGATATTTGTCGTCCAGTTTTCGCAATGTATTCTTTGCCGCATATGCACGGAATACTGTAAACTCCTGGCATCTCAAATGGAATTTTGCCTTTGACGGACCGAAGATATTGAAAGATTTTTTTTGACGTTATACTTCTTTAGAACTTTTGATATGCGGTCAGTGATGTTTTGAATTTAAGGAAGGACCACAGTGGCAAGTGTAAGCGTGGAATTGTATTTTTTGATGGGACGCTAATATCTTTAATGTGGAAATTATTAGACAGAAGTAAGCAGAAGTAAGGTTTTTTAAATCTGTAAACAAGCAGGTGATAAGTAAAGTAGTTAAATTTTCTGTTTCTTTTTGCATTTCAAAAACAAAACCAACTATGACTGTTTTGAAAACGGCATATTTTATTTCACCAAAATCAGGCACAGTATTGAGAAACCTGTATCGTACTATCTCTACTGGTAACTGAGATTCCTCGCAAAAATCGGTACACTATGCACTTACCACACCACATCGGGCAGGTAGCGTATCTGCTTCTATTAATTTAATATATTTTCTTGATGGTGTAGAAGCATCATTTTAACATCTTTGGCAATATCCCCCGCTCTATCGGCATTTATAACCGAGTATAATCGGTTAGTTTAATTTTCCAGGTATCCGAACTGATCTCACAATACGGCCTGGGGGTAGTCCAGGCTTACATGGGCCACATCCAGACGAACGCGGAATTGGCCGTTAGGGATATGCTCCGTGAAATTGCGAAAGATACGGCGGCCAAGACCGGCGGCGGCGACGGCGTTTCCGTCCTCAGCTTTGTCGATTACATGGACGACGGATCTCCGATTTCCTTAAGAGTATCTCTTGACCGTGATTCGGGTTCAGCGTATTGCGATTTCGAGTAAGTTTAGATTAATCAGAACATTATTCTCAATTAATAGTTTTGCTATTACAAACGAGCTTAAGTTTTTACGTAAAGAGAGCTAAAGGGCTTCTTTTTCCTCATAAAAATTCCGAATTGTAAACCGCAGTGGGAAGAATGTAGGGTCTGAGTTTTGACGGCAATTATCAAAATAACCTAAAGACTAATTAAAACATCAGGGACAAACATTTAAGATGTTTACAAATATAAAAAACATTGAATATATATCGTTCATCAATAAGGACTACACACAAACATGATATGCATAGATTACCAATTGTTTTTCTCTACTTTGCGAAATTTAAATCCTATTTTACAAATAAATCTATAGCTAATAATTATATTACTTTCACCTTCTTCTAGCTTTCTTTTTAGTAAGAAAAATCTGGTTTTGATCAGTAGAATATATTTTCTTTCTTACCATATCTTATTAATTAGTATCCAGAAACGAGATTGAAAATCAATACGTTTTTTTCTTTTGTTCGATATTTCACTGGTAACAATATCCTTCATTGAAAATATTGGCGTTTTTGTAAGTAGACAAAGTAAAAATTACTAGGTAAAAAACGTGCTTTTTCGAAACGCTCTTGGCGGCATTCTTGTGATTCAAAAGATGCCGTTTACAAAATAATCCTAGTTGGCTTTATTTTTGAGTAACAGGGTGAAACAGTAAACTTGGCAATTTCAGTTTCTTTTCGGAATATTTTTGAGATGAATCCATTATGTTCAAATGAAAGAAAGACATTTCTAAGATACGAAATAAAGTTGTATTTTTTTAATGAAACACCTTGTATATTTTTAAAAATGTGATTGCGCTTTTTATACGCTCTTCAATAATATATAATTGTCCAATTATATTTAAAAAAAAAACATAGGGTTTTCTCATTTAAGAAAATATACGTCCTATTCCTAATTTTATTCCTCTTAACAATATTAATATTGTTATTATTTTCAGAAAAAAAAAACTAAAATGTCTTTCAACTAACTAAGACAGCAACTTACTATTAGGAGTGTTTACAGTTTTATAGTATTGCATCTAGAATGTTTCTATTACTTGATCTATAAAACCTTTGGAGTTGATTACTTCAGGTTTTTAAAAAAAGTTTTTTAACATTCTTAATTATAACACTTCGATTCTTGGGGTTTCATAACTGACTCTGTAAAACTCTTATAACCTAATAAATATGTTACAGCTACTGTAAAATATGAATTCTTTCGTTTGCACAATTTTAACGGGTATTTTCTTCTAAAATTTATTTAGATATTTACAAAAAAATCGTTTTCTTTCAAGAAAAAATTATCAAACAACTAAAAAGTGAGTTTATGATTGCATGATTGACATTTAATATTTTCAACCTAATAGTTTTCAATCTTTTTTCAGAATCCTTTTAGTTTTATAGAGGCTACAAATGTGTTTATAAATACGTAATAAACTTTTACCTGCTAAATATGACGTCCTTTTATATGACGCTGACGGGAATTGGAAGAAAAGAAAAAAACATCGCTATTTTAAGCAACATTACTGAAATTTGAAGACATATTTATTTAAAAATATACGATTAAAAAAGGAATTCCCTTTATCTAAGCCAGATTGTTTCAACAAATTAGGCAAAAAACAAGTGGAAATGGAATCGCGCAGATTGCGCACTTGAAGGTTTAATTACTTTCTGGAAATTAAAGAGGTATATGTCTGAAAACATAGAAAATCAGAAAAATAGATCTGAAACTTGCTTGTACAGTATCCAAACGAGGGGTGGGTTGATTATATCAAAAACTGTCAAACAAAAACATCTTCAAATAAAGGAAAAGGCAATACCATAATTCACGCATACCAAAGGAGGGATTTATTGAACACTGTTGTCTCCGAAGAATATTTAACGCTAGCTTGGACTATCATGAAGATGCAAGCGAAGAGTTTTTGATAATTGGTTTTATAGTTATTTTTTTGAAAAATATTCTGGGTAATAGTGTCATTGTATATAGATAGCGCAGGCTCTCACAGCCGCCTGCTACAAAATGCACCAAGTGCAAAAAATGAAATTCAAGAATATTTGTTACAAAATGATATTTATTTTCAATTTAGTTACAAGAAAAGGCAACTTTTGGAAGAATTTAATTCATATGATAATACGAAAATATATGTACGTGATAGTATAGCTGAACAGGTGTTGCATACTGTTTTATGTCGTCCTCTGTATCACTGCACAATCAACCTCATAGAACATTTTGTTGCACCAAGTAAAATAAAATGTTTCATTCGATTTTTATTTTTTAACATCGGGTCCATTGCAATTAATCTCAGTCGAAACAGAATTAGATTTGGAATAAAAACGTTCTTATTTAAGTAATTATTAATAATTTGCAATTGTTATGATTAATAGTTAATGTCGTCGTATTTTTATTTATAGGTGCTAATGTGATTTTATTTTTCAAAATCCGTATCTGATATTCTGTCCTACAATGAGGCTGGCCAGGTTTTTATTGCCGTCGTTATTTCGATAATTGCCGTCAAAACCCAAGATTATACACTTTGAGCCAAAGTACTAATTTAACTGAGTAAAGAAAAGGTTTCGCGAACCACTGATTCTCAGGTTTTATAAAATATGTAATCGAACAAAATAATATTAGTTGTGTATATTATAGTTTATATATGTAAATAGTCTGCGATCATTAGATATATATACCGCTTATTATCAACGATTTCGTAGATGCTTCCTTAGATTTAATGTTACTCTCTTCTTTTAAAGAATTGACTATATGTAATAATTTGCATAGTTTGCCGGCAAAAAAAATTGACTGATAATTGTGCAATAACAAATGCGATCTAATCGCTCCACGGCCCTTAATTTTCAGGGGCTCCGGACCGGAAGTGTGGGGTAATTGTAATGCCCCGAAGGCGGTCACCCTGTCCGCCCTAATTTATTGCCTCAGGAGTATGATTGGTCATGACATCCCATTAAATCAGGTAAAATATAACTCATTGTTCTATAACGGAATCCGACGCTGCGCACACAAGCGCGCACACACATACAAACCATGTCGTTCTTTTTGTGTTTGCTCGATATCGTTTTGGTCCGGATATGTTCGCTGTAATCGCCTGTATATTTCAAAGCCGACCGGTCTCTTTGTCGTTATTAATATTTACATAGGGTCATAACGGGTTTTATTAGAGTTAATAATTTTAATGGGCGCGTTCATTTATGGCATTACTAGTCTCGTTAAAGTAATTAACCCGTCGGAAAGCGACCACACTTATAATATTAATTAATTTGATAAAGGATTGCCCTTTCGATAGCGAATTAGGGAATTACTATACCGAACAAGATAAACGTTCTTCTTGTTTTCCATCGATCAAAGCGTTTAATTAATTATTTTCAAAATAATACACCTGGTTTCACCCTGAGTTCACATGCCTCATACAAATGTCGCTGGTTTCGAAGATACGGATCAAAGTTGAAATTTCATTATTAGTTTTCTCATTAATTGACATGCCAATTACGTAATTTTAAACTTATTTATAGGTTGCTAGTAGTATTATTTAGATAAGTTGAATAATATTTTTTTTATCTGTCGAGTTATGGTTGAAGCATGATGAAAATTTGAAACGATGTTCAATTTTTTCTAGAAAAGGTACTATTGTTTAGGAGGTCTATCTTCGTCGGTTTTTTATATAAATATTTTTTACAATTATTTATTAGATGAAAAAGAACAACCAATGAAAAACCAATATAAATAGTCATTTGTGTGATTTTGAGAATCCACATTTCAGACATTTTCAGCGTTTCTGATTTTTTTCTTCCCATCCTTTTACTTCCCACCATTTACTGTTCGTGATGTACACTATGGTGGTATGACCACTCGTTACCTATACTGCCTTGGTACACTAAAAGCTCGGGACAGAAGTGCACCAACAACTGTCTCAGGCGGAAACCAAAATGGGTTCTCTATTGTGATGGCACATTATGCATGAACGTATATTTTATTTTAGGATTTAAATTATTGTATATTAAGCGATTCCATTGTACCCATGAGGACTTGTCTATAAGAATTTAAAAATAATGCTTAGCTAGTAATATTTTGTAAGTAGGTTATTAGGCTCGAACGATTTAGTAGAATAAGTCATATAACTGTAGGCGTAAAGAACGGGTGTGCATCTCTTTTATAAATTAAGGTGTAGAAACGCTTGAGGGTCCTTCTATATTCAATACGTCCGAAGAACTAAGAATGGCCAAGGAACAATAACTTTTCTCTATGAAGAGGGACAGAATTGAGGATCCCTTATGTTTCTATACACCATTAAGAGCGAGAATCCTTACAAAGCACGCCTGGCTCTGTGTGGGAGAAAATATTCTTGTGCCTCATGCTAGTTTAGTATACGGACGGGTGCAAAACAGACGCTGGAAAAAGAGCTGGGACATATGGCAGCTCTCTTAGGGCACGGATGCATCTGTGGATCTATCCAAGTGTATTCCAGGCAGAGATCTGTGCGATCGCGCGAAACCCGGGCAGAAAGTATTCGGATAAACACTATATTTGCAGTCAAGCGACTGACAATATTCTTACCTACGTGAAGGTGAGCTCAAAAATGGCAGACAGACGGGTTTGGCCAAGAGCCTTCTATTGGAACAGCATACAGTATGCTAAAGATCGACGTAAATAGATTGCGGGACCCTCTACGTCTCAGGATGGAAAGTGCGCTCTCAGTCTCAGGCCTGTGAGACTACGAACACTGGTAGGAATCGAGTGGGCGGTGTTTAGAAAAGGAGGAAACTCCAATTCTCTCTTCTTTCTCTCCAGCTGCGTACCACTGGGGGGGCGATTAAGAGCACTAGGAGCTTAACTAATTGAGCCATGGAATTATCCAAAGTCCCCAATCCAATCCAAACTGTAGTTTCATGAGAGTAGAGGGATGGAGTGAAGATGTGCGGGTATAATGGATTGAAAGGTCTGAATGCCGCGCCCTGACCATAAAGGACACAAGGAGCACACCGCAGATAGAATAGGAATAGGAATCAAAATGAACTACATTTTTTTAATTTAAATTTAAACTATGCCAGCTAGCGATCCGCCGACGTTCCTCCGATGACTCGGCGGGCAGCTTCCGGGAAACAAAAGCTTTCGGGTTTCGGGGGAAGTATGGTTGCAAAGCTGAAACTAAAAGGAATTGACGGAAGGGCACCACCAGGAGTGGAGCCTGCGGCTTAATTTGACTCAACACGGGAAGCCTCACCAGGCCCGGACACCAGAAGCATTGACAGATTGAGAGCTCTTTCTTGATTCGGTGGGTGGTGGTGCATGACCGTTCTTAGTTGGTGGAGCGATTTGTCTGGTTAATTCCGATAACGAACGAGACTCTAGCCTGCTAACTAGGCGTATTTAGACATCTCAAAGGCCGGCCGGCTCGGGGTTCGCCCCTTGTCGCGCTCGGTTTTTACTGTCTGCGTACAAACAATTCTTAGAGGGACAGGCGGCTTCTAGCCGCACGAGATTGAGCAATAATAGGTCTGTGATGCCCTTAGATGTTCTGCGCCGTACGCGCGCTACACTGAAGGAATCAGCGTGTCCTCCCTGGCCGAGAGACCCGGGTAACCCGCCGAACCTCCTTCGTGCTAGGGATTGGGGCTTGCAATTGTTCCCCATGAACGAGGAATTCCCAGTAAGCGCGAGTCATAAGCTCGCGTTGATTACGTCCCGGCCCTTTGTACACACCGCCCGTCGCTACTACCGATTGAATGATTTAGTGAGGTCTTCGGACCGATACGCGGATGGCGTTTCGGCGTCGTCGATGTGTCCGGGAAGTTGACCAAACTTGGTCATTTAGAGGAAGTAAAAGTCGTAACAAGGTTTCCGTAGGTGAACCTGCGGAAGGATCATTAAAGTGATAATAAAAATTACACAGTTTGTTTATTTCGTCGAACGAATATTTGTCGCAGTCGCTCGGTCGAAACTATCTCGCGTCAATCTTTAAGTCGGCCGCGATTGAATTCGACGACTGACTCCCGTAAAAAAAAAGGGGAGAGAGGAGGAGGAGCGCCGACAAAATTCCGGGTACCTAGACGGAACTCGAAGCGCGAAACCTAGGAGAAAATATGTGGTCTAAGCATGATGAGACGTCGTTGACGTTTACGTTGACAGTGCGGCAATATGTACGTGAGCAGTTTCCTTATCCTAATCCAAATTCGTTTGGGCGCCAAGGAGTTCAGACTTCTGAACCTTCTGAACCTTCTGAATTTCGGCAGCAAATACAAGGAGCCGCGAATACCCTTGGAAATAATAGAGAAATTATTGTTAAATTAGTAAAGTCGTAGTATTTTTTTTCGCCGAATTAAGGGGTTGCAATGAAAAACGAAAATCGATCACTTCAGCCATCTTGTACAGTGTGTCACATTTTACGGCGTGGCTCATTTATTAATAAAGCTAGCTTGTTGCGATTTTCATGACCCAAGGCTGTTTTTTTACGATATGAAATGTTGGTACGGGCAGAAGTCTCATAGCTATCAAGGACGGGGTTATCTTGAACATGTTGCATTTTTAAACACCCTTTGGGGAAAACTGGTCTAGATAGGATTTCTTGCGTATCATTCAATGTCGCAGTTAGTTTTCTCTGAAACTCAAATCTTGACATACAAAGTAAACTTATGTTTTTTTTTTTATTTCGAAGCAATGTGATATGTAATACATAAGGGATATTTCAAATACAAAGAATATAACTGCAATCTTTTTTTTTATTTTTCTTAATGTTTATTTTAATTTCTCTTGCTTCTGCCATGGCTCATGTTAACCTAAAATACTTATGGGAATATATAATGGGGGTGTATCATGAATGCGCTTTAACATTGCATTTAATATCTTTAAATAATGCCAACCAAAAAACACATCTAATCACAAATATCCCCATTTGCCATTTGTTAAAACTTTACTTCCTAATTTAATTTACTAGTAAAATCATGTCTCCCCATTATTACAAATATTAATTATGAAGATTTTGTCTGTTTCACAATATCGAATCGGGGCCGCGAATATGGCCAAAATTCCTCTCGTAAGACAGTTCGAATCCGGCGACGTGTTAAAACACTTATTTCTCAAGTGACAGAATCGTGAAAACCAAAAATAATAAACAATGTAGCAGCAATAATTCATAAACGATATTTCTTCGCAAGTCGAGCGCGAACGCCGTTGGGGAAAAATAAAGGTCGACAATATTCTCAACCGCGCTATTGTTGCGTTTAAATCAGAGAGCTCCAATCTAACGAGAGGCGACAGTGTCCAACCCAGTTTTCCACGCGTATCATCGGAGTTGGTTTTATAAAGAGTGGGGCATAGAAACCAAGTTATTATTAGAACGCGTGGTACGCTATCATTTAATTTCAGTCACGACCATGAAACCGTGAATGTTAGAGAAATGCATGTTTGCGTATTATTATTATTTTAGGACTGACAAGTCGGTAACCACGGTACCACGTGAAATAGTCTGTTCCCGCTTGAGATACAAGCTTATGTTGAGTTAACAATCTTCAAACAGGAGGGTCCGAGGACGAAAATATCCTGGTCATTATTGAGATTAATTTAAGCAAGTAGTACATTTTAGCACATTTTTCCTGGGAGCCCAAAATACTACGTCATAAACAATTCCCAAAGTAACGACTTTTTCTTTGCATTTTTATTTGAAAGTTAAAACATGTAATAAATTTTCGAATATCTGACATTATTCTGAATATAAAATATACCGAAATTTATATTTTTAAATCAATTTCGTTATATCAAAATGAATAAGTAAATTAATGACATAAAATGCGTATCCTAAAACTGTTTCTCAGTTGGTAAATAAATTTCTCTCAGTCTATAAACGTTAAATGAAGCCATCGATACATACGAAAGCAGGGTCATGAGAAATGGACCTCCTGATGTTTATTGTCGCCTCTCGTTAGATTGTAGCTCTCCCTTTTAAATGAGGCGGTGCCGAAC